AGTATCAATTTTTCGAGGAGAAACTTGGGTTACTTGTCGTGTGGAACGGGGAACCCCATTGATGATTGTTGGAGGTGTGACCCGAATTGGGAGAGTAACCGGCAAAAGCTAGCTGATTGTGCAATTGGGTTCGGGAAGAATGCCATGGGAGGGAAAAATGGTCGAATTTATGTTGTTACGGATGCTGGTGATGATGATCCTGTGAATCCTAGGCCCGGTACTTTAAGGCATGCTGTGATTCAAGATGAGCCATTGTGGATCATATTCAAGAGTGATATGGTGATAACGTTGAAGGAAGAGTTAGTCATGAACTCTTTCAAGACAATTGATGGTAGAGGTGCAAGTGTTCACATTTCGGGAGGACCATGCATCACCATCCATTATATATCAAACATCATCATCCATGGCCTTAACATACATGATTGTAAGCCCGGGGGTAGTGCCATTATAAGAGACTCTCCTAACCATGCCGGCCATTGGACTCCATCGGACGGCGATGGCGTTTCCATCTTTAACAGCAAGAATATATGGGTTGACCACTGTTCACTGTCTAATTGTCATGATGGACTCGTTGATGTTATCCATGGATCCACAGCCGTGACTATCTCCAACAACTACATGACTCATCATGACAAAGTCATGCTTTTGGGCCACAATGATGCCTATACACAAGACAAAGACATGCAAGTCACTGTTGCCTTTAACCATTTCGGGGAAGGGCTGGTCCAAAGAATGCCAAGGTCTTAGTCTTAAATATTAATTTCCATATCATGCATGTTGATGAAACTCATATATATGTATTATTCTAAATTGCAGGTGTAGACATGGATATTTCCATGTGGTGAACAACGATTACACTCACTGGGAAATGTATGCCATTGGTGGTAGTGCTAATCCTACTATCAACAGCCAAGGGAATAGATTTCTTGCACCTGATGATAGATCAAAGAAAGAGGTAATAAAATTACTGAAGACATAATCATCAGAAACAGCAAGAATTTGCATACAATCATGAAAAAATTAATTTGTAATAATATATAATTCATATGTAGGTGACCAAGCATGAGGATGCGCCGGAGAGTGAGTGGAGAAACTGGAACTGGAGGTCGGAAGGGGACTTGATGTTGAATGGAGCCTTCTTCAGGCAAACCGGGGCAGGTGCATCTTCAACCTTTGCCAGGGCTTCTAGTCTGAGTGCTAGACCATCTTCTCTTGTGGGTTCAATGACCGTCACTGCTGGTGCACTTAACTGTAGGAGGGGCTCCCGCTGCTAGTTTCTGACTTAGCATTAAACCAGATAGATATTTATATTCAACAGCTTGTACTTTGTTGAAATGATCGCGCAAAGCATGCAATTGCAGTTTAATGTTGATTTACTGTTATCTCCTATGAATGGCTATTCACTTTTCATGATGGTGACTGTCTTTAATTATTCATAAGAGAGTTTGCTTATTTGATCTAAGATCTATATGTTGACTTATTATCCCTTCAAAAATTATTGCTTTAGAAGTACCCAAAAAAGTCATGCAAACACATTAATATATTCTTTGTCACTTTGACAAATTAAATAATAACCCGTCAAGGGGCCGGCAAGTATCTAGATTTTAAAAATAAATCGTAATCTGAAGATAAAAATGAGATTGTATATCAGAAAAGAATTCTAAATTATAACAACTAGGATTAATATGAGTCTGCTGCATTAGTTTCTTCAAATGCTGGCCAATGAATGTAGAGTACTTTTTTTTTTTCAAATTGTTAATTTTCTATATTGATGCCACCATTTTCTTCATTTGATAAATATCAGGATTCTAATGACTAGTTTTGCTGTGTGAAACCAGTGATTATAAGAGGAAAAATTTTCACATAAAAGGGGAATTAAACCCAGCTTTTTCCGTCAATCATGGAGAACTAAACACTTCAGCCACAAAGGCAAGTTATTGCTTTAGGAGAAGGCTTGATCAGGCTGGCTTCAATAATACAATAATTGAACTAGTGGGGGTTGAAGTACTATATTTCCCGCAGGCAGAGACATGCACTCATAATGTCAGTTTTTGGTTTGTAATTAAAGTCAGTCACAGTGTCACACTCAATTGAGTTCTTTACAAAGTTATGCTTTCTCTTTCTCCAACATGTAATGTTATTTCTGCTGCAAACCCAGGTTTCTTTTCTAACTAATGTTGCAGAGCTTTGCTTTTGCAGTTCACTGAAAATCAACTAGAAAGTGGGGTTGCAGCCAAGGTGGTATCAGTTTAATTTTATGATGGTCATCCTCTTTGTCCTATAAAAGCAAGAAATATAAAGCATGAAGGTTAATTTTATGCAATTCATCATCAAGTGAAAGATCAACTGGCAGGTATATTATATATATATATATATATATATATATATCCTGCAATGTATATTTTTTATAAGTGAGTGATTTTATTTATCTAAAGAAAATTAAAATGATGTTACATCAAAATTGTTTTAGCCAATGTAATCAGGATGCAAAGAATCATAAATCAAGAATAAATGAATTATTATCAGCCTAATGGTAAAAAGAAAATTTTCAATCCAAATTCATAGGACCGAATAGATGAATCTTGTTACAGTTATTTCATGTTCTTGTTTTCAAGATTGTATTTAAAGAGTTTTAAGATAACAAAAATCGATTCGATAATTTTAAACGCAACATAATAATATAATATTTAATTAAAAAATTAAGTAAACTTGACGTTAAGTTGCTGAAAATTCTATGTAATGGGTGTTGAATTTAGCTTCGGTGAGATTAAAAACAATAATAGTGATAAGATTAATTATTGTAGCGATAAGATTACAGTGAGATGAATTTTAACAAAATAAAAAAAATCATTAAGGACATTAATTTAAAATTTATATGTAATAAAAATTTAAATTATTTAATTAAAAAATGTTAAAAAATATTTTTATGTAATTATTTATTTTAATTAATGTAATTATTTATTTTAATTAATTACTCAATTGTAAACATATATATTTATTTATTATACTGAATTGACAAAATTATTTATAATCTTTGAACAAAAAAATGAAAGATAAAATGACAAGAATATTTTAGTCCTTACACCATATCTTCACGGGCAAAAAAGAAAAAACATGGATAATATTAAAAGACATAGCTGGGGTAGAAGAAATAATTTTTCACTGGCCGAATTAGAGGTGCGGTGCGATAGATTCTTTCAACCGTGCCTTACCGTGATTTCATTTGGATCACAAAGCTGACTTTTTGGTTTCCAACTGCACCTCACCGTGGGTGCAGTTGAATGCAAATGCAGCCTACATATATATAAGCTATCAATGTAATTTATCTTTTATTTTGAACCCCAATGGAAATAAAATACAACTTATCGAGCCCATAATAGTTGGATGGGCTACTTATTATGATTCATGCTTCGGCTTGTTAACTGATCATGATTTTGGATATTTTGGTGTTGAACACAAGAAATTTTCCAGGTGTTCTTGTTGGGGAAATCCTGTTAGTACTTCCAGTCAAGACGTTGAAACGATTCGAATGTGTATGCAAGATATGGATGGCTTTATTTGCTGATCCAACCTCATTACAAAGCACCTTGGAAACATGTGAGCCATCAATTCCCCCCAGGATTTTGTTGTAAAAACTTCGGGACCATGCTTTATACGGATCAGTGACGTGATTCATATATAGGGCATTCGAGCAATAAAGCTGAAATCTACTCCAAGGCCCCCAAGGAAGATTCTTAACATATTAGGACATTGTGATGGCTTATTATGTACAGGCATTTTAGTTGTTTGCTCTCATGTTATGGAATCCGGCTACTGGGGATCACAAGGAATTGCCTCTGCCAGAGCTTTGCTGACTTCTGTTGAAGCTTTTGGGTTAGGTTATGATTCCTCAATTGATACTTACAAAGTTGTACGAGTCCCTTCTGATCAACATTTGTGGAGAGGATTGGATTTTTGTAACATTGAAGTCTTGAGCTTGGAAACCATTTCATGGAAAAGGGTTGAGAGAATGCACCTTATGGAGTTCTTTTCAAGCAACATTTGTCAATGCTTTTCTCTACTGGTTTGCCTTGAAAAACCATGCCTTGCAAAATTGAATTGTGATTATATGCTTTGATTTAGTAAAAGACAAAATGAAAGAATTGCCATTTCCACCTACTGACATAGAAGTTCATAAATGTGGCCTGAGGATCTCGGAAGGGAGTCTTTGGGTTTTAAGCTACGAAGATTTTGTCTACATTGATGTTTGGGTGTTGAAAGACAATGGGGCGACAAAATCTTGGTCCAAATCCTTCAAAATGTCTCAAGAACCATATTTGATGAATTCTCGGTCATTTTTCCCTGTATGTTTTACTGGGAATGGCAAATTCTTGATTACTATGAACCGAAATAATTTCTTCCTAAACGATCTAAAAGATAAACCCTTCCGCCAACTTGCTGTCAATGGCATCCAATCTTGGACTTTAATGCCATTTATGGAGAGTTTAATTTCACCAAATGGTTGAAGACTTGATCAGCTTACTCGATCTGGTGTGTTCTCTTTAATCATTGCAAGAACTCTATTCTATATATGATTGTTTGGTGAAAATGGGTATTGAAAAATACTGTTATCACTGTTTTTATTAATTATCTGTGCATCTTTTCAAGCATAGATTTGTTTGTTTATCTGTAAGGATTCCATGTTCATGGTTATGAGCCTTTCTCAATGCATAAAATGTTCATATAATTTTCATTACAGACAAGAAAAAAAAAAACAACAAAGAGGAAATAGGATGTGTAAAAATGATGGAAGGAATCAGTTTATATGTAGTATAATACTATAATAGTAACATTTGTTTTATGAATGATTAATTGAAACACATAGTATATGTAAGAATCAGAGCCTTTATTTGAGGCCTCTAGAACAGCTTTCACAAACGGATACAACTGTTTTAATTTGATTACATACAAAAAATTAGAAAACATCATGTCAAAACCTTCCATGCATGTGCATGTTAAGTTTAGAAGAAGAAGAATCCGGCAATAGCTGCAACACCAATGGCTCCAGAGGTCCTGAGAGCAGCGGCACTAGATGTGCCTGGTGCGGCTGCTGGAGTTTCATCACTGGCCGCAGCATCGGTTGTAGGGCCATCAGCAGCAGCAGGGCCATCAGCAGGAGCATCACCGGTTGGTGAAGGAGGGGATGCGAGCTCGGGGGACTCAGCAGAGGGTACCTCGCTGCTGGGGCTCTCGCTTGGGCTAGAGCTGGTGGGGGTAGCAGCAGGAGAGGTAGAAGACTTAGGGGATTCAGCAGAGGACTTGGGTGCCTCGGTGGATTTTGATGGTGAAGAGGCAGGGCTGCTGCTGCTGCTGCTAGAGTTGGTGCTGGGGGATGGCGATGGGGCAGAGGAAGTGGAGTTGGAGGAGGACTTTGGGGCTGCAGCAGGGGAAGAAGATGGCGACTTTGAAGGTGAGGAAGCCTTAGAACCACTTGAAGGGGCTGGTGAAGGTGATGAATCGGCAGCAAATGCCCCGACAACAGCCATGAAAACAAGTGCAACAACAATAACCTGGCGAGCCATCTTTATTCAGGATTTAACAATTTTTGGTGCGTCGTTTCCTTGTTTTATTGAAAAATGGAAGTGATTCAAAAGAAATGCAGTACTTTCTCTAACATATATAGAGAAAAACACTGCAATGCTGTTGAATGATTTGAAAGAAACAAGAGGCTGAGGGTTTAAATAGTTGGCAAAGAACACGATGGGGAAATGAATGGTTTAGAAATGAACAATTTGGTTGACCGAGTTTGATGGGTTTATTTGTGGGACAAATTGAATCTTTAACACCTCATTACTTGCCTAAAACATGGCTTTGCTTTTCTTGGGAGATCAATGATAAAAATAAAATAAAATAAAATAAAACATCATATTATAAAATTATAAAGATTTAAATATTCATGAGTTAATCAAAATTGATTTGAAGTTTCATCATAATTGAATTATAATTATAGCACATGAATAAAAAATATTTTGTTTTAAGGTTATATCCCATGCTATCATAGAGACAAAATTTACCACCACAAAAAAAAAAAAAATGATAAGTAGCAATAAATTTTCATTTTTACCTTTGTGTCAAAATATAAATATCTTTCCTAGTAAAATATCAAACAACCTTAGACAATAGATTTGTATATTAAAAATCAGAGATCAAAATTATTAGATTCGAGAATCTAAAATAAAATATGATAATACGATATAAAAATAAGATATAAAAATGATATAATTTAAAATTATAATAATTATTATATATAAATTTAATAAAATAAAAGAAATTATCTTTTATATTTTTGTATCAACGTGAATTGTGATACGTAATTTTCATATAAAATATGATATGAATATCTAAATTTTAATATTTTATATGATATCAACATATGAATTGTTAAGTCTACTCAAAATAATACTAATAAGAGATAATATTTAATCTATCCTACAATGCAATTTTCATGTGCATAGACAATGAACAACGAAATCATTGTTTTATTTTAAGAGCACGATTATTATGCGGTGAGTTGAATCAATATTAAACTCAGGAGTAGTAGTATAAGATAGAAAAATGCTTCAAAAATTAAGGGTTGTACTTTTACTTGTCATTTTATTTATATATGGTGATGGGGCTTTACCCTTTTGCCTTGATCTAATTTAAGCATTTTACATCAGAAACCCTAAAAAATAACAATAATAACAATAAATTATATTTTACCTCTCGTAATTTTAAAATCGACTGTATAAAAAATAAAAAAAATTAGATCATAATTTTAAATTTTTTTATGTCATTTATTTTTATTACAAATAACGTTTTCGTCCACACGAGAAGCAACCACAAACCTTGTATTAAAATGACATGCTTTATTTCTTGTCAAATTTTGAGTATAATATTTTCATCATTTTAGATAAAATTAAGCATATCATGAATGAAAACAAAATTAATGTAATCTAAAATTAAAAAAAAAAAAATGTATGTGACTCACCTACGTGTTACTTACCACATCTCAATCATCTCGTTAGAAACGAAATAAAATAAAAATACTAACTGACAGCTGTTTAAAAGGGAAGAAGAAAAAAAAAAAAAAAAAAAACCAAACCCACAGGCTAATGAGCTGCTTGATTCTCTGCCCAAAAACCCAACGTAGAAAAATGGAAGAGGAATCCTACATGAAATCCAGTGGATGCACCATTAGGGAATGCCAAGACATGATTCAAACAAGTCTTCAGAGTAAAGTTTTCATTTTTATATCTTTTTTTTCCTTGTTAAATTTATAATTTTCATGGATTTCAATTATTAATTGTTTGTATGTTTTATGTTTTTGAAATTTTTGTTTTGTTTTATGAAAAATTATTTTATTTTTGAGATTTTTAGATTTTATAGATAGATTAAAAAATATACCTATTTTTTAAGATATATTTAAAAATTAAATTAAAAATAAATATAATATATAAATATTTTAATAAAATTAAAAATTTATCTTTTGTATTAAATATTGATTCTCATATTATTTTTATTTTATTTTTAATTTATTGAATTTGATAAAATATTTGGTTGCAAAAATTTAAAAATTTAAATACATAAAAAATTGTTAAAGCTATAAATTATAAAAAAAAATGCTTAAAGTTATAAATTATACTATCTCTGTTCTATTTTTTTGTCTTTTTTTTAGTCTTAAATTAATATATATTTTTTAATATTTAAAATTTTTATTTTTTATATTTTATAATTATTTTTTATTTTTTATTTTTTAATATTAAAAATATAAAAAATTTAATTTTAATAGTCAAAACTTTTTTTTTTAATTTTATGAAAATCAATATAGTCCAAATATTTTATGAGGGAAGGAATAAGATGATAACTATAATGTAACATAGCCCAATGGATGAATAGTCCCTGGTAACAAAGTAACAAACGTTACCAAATTGTAATTACATCAATTTTTTTTTATATATTCAATAATTTTTAAAACTTTTTCAAATTTTATTTTCGATTTTTGGAGACTTTAAAAAAAAAAAAACCTATTAAGCATATATGCTTCCAATTAAAAAAACAAACAAAAAACACAAGAAAAACCATCTCCAAAGGGCCCTTGTTTTAGTGTTTTTCTTTTTTGGGTTTGGGCTAATACTCATTTCAGAATTATTGGGGAAGGTTCAACTTTGTTGCTTTACTAGAATGGAGTGTTCAGGGTTTAGTGTTATTTTGTTCCTTTTCTGGGGTTTTGGCTAATACCCAGTTCAGAACTGATGTTAATTCTTTGCAAATGTCAAATTTTGTTGCTTTCAAGATTGAAGTATTCAGGTTCAGGGTTTAAGGGTTTCTGGGTTTTAGGTTCTGTTTTTAATCAATTCAGTTTCCAAGATTTATCATGAAGGAAATCAAAGAATTCAAGATTTTTGTAATTTCTTTTCCAGCTTGGACTGAATTTGTCAGTTTCCAAGTTTTGTGTAATTTCTTTTTTTATTTTTTTGCATTTTATATAGTTATGTTAATATAAAGTACAACATAATGATACCACATAACGATAATAATTATATATAGATTTAATAAAACAAAAACGTTATATTTCAAGTTTCATATTGAAATGAGTGATGAGAAATAATTTTCGTCTAAAATTAGATATTAATAAATAAATTTTAATAATTTGTATGATATTAATATACGAATTATCAAATCTAATTTTATAATACCAAACATTGTTATATATGATTGAATGAGCCATTTATTATTATTTTTATTATTTTTGTGTATGTATATATTTGGAGTAGCTCCCATGGTGAAAATTTTGAAGAAGCATATGGAGAAAGATGGGTGTAAGTTAGGGGATAATTTCATCAAGGCAGTTCATTGCAATAGGCAGATGGGTGGAGGCTATGTTCCTGGTAAAGCAGTAAGAATCTTTTTGCTTATTTTCCTTTATGTTAGAAATAGTGCTTTGAGAATTAGTCCAACTAAGGCAGCTTATTGAACATGGTAATTTTGACTGTTAAAGAATGAGTTCAAGTCATAGTGCCTTTCTATCTGTTGACAAGCTGGTATGAACTTTGTTTTTCTGGTTAAATCATTTCCAAGGATTCTGAACTTGATGTAACTGTTCATTATAGCTAATGCATTTTCTTTTTTTAAACTTTTACGTGTATGCGTTTCTAGATAGTGGTGTGTAGCAACTATGTCAGCTTGCGAGACGAGGTCAATCAAGTAGTTATACATGGTCTTATTCATGCATATGATGAATGCCGCGCTGCAAATTTGGACTGGACAAATTGTGCTCATCATGCCTGTAGTGAGGTGTGTGTCAAACTGACTACTACCACAGTTTAATGCTTTGCATTTGGTTCTCCTCACCTCTGGACACTCTTGGTACATTTGGTAAATGGAGGTCTTAACTTTTTCTTCTATTATTGCAGATTCGTGCTGGCCATCTAAGTGATGATTGCCACTACAAACGGGGATTGCTGCGGGGTTTTATGAAGATAAGGGGCCATGAACAAGTGAGTTCTTTTCCCCCTCATTTTGTTTCAGTAGAAAACTTTATATTTAAAATCTGTCTCAAGTGGTATTTTAAATTTAAATAAGTGTAAGGGTGGTGGATTTTATCTCTTGAACTTAGTTATTTGTTATTTTATCGTATTTTACTTGCGCATTTCCTTGAAATTACTTTAGGTTTATCTCTAGCTTGTCTATCAGTTGGTTTTATTTCAAAAGGTTTCTTATCTTGTAAGAGGGTTAGCCTATAAACCGAAGTCTTAAGTTGGAGTTGTGCTATGAAGTTGAATTCCAATCAAACATTAAGGGGTTGAGTTCTCTAAGAAGAGCTCATCATCTGCTTCTCAATTCCTTGTTCATACTTCCATTTTATTTGTGTAAAATAGCAAAATATCTCCATGAGGCAGAGATGTGGAAGATGAAGAGGAGTGGCAACCTCTGTGCATAACAGATTCATGTTGAGAAATACAATGTTGAACCAGCCCTTCATAGCTTCATCTTCCCAGTTACCCACCCTTGGTTCCAAATTGTTATAATGTTGCACTTTTAGAGCTAGAAATAAAGAAATTTGTGACGGAAACAGACCTTATCCATTAGGGATTTATTTATGCAAAACTCTTTTCAGTTCCTTTTGTGTTTTACCTTATGTGATCTTCTCTACATTTTGTTGAAGATACGCTGTTCTTCATTTACTTTAACTTAGTTATGGTATTTCTGATGTAGTTTCTTCTGTATTCTCTGTAGAATCTAAGTAATTTATATTTTGGTTTTAAAGGAATGTCTGAGAAGAAGAGTTATGAAATCAGTGACTGCTAACCCTTTCTGTTCCAAAGCAGCTGCAAAGGATGCCATGGAGGCAATGTGGGATATCTGTTACAATGACACAAAGCCCTTTGACAGAGCTCCATGAAATTCAGTCATATCAATCCCCCACAGTTAAGCCTGGCATTTCATTTCAAATGATTCTGGAATGAATCCTATTTTTGTATTGAATAGGAAGAAGCCCTGGTTCTTTAATTGCATGCATTTCAATCTAGAGTTAATATTCATTTCTCTCTCTTGGAGATGACTGAAAGAAAAGTTGTACCATTTCCAAATGTTATACAAATTCTACACTAATGGTTATTGAGGTCTGATTAAGAGAATAAGAATTCTTGTTTATACCAATTCTGCTGGATTCATTAACTTTCACTCTCCCCAAATCCCTTTTCTTTTGTGGATTCTAGTTGGGTCAATAACATGCTGTTGGTTCTCGATTCATTCATTTTCATGCACGACAAATAAGATATGCATATGTTCTTCAGAAATGACCTCACAAGTCAAAGGGAGTTCTGCTTTTTAGTGACCTGTGCATCTGAACTTTGTCCTTTTATAACTGATTTCTGATGGAGTTTTATATTTTGATCTCCTGTATTGCAGTAGCCCTTCAGAGTGATGATTGCTGTATTTGTCTTAGGAATCAAGGTTCATGGTAAAAAAAAAAAGGAATAAATTATCAAGAATGAACCAATTTACATGTTTAAATAATTAAAGCTAACGTGGTCATTCATATTTTTTGCTTGGTCTAGTCAATTTGAGCAAAGGGCAAAATCTATTCATATCATGAAAAACACTTTTGCTATTCCATGCTGACCAAGAAAATGCACTTTGCTATTCCCTGTAGTTGTCAGTCAAAGACTACATCCATTGCATTCACATTTTTGTTTCCTTCCACGTTGATAGTCATCAATCCAAAACCATGAAATCATGAACGGATGAAGCTTCAATCCAAAATGTAGATAGGTGTAAATAAGCAGAGTTTTGTTTCAAAAGTTATGGACCACATGATGGCAGCGGCACTGCTTTATTTCTTTTTTGAAAAATGGATCGCTTTAGAAGCTCAGAAAGAACAAAAAGAAACCCTCCAACATGCTTCTTCAAACTTTCCATGGTAGCTAGATTCAGCTATATGTTACATGTCCGTTCAATATTCTATTGACCTTTTCTTCCTCTGTGGACCCCTTTCTAGTCTTTATCACATTATCCAGGTAGGATATGGTTAATATATATAGAGGCCAGTAAGTTTATATCTGTTGCAAAACAAGAAAGTGTTCATATTAGCAGGGGAGTGTGAAGGAGAATGGGGAAGGATTGATATGATGGCAGGGTTGGTGCTCAGGATTATAATTTGCCTTTACTTGCTTGGTCAACACCAAGTATCAGCTGCCAGGCCAGGTATTTGAGGTTGTTTTCTGCGTGGTTTTGAGAGTCAGATAAGCAATGAGGCTTAATTACTGCTTACTGGTTTTTGTTTGCAGTTGCAGGAATGATGGAGGAGCAGCATCAAGAAATGAGAGGGAAACAAGCGCATGGACAAGAGCCTGTGCCTCAGTCTCTGTTGTGGACTGAGGATTATTCGCTTCCTCACAGGAGACGGCCTGTACACAACAAGTTTGATCCCTAAATGAGGCCCATTGCCCCCCCATCTTTTCATACAGGGAACTAATTTAAGTGTTGTCAGCTTGTCATGACTCAATTATAAGCATGTTGTTTGATCGCTTTTATATCTAGGTTACTTCTTGCCACCTGGGCTATATGTCTTTTTTATCCTTAAAGTTGTCAGGATTTGAACCCTAATCATAAGAACTAGCACTCTACCAACAGAACACGCCGCTGTGGGCACCTGAGCAATGTTCAAGTGAAGAATTCCTCTTCTTATCTTCAGTTTTGTTAATATAAATACTTAAACTGGAAGCAGAGATGATCAATTGAAATATTTTCGTTTTCTTATTGTGATCATCAAATGGAGATTGTAAATCAAGTGTTTCTGTCAGATCTCTTCCAGAGTCAAGGACAGTTCCAAACCAAATTAAAGGCTATGGCAGTCAAGTCCGGAGCAAGGCCTATTTTCTTTGGCAAGGACTCCTATCAAATTGCAGAAAGAAACATCATTGTTTTTCACACAGTTTGAACCAATAATGAGCAATACATAAGACAATCCAGGTCCTATACCTGACTGAATCTGCATGAACTTTTTTTTCTTTTATCTCAAAAGTGCAGACTTTGATTCACCCCTGACCGACAACCGCCGAAAGGGGATTTTCATTTGCTTTATGTTTCCACCATATATTATGAAAATAAACTGCTTAAAATGAAATCTGTGTCTCTATCTCCCACTCCTAACAACAGTAAAAAGGTCCCATACCTGAAAGAAAAAGGCCCTGGACCCTTGTTACGAAAGGAATAGCCACAAATTCTGTCTGCCTATTACTTTTCATTATTAAATGTTAGGCATAATAATAACAGCATTTTCCCTGGATCTTCTTGGCTAATAGCGTTAATATTTAACAATTGCCCTTCCTTTTTTATTTCTTCTCCCAATCAAGTTGGTTCTGAAATGTGCTGTATGTAGAGTTGCATGTGGATAGGGAATAGCAGGAAAATGCTAAAGCATGAACCATGTGGAAAAAAGGTAGCCTGTTTGCTGGTTTATCTGACCCACCCTGTTGGGCTAAAATATAATATTGAGCCACTGGAAGGGGGCCTGGCATCCTCTCAATTAGCAAGCTCAGATATTTCTGTTATGGACTATGGACCCAAGTCAAGTTCCTTGACGATTCATTAGGCCATGAACCAGGATCACTGCTTGTTTCTCTCACTCTGTCTCTTTCTTAGCCTTAACAGCTTTGAGTTTGAGAACTAGTTTTTGTCTAAGATTAATATTATTAATAACATCCATAGATTGAAGACATTTTCATTAAGGTTAAATTTGTGCCATCAAATGACAAATGGCTCCATGATAACTCCAACTTGAATAATTCAAATGTCAAATTCAAAAAATCTGAATCCGAAATAATTAAAAAAAAACAAAATTTCAGAATAAGGTGTCCCACAGAGAGAGAAACAGGAAAAAACAGGTAGTTTTAAGAGAAACCGAACACAGAAGAAGAAAGTTAAGAAAGCATAGTGTACATCGTCAGCTTCAACAACAGGAAGCATATAAAGATAACACTGTTTCATAGTTTCTCACGAAAACCTGTCTGTCATCTCCGCCCTCATGCCCTCTCCTTTCCCCTTATATTCTTCTTCTTCTTTTTCTCTCTTTTCTAACTCCTTCATTTCCTCATTGCCACTCATCTTTTCTTGTTTTCATTCTCTCCATTTCTTTTCATGGCTCCTGCCTTTGAACAAGCCCCAGTCACAGTCCCACAGGAGGGCGAGACTGAAACTGCAACATCCCATAACAATGTCACCGGAAACAGTTTTGGTAATGATGGTCGAGTTGGCTATAAATCTAGGGTCACTGTTGTTGGTAGTGGCAATTGGGGTAGTGTTGCTGCTAAACTCATTGCTTCTAACACTCTCAAGCTCAACTCTTTTCACGGTATGTGCCCACCACTTTCTTTCTTTCTTTTTTCATTTTTTGATTTCATGCAATGATTGAATGGTACTAAATAGAATTTGTTGTACTTGGTTTTTTCTATTTCATTTTGCATGATAACTTGTCTTTGGTTGATTTAGAAACTGAGGACAAGATCACCAAAGGTGTTAAATTGTGAAATTCATATAGTTGAATGATTGAAATTTCAATAAACCATGTTTTAAAAAGTATTGAGAAATTGAGAATGATAATATTTTTTGGAAGTTTAAGGCTTTAGATAATTTGGATCTCTACAAAGCTCAGTTTTGAATTGAATTTATTGTAATGAAAATTCAGATGAAGTGAGGATGTGGGTGTTTGAGGAGACATTGCCAAGTGGTGAGAAGCTTACAGATGTCATTAACAGAACTAATGTGAGCAGTTGAAGAAATTCGTTCGCAATTCTTTTTTGCGCTTGTACTTTCTCAACTTGTAACTGGACTTGTTTTCTTTCACAGGAGAATGTTAAGTATCTCCCTGGTATTAAGCTTGGTAAAAATGTCATTGCGGATCCAGACCTCGACAGTGCAGGTAGTTAGTTTCCTTTTCTCCTTAAATTTCTTCTAATATTTTAGTTGATTTAGATTTTTTAGTGCTTGTATTAAGGGATAGATGTTTACTTTGTTTACGGTCATAATGGAAATTGTGCAGTTAAAGATGCAACCATGTTGGTTTTTGTGACCCCCCATCAATTTATGGAGGGTATATGCAAGAGGCTTGTAGGTAAAGTGAGGGGAGATGTTGAGGCTATTTCCCTTATTAAAGGGATGGAGGTCAAGATGGAAGGCCCTTGCATGATCTCCACTCTTATCTCCGAGCTTCTTGGCATCAATTGCTCTGTTCTGATGGGGGCTAATATTGCAAATGAGGTAATCAGCTGATTTTACTTGAGAAATTCACATACAATGTAATTTTGCCATTGATTTTCTCAAAAGCAATCGGTTGAGCCTGTAGATTGCTGTGGAGAAGTTCAGTGAAGCAACAGTTGGGTACAGAGACAATAGAGACATTGCAGAACAATGGGTTCAATTATTCAGTACCCCTTATTTCATGGTCACTCCTGTGAGTACTATTGATATGTTTTTTCTTTCAAGTTTCAATTAACATCAAATTTATGGATTTGTTTACAGCTACTACTAGTCTACATGTAACTGTAAATCGTAATGGGTATAAAGCCTTGGACGAATCATTGAATAGAAGAGAGCATAAAAGATCAAATTTGTAATGCACTTTTAAGAAATATATCTGCTTTTTGTGTTTATGAACAAACAGGTACAGGATGTGGAAGGGGTTGAACTATGTGGGACTTTGAAGAATGTTGTGGCCCTAGCAGCTGGTACGTAGCACAAGAACGTCTTGTTTTCATCCTTCTAAATTGTGAACTAATAGCGATCCTACTTCCAAATGTTACAGGTTTTGTGGATGGACTTAACATGGGAAATAACACGAAGGTTCGTACATATGGTTTTCTAACTTAGATCTTACCTCTATCTGGCTGTCTCTTTTTTCACTGTTATACATATTATTAGGCTGCAATAATGAGAATTGGCCTGAGAGAGATGAGAGCTTTCTCCAAGCTGTTATTTTCATCTGTTAGGGATAGTACCTTCTTTGAAAGCTGTGGAGTTGCTGATGTCATCACAACATGCTGTAAGAAAGCAGATATCTTCATACCTTCTATTTGAGAAAATCAGTCTACTTTCATGCTAAAATTACGCCATTTGTGGCAGTGGGAGGAAGAAACAGAAAAGTTGCTGAGGCATTTGCTAAGAATGGAGGAAAAAGGTTAGTCTTAACCATTTGGTGAACAAGCTTTACCAGGATAAAATGCAAATGTGACCATACTGTTATTCATCTACAGATCTTTTGACGAGCTTGAGGCCGAGATGTTGCAGGGCCAGAAATTACAGGTAGATCTTAAACAAGCAAAGCATGGTCCTGAAAAAAATTCTGAGTAAATCTCAAACGCTAACATATGTCTTGGTAAAAGAAAAAAGAAAGGATTGACATTTCACTACAACAACAGTTCTTATCCTTGTGCTAAAGAATAAGAGTCCATATGTATCCGGGGAATCTAACAGATAGAAAAATGTTTAAGTTCTCTAGCAGTGTTACGTTGATTCTGAATTAATCTTTAACCTGATTTTCTTCTCTTATACTTAGGGTGTATCCACTGCAAGAGAGTTCTACGAAGTTTTAAGCCACCGTGGATGGCTAGAGTTCTTTCCTCTATTTGCAACAGTACATGAGATCTGTGTTGGTCGTCTTCCACCATCAGCCATAGTTGAATATAGTGAGAAGAAACCAAAGTTATCCCTATTAGAGGACTCCACCCGTTACCTTTGAAATACTCTTGGATAAAACTAAAATATCTTAAATTTCAGTTCACAGAAGTGGCTTTCTTAGTTTGCTCATCAGTCAGCAAGTATAAAAGAGAAGACTTCAACAAAAACTTTGGACAGGTAATCAAGCAAAATGTCGTGCCAATGACAACAAAATGGATTGGAGGGTTGAAATTCACATTCTAGGAAGCTTCTGAGATGCCTCAAGGTGGCCTTTTGACACTTTTGAATGAAGGTTCCAAAGTCTGGTGTTTTTCTTTCTTTTCTTTTTTTCCACTGGTTGTTCTCTTATGATTGTTAGATAAATATGGCTGTGCCTTGTAGCCTGCATAATAATCATCGAGTGTTGAAATACCTAAGTGAAATACATAATTTGCTATGAAAAAAGTTGAATAAAATTTCGCTCATGAAAATGTCTGACCTTCTCATTCAAACTTGGTTTGGTTTTATGTTACTGCTTGCCCTCCATTCCACCTAGAACATCTCCAAATGGGAAACCATTTGTTCTGCTTAATACATAAATCCTGTGAATAACATGCATGAACTCATTGGAGCCTTCATCTATTCTTTCTCCATAGATGAAAATGCCTGTTTGTAGTTTACCATTTAGCTAGGGTGGTCATTGGTCAGGCCTGTTTCAACTTTACATAGAACTGCTATGAAATGCCACGACGATGAAAAACTGGCTTGTGTCTACGAGATGATTGTGATAACAATGGTTAAGAAGGGGTCAATGTCATAGCCAAACATAAGAGTTGCAGTATAACACCAAACCCATATTTCATGCCAGTGTTATGAAAGGATATAGGACAAGCCAACTGCACAGCCCCAAACACCATAATAATAATAATAATAATAATAATAATAAATTGAAAAGAAGAAAACCAGAATGAATTTCTCACAACACCAAACACTTGCATGCATGCATGCATGCATATCTTTACATGAAAGTGTTTTACCCAGTTCGTATTCTATCCAACCGATCAACACTTTTCCGAGCTCTTTCCAACTGGTGATCAATGCTTTTTCGGGATTTCTCAAGGCAATCCACACTCCTCCGAGACCTTTCCAATTGATCGAAAGAGATTCTTAATTTTTCTAGCTTATCCATATTATTAGACTGAGTTTTCAACTTCTCCAGCCGGTCAGTGCTCTTTCTTGGTTTCTCTCTTCGATCAGTACTCTTCCTTGAAACCTCAAACACATCCGTACTTTTCCGAGACTGCCCAAATTGATCTGTGCTTCTCCTAGAACTGTACCTTTGAGAAGGAGATTTCTCAACAGTTGATATGAACTTCTTCAGATGCCTTATATACTCAGGATAGTGCTCTAGATCACAGTGGTTCCCTCCTTTAAGCCAAAGTGGTTCATACTTCTCTTTGCACAGTTCCCAAAGTTGCTTACCATGAGAGCAATCGACAACTTCATCTGAAGTTCCCTACACAATGATATAAAAAGACTGGCCTCAAAAGCTATAATTAGTGGTATAGGAAATCATTTTCACCTTACTTTTTAGGGGTAACTTGCAAACAATCTTCTAGACAGTTATCATTTAGTGATCAATGAATGAAGACAGATACAGAAAATCTTATAATATTTACAAACCAAAGAACTTTTGGTTTCTTTGATTTCTTTTTCATCCGCCGATCCCTCAAAATTTTGGTAAAAGGCATATTCAAATCATTCTATACACTATGAAAGTGAACCTATATTCAAGGAAATCAACAAATTGAATAATTTGGTCATAATATTAATCCCAGCTCATACATGATATTAGATACAGGATGAGGAAAACTAAACTTACCTTTAATTAAACAAAAGCTATGCAAAAGGAGCCAAGAAAAGTAAATTTCAGTGACTGCAGATATTCCATCCACTACCTAATGGAATTATCCATGATACTATAATTTAAAAAGAAAAAAATCAAAAAAGCCAAACCATATATGATAGATACATACAGAAAAATTCAGCAATGTCTACATACAGCATGATTTTCAAAACCAAAAATCAAGCATAGTAATCCAGGTTAGCCACCAATGGGGTCCAGATAGATCACTTCTTTTCACTTCGAACCAGACTACAATCTTCCCCACATACAGAAAATCTGATCTAATTTGACTTTGGCCCCAATAAAAGCTGAGTAATAACAGAGATTATTATCTTTTCTTCTTTCGAGGTATCAAACAAGAGCTGTTGGGCCTTCATTGTTTTCCATACGTGTTCGTTGACTACCTGAAGAATAACTAATATTGAAATACTAAGTAAATCCTATACAAAAAATGGTTCAATCACACTACTCTAGCAAAAATACCTCCAACTCACTTGAGAAGATGAATACATGTTTTAGATGCAAGAATTCTTAATTATATGGACAGCAATTAATTTACTTTGCCTGGATTGCCAAATCCTCCAAAAATAGCAATTTTACCTACTGTCATGATAGCTAACTTTTTGTTTGTACTTGAGACACTTGCATGGGCCAAAGACCACTGCAGATCTAGATTTGTCAGACTTGATTGAAAGAAATGGACCTTCAAAAGGAACTCCTAAGCAAGAAACATTCAACGGAAAAATCAATGATAAGGTATGACAGTATCTGAACTAACATTGAAGGACGACGTGGAAAACTCATTGATATCCCCATATTTTTGTTTAGACTTGCTGGATAAAAGCTCAGTTCGTTATCCAATCAAAGTGGTTTTGGAGACTTTTGGTAAGAACAGCCAAGTTATTAAAACAGATCAAAAGAACATGTAGGAAAAATAAAAAACTGAAAATTCAAAATTCAAAATTCAAAATTCAGAATACATCATATGACGAAGAACAAATCAAGTAGTGCATAAGTATCTAATCTCCCAATATCAGTTTCACATTCAACGTAAACCAAGTTCAGATGAACTCAGTCTTCAAAAAAGAAAAGGAAAAAGAAAAAAAAGAGAGTTCATTAAGTTCCATCATCATTGCAAAGAATTCAATGGAAAAAGATAAGAATCATATAAATAATATAGTGGCTTAAATATCAAAAGCCTAGGGGATATACATGTATGTGGAAGATTTATGAAATTTATAACACATAAAATCATAATGTAGAATGTCAGGGTTGTAGATACTTACATGAATGATAAGAACAGGACAATTGACAAGTGGAATTTTATCAATATTCTGCACACAAACAACCCAATAAAGAACACATTATATATGCAATATTCACATAAATAAATCCTATTAGCAGAATAAATTGGACAAGCAAATTGATAAACCTTTCTGTTACCTTATAAATGTCAAACCAATACGTACGCTTTACAGGATACATGACTCTTAAGCCAGAAAGTATGGGACTGTGCAGTACAACAGCTCTTAACTGAGGCAGCCGAGCTGCTAGATCCAAAGTGGGACCACTACCAACAGATTGGCCATAAAGGATGATATCTTCCTGTTTTGTACCATACCTTTCTTCAAGACATTTATATGCAGCTTCAATATCTGCATATGTATTCTGCTCACTTGGCTATAACACAAGAAAAATATGGGCTTTAGACAATCCTATCAGCTCCACAATTACAACCATATCCTTTTTACAGAAAGATAACATTTTTTTCTTTCCTTTTTTAACAATATCAAGTTTGCTATATACCTTTCCAGAAGATTGCCCATACCCCGAATAGTCATAGCTGCACAATATCACAGTAAATCTATAAGAAACTGTTAACTTTAATTTCTTTAATAACTACTAAACTAAATTCAAAGACATCAATCATAAGTCCTAAAGAAATGAACAAACAACTCCATCTTTCTCTCTTTGGCTAGGTGATAACTACTAGCACTAGACAATAGAATCTGCTACTGCTAAAATGAGAATATGACAACGTTAATTGCTAGATGGGCTTCAATAACAAACAAGTTATCAGGTTAAACCAGCAATCTAATAACTATCAAGTATCAACTAGAATAAGACTAACCGCTAAATAAGCCACAATCTGTACAATTCTCACCTAAACTTGGTAAAAGCATATCAATTTGCCTACACTCAACACCATGAACTGATTTCCATGTTCACCATCTAGCGACATTATCTTCCAGAAGCATATCCCTCAATTCCTTTCCAATTAAATCACACTGTTAAAAGGGACCAATAAAACTTGCATAGCACCAATCATTTCTCTATTTCCAGCTAATTTCACCCACTCAAGCTCCTTTCACATATAAATCTCCATTTCTTGTAAAGGCAATCAACTCAAAACTAAATGTAGTTAAACAAACACGAAAACCAAAAGCCCAGGTGCCAAGAACCACAAAACGCCCATCAAATAAAAAAGAAAAGTTTCAAACTTTTTACAAAAAATTAAAAAAAAAAATGAATAAGCAAAAACGCAGCTGAAAACAGAGCATACCCCATTAGATTGACCCTCAAGTGGATGCTCAATTCGATGAAAAGCTCATACATCTGACCCAGATCCGCAGCGTTTCCATGAGAGTAAAGCAAAGTGGAAGTAGCCATAGGATGCCTGATGTAAATAGCCACAATCTCGGTACCACGCCGAGTTGGTAGCTTAAGAACCTCAACATTTTCTCTATGAGGAAAAGGACTTAGAAGCAAAAGACCAGTTAGTTCATCAGTTACAAGCTTGTATGAAGGTGGGTTTGGTGGGAAAAAAGCGAACTTTGAAGCCATTGAAGACGTTACTCCTCCCATCTCTGCTTTCTTCTCTGTCTTTTTCCTCTGTTTTTGCTCTTTTTCCAGCTTTTTTGTTAGTTTTGGTCAGAAGTTGGAATTGATGCAGATAGACATTCCCTGCTTTTCTTTTGGTTTTTGGTTTTAGTTATTATTTTCTCCAGAAGATTAAAACTTTGTTCAGAGGAAAAGACAGAAAGGATTTTGGTCTTTGTTGCCTATCAGGAGGACTTAAGAGAGAGAAAATGATGGGAGGGTTGCTTTTTTCTTTGTTGTGTCATAAAAATTGGATTTTTTTTTTTTAATTTTTTATTTTGTATAATCTGTTGTAGGGTCAAGGGAAATGGACAGGAAAATTTGGTGGCAAAAATGGCATAGAGAAAGGGTTCCTACTAATATACCTAAACATCCCCGTGAACTCCCATTTGGATACAGTTGATTAATTGAAGCATTTGATCTTTGAATCTTTGATTACATCAAAACCTTATAAGATTCATTATTTATAGTAATATCTAATAGATTTGAAGTTTTTAAAACCTAAAATTTTTTTATATTCAAATTATGGTATTTTTATTAAAAAAAAAAAACTTTAAGATTGCATTTGAAAGGTGATTAATATGCTTTTCTTAAAGTCCTAATGCAAAAGGAATGGATATAACATTAGAGTTGTTTGAAATGATTTTATTCATAAGGTTACCAAGGAAAAAGGTTCAAATTTTGTTGTTTTATGTCATCATAGTTAAATCACACGTAAACATTTGATTTAATAATAAATATATGTATTTTCAATTTAAAAGTATGTTCGAATTCTATTGATTAAAAAAATTCGAATGAAATAAGAATTTTGTTTGTATATATGCATACATTGATCATTGCAAAAGTATAACTTAAACAAAATATAATCCAAACATTTTGTTTTGAAACCATAAAGAAATTGATTGATTATGGTTCCATTTTGGATTAAGAGGCTGGTTTTGGGTAGCTAATGAGGAATTAAGTAACTTCCAAACAAATAAGTTAAGTTTCAATGACTAGAACCACCTACAATGTCCTTTAGCTTTTGTTTGTCTTTCATCACTGATATTCCTTAAATTTCTTGTTTTCCAGCATTGCCTTGAGGATTATCATTGTAAACTCCTACTATTGATTCCAGGGTTTTTTTTTTTTTTTTTGAGAATTTGATTGACAAATTAATCTCATTATCCGTGAACACCCATAGAAAGAAAATCCCAAGCTCAAAGGAGAAAAAGCCTTCAGTTTTAAGGATTTTTGGACAAGACAATTTCTATATTTTCTTACAACTTCATAGGTTGAACCTAAATGGAAATGAAGGTGAGAGTGACATTTATGAACAAATGGGAATGGGACCAATTTCTTAGAACTTACAAAATTAGGATATTTAATACGTTTTTATCATGGGTTACAATTGTGACCGTAGTTAGTGATAAATTAAAAAATCATATCATAATTACAAATTTTGCTAGATTTCTTGTTTAAATCATACTAGTAGTTAGTCCAACATGCAGCACCATGAACTAGAATAGAAGAGCTTGCCCCACCCATGAAAAAATATTTTGTAATAATCTCATTAGACCATATATCTTTCTTAGTATATTCAGATAAGAGCATGAACTAAAATATTTTGGAGCTACAAAGATAATTATTAAATCATTAGTACCACATAAAAACATTTATCTTAGAGTAACTGTTAATATGAATAATAGAAACTTTATTATCATCATTTACATTCAATGTACATTATAGATAGAGGAATACGTAGAGTTGAATGTAGTAAAATAAAAAATTAGAAGATTTTATTGAAATTGTTCATTTGGAGTGATTTGAATTCGTAACTTAACTCGATTTATACAATCATTTTTAAAATGTAATATCCAATAAATTTGAGATTTAAAATTTTAATATCTGTTAACTTTTTTCTTTATATCTAAATTGCGGTCTCTTTGTAGTATAAAAAATATAACAGTGATTTAAATGTTCAATGTGGGGTAGCAGAACATATTTTAGCCATATTTAAACAACTAGAAGTGCAGAAAGGTCTATAACTTTTAACCCACTGATTGGAAAGAGAGAGAGAGAGAGAGAGAGAGAGAGAGAGAGAGAAACCTGGCTTAGATTACTGGCCAAGTGAAAATGGAAATCTTATTAATAAACTTTTCTATGCAAAGTAGGGAAAATATCACATGGCCTCAAGCTCCTTTCAGCTTAAATGGAGGACATAATTGCATGTTGATAGCAAAATCCTTCTTTCTTTGCATTGCTTCAATCTCTAGGTGTATTGAAACCAGCACTAAATGCCTAGCACGTGCAAGCCTCAAATAACAACCCTAGCTCCAAGGATGGGTCAAAAACTTGGCTTAGCTGCCAAGCAAAAAGTGGTGACATCAACCCTGGAAAAGAATCATGATGTTGAAGAGGATAAAAATGGCAGGACCTAGTGCTTGTTCAATCATTTTAACCCTGTGTTAAAGTACCATCTTCGAAATTACCATTAGGAAGGGCTATTCAAAACCAACATGGCAAAAAACAAAGCAAGGGATATATGATTTGATTTGATATCATGCTCATAATGAACCTGGTAAGGAAATCTTTTCTGTTGATCTGAGATCCCAAGACAGTCCTGGGAGAAAAAAAAAGTTGATGAGAAATCTAGCTAGATGTTAATTTGGTCAAAACTCAGAACAAATCATGTTGGATTTCTGGTCTAGAAATGCTTCAAAGTAGGGCCAATGTAGTGGGAGACCCTGCCTCTAAAAGACAAGTGCAACATATTAACCACTAGCCTGAGGGACCCTAATTTCAGGACTATGCCTTGGAACCAAGGTCACAAAAAAGACGAAGCCCTAGTTTTGTTGGGGAGGGGGGTGGGGGGAGAAAATGACCCAATAACAATTAACACCTGATATATAATCAAAAGGATAATGAGAGATGAGACTAATGAAAAGAATAAGCATTGGAATGATTTAAATTGGTCAATTATAGGAGATGCTGCTTCCTTTATTAAGAACAGTGGGCCATAATGCAGAAATACATACACACATGTATCGACAGAAAGTCACAAATGTACATCAAAAGTCCTGAATGAGGTTGAAATGAAGCATTTGGATCATGTTCAATCAAGCTCAACTGCCATGAAAAAAAATGATTAACAGTAGGTTTTACATATTGTAGTTTTATACATTTATACCACACTGCACAGGCACTTGCCAATTTCTTACCAGTCATCTCCCAAAACTTTCTCCATAGATTATAATTAATCCATCATGATAACAGTCACCTTAAGCCTCATTTTCAGTATTCTCGTCTGATGAATTTTACCACTCTGTTAACTTAAAATGAACCATTTTCTCAAAGTTGTAAACAGAAAACAAGATTTGACTAAAAAAAAGGATAGAAAATGACCATTGTTTGTTGTTTCATGGTAGGCTGAAGAGTTGTTCACATAGCTTCCTTTCCATCCAGAACAAGGTTTGCATAGTCAGACTTTGACACAATAGAGCTACTCTTTACCATTTCTATAATCAACTTCAGCTTATGATGCTTTTCTCCTTTTCCTATCAAAAAGAAAAGGTTCTGCCCCCATGCAGGATCGAAGTACAGATCTTCAGTTTACAAGACTCACGCTCTACCACTGAGCTATAGGGGCTTTTGGAACCAGCAGTTCAACTTAGAATTTGTTGTTTAATTGGCTCACTTCATGTGATATTGTGATAGGGACTTATTCATCTTGAAACCAAGAAAGGTATATTCTTCTTAAGAAATGCAGGAATGAAAAGCAAAGCAAAATGAGTTTCCAAAGCATCACACTCAGATAAAGTTTGCTCTTTATAATATCATATACTTGACAACAATGTAGAAATCAAACATGATTATTTTATTTTTAACAATTATAGGTTGCCAACTTTGGTCACATAGTGGCCGTTGGCTTACATGTCAAACACAAACCTTGACAGGCCAAGTGAAAATTTTTAAGAAAAATTTAGATTTTGAGCCCCATAGGACATCATTATTTAGTGGCTGTAGTAGTAGGAAAGACAGTGATGAAGGCCTTCCAGCTTAAAACAGTGAGCCTGGAATGCCTTGCTCATCATGGCAGCAGAGGAAAGTGGTGTATTTCTCCATGAGGCGGTGGCATTCAGGGCACCTCATGCTCTCCGGGATCCTTGTGGTAGTTGGGAACTCGAATCGGCAGCAAGGGTGAGCAACATCATGAAGCTTGTCATGGTACTCCTTGAATGCCAAATCAAAACCTTTTTCCGCCACATTCACTTTCCATTCATCATAACCACCCAAAGCAGGCAAAACTGTGGTGGAATGGCCATTCACCACTATATTAGACCCTCTACTAAGCACTGCCCATCCACCTTCTCTGTCATAGCTAAGCAGCTTCTTGATTTGTTGCATCATTGGATCCTGGTCATCAGCCCTGCCTAATTGAATCTTGGAAAACAGCATACTCTCTAACCTGGTCCAGAAGAACCAAACCATGGCCATATCTTGCCAGGCATAGCTAAGCTTCTCCAAATTGATAATTCCTGTCACTTTCCTGACTTGCTCTCTTTTGGTGCTTTTCCCCACATAGACCATTTCTAGAGAAATGCGAGATGCAGATGCAACACTGCGTGCTGCGGTTGCAAATCTTCTCACCCACTCAACATCATCACCTCCATACAAGAAAATGTATTTACCTTCTTTAATCTGATCAAGTTAAACAGAACAATTCAAGTTCAAAATCTCATATTAAATAGATCCGTATACTTGCAGTAAAAGTAAACATATATGTACTGTTATTTCTAACAACTTAATGAAAAAAATTGGTGAAGTTTGAAAATATATAGACGTATGTACCCAATTGAGGACCATTGGGTCAATGCCATCAACCAGTAGATCAAGCCTCCATGTTTCTTCCCTCCAGAGAGCTTCTTCTCTCAAGCTAGTGAAGGGGAATGCAGTGCTTCCCCAAATCCACATCATGTGGATTGCATTAGGGGAAACCACCTTCCCTTGAGGGTCTAGCACCACAAGGATCGGCTTGGTCCTGAAGTGCCAAACCTCCTTGATGAACCTGATGACTGGCTTCTCTATGAGCAAAGGGTCCTCCACTGAGTACCATGGCATGGTGCTTCGTAGGTTTTCAAATTTGGTTCGCGTTTCAGCGGTCAATGGGACGATGGTACGGTCCACAATTGGGATCCAAACAACCTCATACTGACTATCTAGCCTTGTTGGATGGACCCTGGACTCATTATATATCTGCTCGAGGATAGAAAGCTCATCATTGGAGAATTCCAGGCTTGAAATGAGCAAGAGCACATTTTTCCTTCTCAGCACGTCCAGGCCAACCTGTGCAATATCCCACAACAAAATGTTGAAATATATCCTACAATAAGCACAGGCTAAAAAAGACTGAGAAAGAAACTGTTATAATTTGGTAAGAGAGCCATACCTGTCTCTTTGTAGCACCGTCAAGAAGGGGAAATCTGTCATCCCTGGCATAAATCAAGGCCTTGAGAATTTTCATATTGTCAATGTGGATCACGTTCGGATCAAATAGATTCAGAAGCAACTGGTAAGTTTCAACATCTTTCCTTTCCTCTGCAATTGACAATGATCCAATCAAATCAATGAGCATTTTCAATCAATTTTTTGGGCTATTGCATAACAATGTTTCATGGGGTGAGTCACTAACCAATAAATTGGTAGCAAAAGTTCAGCTGCTGCTTTAGATGTTCATATATGTTCTTGAGTTTGTGAGCCAAGGTGGATAACTCCCACGACTCTGTAGTTGATATTCCAAACCTGTAATTAATGCAAACTATTAATCCAACTATTTTTAATTTTCCAAACTCAGGCCCTATATAATTAAATATTGCAATATAAGATGAAGAAGCAAAACATACTCATGACCCATGCTAGTAAGGTTGGTAATTTGAGTTGCACACGCCACCATGCTCCTGATGGTCCAGTAAACAGCAGTTGGGATATGGGTCAAGGCAGTGGCCAATGCCGGTACGTCTGGTAAAATGTACATTGATGGAAGCTCCTTAAACTCAACAACACATCTAGTCACATCCATCATTGTCCGAATCAAATTGTTGAGTGCATCAAACCGGGGTTTCAGAGGAGCTGTGTGCTCCAGGATTGATGGCAGTTGCCTCAGGATTGCCATTGACTTGGCAAGTTGGTTTGTTGAGTAAATCTGAGCAAGAAGCCAGAATTCTCCATAGTTCAAAGCAAAGGCTGATAGGGACAGCACTAGCTTAGCATCCCATGTATAGCTTGATAGCAAATTGAATATTGCAGTTGTTGTTGCATGTGCATCTGAACCTCCCAAAGCCTTGTATGATAGCTGGCAGTGAAAAATGTTTGTAACATCGAGATGTTAATATATATGAATATCAGATAAGCCATGATTGTACTAATTATATTTTCATTTTTAACAAAGAACAAATTTATGTTATAATTTGCAGAACCTCGCATGCAATTCGATCAATGGTATATGTAAGAGCTTCAAGCATTGCTATATAATTTGCTTGCTGGGCTTTTTCTTCCATTTCAATTTGAGCTAGAGTACCCTGCAGTAAACATCAGGAAGGTGAGCATTTTTCAACCATTTGTTTAGCAGGATAAATGCAGCATATGTTATACCTTGACAATGAAATCAACATGCTGGGTGGCACGATTGAGGATGTCCTCAACCAGATAGAGAAGTGGTCGAACATCAACTTCTCGGCCATCAGGCGCATGGGTTGCCCAAATTTGCTTCATCATCGCATTGTCATCTGACATGCTTAGCATGCCCCCACGGTCAGCCCGGATGAGTGCTTGACTAGCACTGGGACTCTTCATCATTGCCTGAGTAGTGCTAGGTTTGCTGATTAATGCCTGATTAGCACCAGGAGTAATGATTTGTGGCTGACCAGAAACAGGATGGCTAATGAGCTGCTGACCAACACCTGGTTTGAGTGGCTGAATAGTAGCAGCACGGTTGTCGAGAAGTGCCTGAGCAGCAGCAGCAGCAGGATTGCTAATGAGTGCTTGAGGAGCAGCAGGGTCACGGAGGAGTGCCTGAGCAGCAACAGCGGGATTGTTGAGGGGTCCGATCATTGTTGGCTTAAAAAGCCCTGGGGTTGTCTTCTGCTGATCCATTGAATATTACAGAAAAAAAAAAGGCAAGATAAAAACTTGGGGTTTTGGTTGCAGAAAGAGGGAGAAGATGGCTTGTATATTTGTTGCCATCAGACAAACCTATTTATAGCCATCGCAAATGGAATAAAGCTGACTTGAATCAACTTCCTTGCTTCATATCCAATTAAATTGTTGGATCGTTAACAAGAAGCCTATTACTTTAAGTGGTCCTCCTGTCGCACCCCCTCTCCCTTTATTACGGTACTTGTCTGGGACCTTGCTGCGCAGTGTTTAACATAGTTGATTGATTTTAATGTAGTTCAAGCCTCTCTGATAGGAAATGGGCGGTCATTAAATCCAGGTTCTTGAGTTTCCTAAGCTCCAGGGTGAACTTCTAGAGATACAAAAGTCAGGCCAGAAACCAGAATAAAAAAAAAGCGCTCAAATATTGCCAATTTTTAGTTAAACATTTCATATATGAACTGAGTACGGATTAAAATATTATCAGAAAATGGTCCCAGGGAGAGAACATACAGTACCAAAATCTTCAAATAATCTTGGCCGTCAAACAAAAATGGAACGAGAAACATGCTGATAGGCAAGTGTTGTGCTTTGCATCCTTACTTGATTCTGTTTTTTACGTGTGACTATGATTGAGAATTTTTTCTCCTGTAACAAACAAGGAGTGACATGAAGAAAAGTAAGAGATTTGATTCTTTGCTTTTTCTAAGGTAAGTTGAACAAAATTGTGATTTAACAGCTGAGCAAACCTAAGAATTATCTGGAACAGGAATTCATGTCATGGTTTGAATTTCCTTTTTATTCACGAACATCAACAGGCTTTATCTTTACTGCTCCGAAGAAATTCCATATCTTTTTCTCTTTAGCATCTCTGCTTGCCTTATTACAGTAAGTCCATGGAATTAACATTGATACTTGAATTCGAAGGCTCAAGATCAACCAAAACTATACACGATCGGGGTCTACTTTTACCATTGCTTTTGATTTATTTCATGCATGCTGAATGAAGCACGGTTGTCTTAAAATTATTATAAAATAAATGAAACTGGAAGGCATAGAAAATTAAGACTCAACTCTTGATAATTTCTATTTGAAATTGACATTTCTACCTTTCATCCATTGTTGGCTAATTAACCATACAATGTGAGGATTTTGTGAAAAATCTTAAAGTCATTACATTCATATGATTATAGTGAAATATTCAATGTGATACATAAACTTTAAAATTTTCTAATATGGTACCTAAACTTTGAATCTATAAACTAATGTTTAGTGCTACTTAAAGGGTTATTGTTTGTCATATGTTATCATTTGAAGCTAATCATGTTAGTATGAATATCATAACAGATTCATAATTTAGACATTACATTAAAAATATTTTAAATTTAGGTACCACTTTAATTCAAATGTCATTCATGATATCATCCCAAAAAGAAGTAGGTTCCTAAGTCCTAACATAGTGTATAGTTTGAGTCACCATCTTAATCAAAGTAACATATATCCACATGAGATTACAATCTCATAATTGGTAAGAAAAGGAGTTCTCTTTCTTATTAAGGTTTTACCCTTTTGGAGCACATCATAAGTAAAATCCTAAATGCATCAAATAGATATGGAATAGTGCATTTAAGATCCGTAAAGAGGAGATTAGATCCAAACAAAGTATGAGAACAACTTCCTATACATCCAATTTGATTTCTCCTTTATATCAATGATTACATCTGAGACAAACTAGAATGTAAACTTAAAAAGACTTGTTATATACATTTTAATACAGAACACATAATAATTTTAGCATTTTGAAGCACATAGGTTCTTAAACCTCACACTTCTTTAAACTATTCCAAGCCTTTAATTTATACATAGAATGCAGCATCTATGCTTATGTTCTTTTTATTCATCGCAGCACTGGTACAAAATGTACCTCTCCATGGTACGTCCACATTCAGAACAAATCACTCGTTCTGGTATCCCACGGGCAGTACCTGGTAGAACTAGTCGATTGCAATGGTGTGGGGCTGGATGCTGCAGAAAGTAATCATGTATTGCCAGAACCAAACCTTTTGTTTGCACATCCTCTGCCCACAGATTATAATTTGATAAGCAAGTTAGAAATGCACTTCCCTTGGCTCTAGTCAACTCTGATGAACCTTTACTAAGCAAAGCCCATCCCCCTTCACTGCTATCAAATGAAAGCAACGTCTCAATTTCCTGAGTTATAGGATCATTGTCATCTGCTTTGCTAAGTTGGTGCTTTGAGTACCACATGCTCTCTATTCTAATCCAGAAGTACCAAATTGCAGTCAGGTTTGGCAAGCAATAGCTAAGTTTTTCTGCAGTAATAGTAGCCATATTTCTTTGGACACGCTCCTTTGGATAGCTCTTTCCCACATAAACCATTTCCAGGGCAAGACCAGAAGCTCTTGCAACATCATGTACGGTGTTTGTGAATTTTCTAATCCACTCTATATCCTCTCCTCCATACAGGAATATGAATCTTCCGTCTGATATCTGATAAATCATAGAAGTTCATATATTAAAGCATGAGGGAGTATATATGAATACAGCAGAAGAAAATCAGTGCTAGACACTTAAAAAGTAACAATTCCATGCATACAATTTTCTAAGACTTGTGAAAATAAACATACCCAGTTCAAAATCACAGGATCAATGCCATCCACAAGCAACTCAAGTTTCCAAGTCTCTGCCTTCCATAAAGTATCTTCCTTTGCAGTGGTGAAAGGAAAGGCCAAAGCCCCCCAAATCCACATCATGTGAAGTGCATTTGGGCATGCAACCCGTCCTTGTGGATCTAGAACCACAAGAATAGGCTTCTTCTCAAAATGCCACACTTCTTTAATGAACTTGAATACTGCCCCATCAAGCATTGAAGGGTGGTGCAATGTGTACCATGTCATAATACCATTTAGATTCTCAAATTTGTCTTGCTTGATCTTAGACAATGGGACGGACGGGTCTAGCACTGGGAGCCACACAAACTCATATTGATTTTCCAGCCTTGTTGGTTGGCTCTCGGACTCATTATATATCTGTTCAAGAATTACAACTTCATCTTGCAAGATGTCTACATCTGATATGAGCAGTAGAACATTTCTTTTCCTTAGAACATCAACATTAACCTGGTTTTGTCATGTAAAAGGTTGATGCCTTGTCAGCATGTCGAAAAGCAATAAACTAGCTTTGTCTCTAAAGACTAGAAAAATCCTTTCCAAATTTTCTTTTAACTATCAAACTAATCCCAAACTATTAGTTTATGAGCATATAATGTAAGTGCTTTTTGGTACTGGGATATAAGACTAAGAGGATAAATTTGTATGTTACACAACAAAAGTATATAATTTTAGTTTTTTTCTTAAATGGCTTAAAGAAATAGTCAAAATAAAGCAGAGAATAATTAAAAACATGAGCAAACCCTTTTCTTGGTGGCTCCATCAACAAGTGGTAGTGGATCATCCTTTGGGTTAATCAACGCCTTGAGAACCTTATTGTTGTCAATTTGGGCTGTCTCAAACAAATATAGAAGGTTCTGGTAGGCTTCAATAAATTTTCTTTCATCTGTATGAGGAGCCTCATTAAAATGTTGATCATATAAATGTTCTATCCATCATTAATAATAATACTGTATTAGCCACGGTAAGCTCACCTATGTGTTTATAGCAGGTAGCCAGAAGACCTACTAGATGGCTGTGCATGTTACTGAGTTTGTGAACCAAGCTTGATAGTTCCCAAGATTCTGTAGTAGATAAAAGATACCTGAAACCAAAAAAAAAAAAGAAAAAACCCTCGTATTTCTAATATCAGCATGGAAAGAATTCATTTTAAATTATTTATCCATTTCTTCTTATTCATAAGAGAAATCAAGGCTAGATAAGCTATATCCTCAAACATATATCAAAATAGTTTACAACTTAATCTGATTATTACATAAATCCTAAAACTTGTTGTGGCATCTAGCAGAGTAAATGTAACCAATGGTCTTCAATGGTGGAAAAGTGGCTAAATGCTCTTCAAAATTGGAGCTGTCTAGGTGATTGTATCTCATAAATTAGAGCATCAATAACATAATTTATGCTAAAGATATCGAAGACATACTCATTTCCAAATCCTGAAAGGCCAGTTATCTGAGACGCACTGGCCAAAATGCTTCTGATGGTCCAGTAGATAGCTATTGGTATAAGGTCCATGGCTTTGGACATTGCAGTCACATCTGCTGTAATGTACTTGGACGGTAGCTCCTTGAAATCAACTATACACTTGGCAATATCTAGCATGGCTCTGATAAGATTCTTAATTGTGTCAAGCTGAGACTTCAGCATGTTTAAGTGCCGTATTATTTCAGGTACTTGTCTGAGGATAGCCAGGTTTTTGGCTAGTTGGTTTGAGCTATAACTCTGGGCAAGGAGCCAGAACTCCCCATAGTTAACAGCAAAAGCCGATAAAGCTATCACCAATTTGGCATCCCAAGAATAGTAGGATACCATGTTCAATATGGACATTGTAGCTGCATGTGCTTCCCCAGTTTCAGTGCATTTAAATGCCATCTGCAATACCTGCACCGTTAGTCACAAATATATGTACAAATATTCACAGAAATCAGAGAGAGAGATTTATAATAACCTCACAAGAAATTCGGTCAATGAGAAAAGCGTCAAGCATGTCAGTTACATTGGTTTTGTAGGTCTGGTCTTCAAATGCTTCGGTATGTGCTTGCATACCCTGTAAGACAAAAAAACGCATTAACAGCATAAGCACTGTTGAAGAGAAATAAAAATAAAAGAAGGAAGATGGCTTGCATAATTGCAAAGATCTTTAAAGCTTTAACTTCTACAGCATCAAAATTTTCTTTGATACAAATCCAGTCCAAGTTCTACTTATCTAAGCAATTACCAACAAAATTCAGACACCTACACTATACTCAAATGCCCATGATGGTAGCATCATCAAACATATATTTCAGGAGTGCATATCCATACATTAAACTGATCTTTTTTTTAATCTTCTACTACTTTGCATGATTCTTTTTCTTTGTTACTCAGAAGCAAATATTATTTGCCCTAGTTAGAGTAGGAAATTAAGGTAAAATAGAAGAACAAAAAGAGTCAGCCTAGGAATTGTTACCGGTGCATCAACAGCATTAGAACTTGAGTCGGCACAGTTGAAGATGTCTTCAACAATATGCAGAAGAGGTCTGACATCAATGACACGTCCATCAGGAGCATGAACTGACTGAATTTGTTTTAACATCACACTGTCATTGGACATTGAAATCATAAGTCTTTCACCTCTGACAGGTTGCTGCATTTTGGCTGTAGGTGTTAGCATTGACTCCATCTATTAGGCCTCTAATGCAGAAACACTAATGTTTAGGGTGGTGTGGGAAGGAAACAACAAAGGTTATGTGCTTGTATGATATCAGATGAAGTATAAAGAAAAGTTGAATCTACTTCCTTGCTTGCTTCTGATGTGGTTTGATTCTTGAAAACTCAAAGAATGCACATAAAATTAGCATATTCAACAGGCCGACAAATCTGCATCAATATGTTTAAACTTAAAACTATAATAAATCTGCATTATCAAACAGGCTATTCCTAGTAATTAAGCATATATCAATGATTAAAGCGATCCATGTCCGTCCTGTTAGCCCCACTACTGGTTTAGAGAAAGCTTTGCTTGGTTTAGAGAAAGCTTTATGCTTCCTTACTTGACCGATTGTTCCAATATCATGATTGGGAATAAAACAAAGTGAATAGAAAGGGAAAGTTACAAATTACGTGGATTTTATTCTTTGCTTGTTCTTTTAGCACTGGAAAGGTTATAACAGTGATTCATAAATATTAGAAAACTAAAGCTTGAATGGTGGCTAGATAAACCAAATTTGTAATAATAAAAGTCTTTGCTTTGTTGATATTGTGTATATGACGTAAGAATGATTATATTTATAGAAAAATAGCTTTCAAAATAAATTCCAACACAACTATAGTCCACAGATATGGAGCATAGAATTGGAATGTCACTAGATGCAAAACCAATGAAGTTCAAACTCTGTTAAAAAAAAAATCAATAATGACACTTACTTGGATCCAACATAATCCAAACTTAAACTGGAATCCTTTACCAGCTTGCCCTCCTTAGAGCATCTGATCATACCTTCGGAAACTTGAAACTTGACACAATAAACACACATGGGTTTCGTTTGCAGCCATGAATCTTTTTTTTTTTTTTTATTGATATCATTGTCGAACACAAACCAAGAATTGACTGTGACATCGTAGCCATGTAAGATATTTTAATAGTCAGCAGCAAAAAGAATGGATTTTTCATCATCAAGATGTGTAAAATCACGTGGCCGAAAGGTGCTAGAGGGAAGTTCAGGCACAGAACTCCATGTATTTTAAGGCAGGGTCGAAAACTTAGCCGCAAGGTCACTCTTTATCGTTCCCATAACCAAAACCCATAGCATAAATCTTGTTGTCCAGGGCAACTACTTGAGCCAAAAGCCCATCTCGGAACAACCTCTTTCCAATCCCCCTCATGACATTTAAGGCGTGTTTAGATGAACTGCTCTCCTATGGAAACAGACAGATATTTTCACCACCGTCCCTCTTCTTCAGTCCTGCAATCTCCTCCACTCTCGCCATCGTTTCCTTGAGCTTATATATAGATGACGGTATGGCCCGCCAACTATAATGCCCTACCTCTGTTTGGTTTCTTAATGTTGTTTGGCATCCGCCCAATCCGTTTCTTAGCCTATAAATAAATAACTTTCCTCATTTTTAATCCAAAAAAAATCCCAAGAGTTGCTCTTTGCCTTTAGTCCCATCTATTCCTCCTTTGGGCCGCCGCCTATCTTTTTCTCTGCTTTAGCCGCCGTCTCTTCGCAGTTGCTCTCAACGCCTACTATCAATCCCGTCAATTAGTCAGCGCAGGTGTTCGATAGTAGTGGCGGTTTGTCAGCAGTTTGGTGAGGAACACATTTTTATGCAATTTTCCCCATATTTTCCATATCCCAATTTTCTTTTAGTTCATCTTTATCAACCCACCATAGGAAAATGAGAATCTTGAATTTCTTGTTCTTTTCCTCATATTTTCCATGAACTAAACATGGGTTTCGTGGAATTGCTCAGTTGGTAAAATGCAATAGTTAAAGTTTGTTGCTTTTCAATAGAATTTATGAGAAAAACGTTTTTTTTTTTCCTTTTTGTTGTTTTAGTTATTGTTTATTGAAGAATTTGCATGAAAGTTGCTTATGTATGTGTACGAGTTTGTTTATTTAGTTTGGTGAAATCATACTTTTGTGATCAATCATTAATTTGATATTAAATTTGAGACAAATGGTTCAATTAGAAGTGATTTTGGCTAATTTTCTCTCGCTAGGGTTGGGAATTGGTGCAATATTTGATGTTAGTACCACCTTTGAACTCATCAAGACTACCACTATTAATAAGGATTTCAAAGTTTTAGAGAATTCTGTACATTAGATATCATGATGCTTCTTCCTATTATGCTTTAGTTGTTAATTTGAACTGATTTTATGGCCTTTCTGCTAATGTAATGTAGTTGTCGTGTGCAGAGCAGTTGTATTGCTGTAATGTCAGAAGCTCCGAAAAATTCAGTTGGTTCGAGTGAGCAGCGTAAAGGTGGACCAGATTTCTTTAGCTTATACGCTCGTGAAATAGCTGATCTGTTGTCCCAAGATGAAAAGACCCTGCCCCCTTCCGATGCATCTGAGTTGTCTCAAGGGAAATATGGGGTCATCAATGGTAAAGAGGCTATGGACTGCAGTCGTAAATGTGCTGATTCACCTTTTGAAAACAGCATTGGTGCTGGGCTTTCAGATTTCAAGAATGGAAGATTGAAGGGATTACTTAAGCAGACCGTGAGTGATCTCTCAATGGAAGTTGATGAGGTATAGATTCTAGCTCATTTCTACTCCGATTTTCTAAAGATAAATAACTAATGGCTCCAACTGTTGGGGACTTCTGGAATTTGATTTATAAGGAATGTTTATGGTTTTTGTACTAACATAACTTCTAGAGTTAGTATAGATTAAGATATGCTATTTCTCTGGTTTTTAGTAATATCCAACAATTATATTCTCTCCTAAGACAAATGAAAAACATTAATGAATAAAATTGGAAGTCCCGTTGCCCTCGTGCTTGTGTACTTGCACAACATCTTGCTTTCGTCAATATATTTTATGTTCAGCTACTTCAAAGCATAACCTTGTTTCTAATGATCTCAATAGGCCCCAATTCAGAAGAGAGACATAAATAGTTTATAGGTTCAGTTGTTCTCTTCTTTTTCTTTTTTTTTCATCCCCTTTTAGCTGTTCTAAGGCTGAATCACTAAGGTATATTTTGTTCCTGATAGCAGGTAAGGGAAACTGCATTATCATTGTTGGTATAAAAATTCTTGCATTCGATATGTCATTTTATCTTTATTGTACAGACATGTTCTTGCCAACTCTCACTTACTTAAGCCCTTTTCTGGCTCTTATCACCTTGTGGCAACTTTTAGCTTGCTACCTCAATGGTGCCCTTCTTTTTTTATTACCTGAATTGCTGGGTCTTCATGTCTCTTTCTTTATAATTATTTTAAAGTAAATGAACGATGATATAATCGTGTAGATTGTTTTTTGGCTCCCATCTTTCAGAGATAAAAAAATTGTAACAACTAAATAATGTGATTATTGCAGATGTTAGATCCTGTTGTGGATATGTGTCAGTTACGGTATAAGGTCAGAAGCAACAGTTTGGTGACTTCAGCATCAGATGGTGATGCTGCCGAAGTTCCCAGTAAGAAACCTAAGATACGATCTTCCTGCACATCAGCCAGCATCACTAGAAATTCTTGTCCTATCAAATCTGGATCTTGTGAAGAGGTTATATTTTACTCTTCTTCTCATTGTTGAATCCTGGTATCGATTCACCTTCCAATATTTCTTGCATGATAAAAGAATGAGTGCATGCATTTTCTTGAAATAAAAAATTAGATTCTAAGAAATCCCAAGTATGTATATTGAAAATGGCCTAGTCCTAGATAGATAAATGCTTTTGCAGTGTTACAGCTATATATGATTAGTTTGTTGTCTGTAGAATTTCGGGTGGCATTTTATTTATATGTAAATTGCAACTAACCAATTTATTCACCCATATTCACATATTTTTGTACGTCCATGTATCTATGTTGATATATGCATATATTATTTGAATCAACAGAGGTATTTGACTCTTGAGCATGTGCCAAAAAATCAGGCATTATCATTAGTAACTTATTAATAAATGTGTTTCATTTTACTTTCTTGTTCTTTCTAGGTGGAAGATGATTTGGAGTTCCTTCTAAAGAATGATAACCAACTGATGGTAGAGGAAACAATGAAAAAATATTCTGATGAACTATCCTCAACGGTGATTTTCTGAAATTGTATTTTTCCATAACATATAACAGTTTCATAACCTTCTTTGTCACGTATGCCTCTTTGGCAAATTGTTTGTAGCTGAACTTTGGTGGCATCTTCTCTCTTTCTTTTTCTTTTTTTTTTCTTTTTTCAGCTGTTGCATATGGAGCAGAAGCTTGAAGAAACTTTAGATACTATAATGTCCAAGTGTAGGTATGGTTTTGTTCCGAGGAACTTATAGCTTTGAGTGTGCTCTAGGGATGATGCTATTTAGCAACTGGATAATAGGCACCTATTATGAATTTTACCTTTCAAATGTGCATAAAATGTTATAGTGCCGCCTTTTTTCACCTAACCTCAACCAGTTTAACACTCTAACTTCAATCTACAGGCCCATGACACGTGCTGAGAAGCGGCAGCTTCAGAAATTTATTCAGAAGCTACCTAAGGAAAATCTGGTCCATGTTGTTGAAATTATCCAACATGGTAGGCCAGCTGGAAAACCTTGTGATGAAGAAATCTTTGTTGATCTGGAAAAAGAGGTAAAGCAATATCTGTAAGTTACATGGTTTTTTGAGTTAATTTAGAATTTCTGACATGTTCCAAGACAATGTCTTGCAGGAAAATACAACACTCTGGAGATTGTATTACTACGTGGAAGCAGTTGAGAAAGCCAAAATGCTTGCAAATTTACAACGTAGCAAAACCCCAACATTATAGCCATCCTTTCTGAGACCATGAAAGCAGTTCTGCAAGCCTTCTATCAAGACTATTATATGACTCTCCCCCTTGCTTAAAGAAGCTATATGGACATTTGTAGATGTTGTTGATCACAGAAGATTTTCAAGAGATGCTCTGCAGATTGGTTTTCAACCTAGTTACTTGATTCTTGTCTTTAGGAACTTGACAACACTGCATTAACCCATATATTTGATACTTTAGGATTGGCATGAAGCAATTTTTTCTTGCCACAGCACCTCTGGATTTCAATATGAAGCGGCCTCTTGATTAGTCTTTGATTGATCTATTCAGTATAGATTGACACAAGTTTGTAAATTCCTTAGAAAAGCAGTAAGATCAAAGTTTTTGAGTTTTTGGTTTATATCAAGTGTTTAGCAAGCATGTTATATGCTTTTTGGGAAGCACAAAATTTTCAAGGCATGCAATTTGGGGGTCCATTCCAGTTAAATTTTGGACTCCAGGAAAATTTCAGCCTCATAAGTTTTAGTACAAAACAACCTTTAGTTAGTTTTCCAGTTGATAACAATGCACACATTCTTAGTTTAATGCTAAATGACAGAAATTTAAGCCAATTCAGACTGCTCAAAGGAGAGAACATTGATTAAATAGAGAAATCTATGCATCATTGATGTAGTTAAGCTCAAACGTAGATAGCAGTATCTGCTTTAGTTTTCTTTCATTCATATACAGGTTTGAAGTTCTTGTAAGCTATTATGGCATAAAAAGGGTCTGAACCGGAAAATAAACCAAGCCACTTCATGAACCAACTGAATGGTGATTTGTCATCTTGAGCATTACCAGCAGTTGGTAATTTCCGGATCACTTCTGGCTGAGTAAATCCTTCAATGCACTGGAAATACTGCAGAACAAGTTGTACTCGACTATATGCAGTTCCATCTCTCCAGGCACTGATGGCTTTCTCATAGAAAAGTCGATTGCTAAAGCTTACAATGAATACCCCTCCTCGCCTAAGCACCCGAAAAACTTCTGCAAATACCTGCAAAAACCGAAAAACTTTCAGACCCTTTCATTGATTCCTGTATAACTTCATATTCTGATGAACAAAATAGCATCAGCTTACCTTTTCAGGTTGCTGAAGGTATTGTAGACTAACAGTGCATAACACCGCGTCGAAACTGCCATTTTCAATCTCAAGTTTTTGATCCTGGTTTAGATCCTTGACAAAGAAGTAATCCAGCCTAGGGTTCCTGGCAAGTTCCCGAGCATTAAGTCCATGACCAACCACTCTTTTGTAAACAACTTCCTTTGGTAGATGGCTAATCCATGAGCTCATGAGGTCAAGAATCTCTGACCCAGGCCTTAATCTGTCCCTATACAAATCTGTTAATGTGGCAATGAAGCCATCATCAACATGAGTCACAAACCGTGGATAAGCATAGAATTCCCTGTCAGGAAATGTGTTTCGTTTGGTTCTGCCTTCATTGGTAAGAACCAGGCGTTTGATTCTGCCTGCTTTCGATTGGTTTGCTTCCTTGTTTTCATTCGAAGTGTTTGAAATTTTTACTGGAAGAATCTTGTTTTTTAACAGAAGAGAAGAGGAACTTTGTGGATTTGCTGCAATTGATGGCTGCCATGGCTTGGGTTGTACGTGAATAGGAAGCATTTGTTTTCAGGACTTGAAAAACACGTTCCAGGTTTTCCTGATTCATATGATTGCAGAAAAGCTTGCTGATTTATGGCTGTAAACACTTGCAGGTATCCATTCGGGCCCACAAAAATAAGTTATACATGGGCCCTTGTTAGGCTCTTTGTACTACTTTATCGATCTTACTAATGGCTCAATGTCATGAAGGCCCATGATTTGATTGGTAATTAATTAGAGGGGACAAACATTCAAAGGGTCCATTTGAGAGTTCGTCCGAAAGATTTTCAATGTAGGGATGTGAATAGATAGTAAATAAATAAATAAATAAATGTTATTATTTTATTTATTTATATTGGATTTGAATAATTATAAATAAATAATTGATAGATTTGGATAAAAAATTTATTATTTATGATAGATTTAGAATAACTATAAATAATATTTTTTAAATATCTAATATTTGAATTCATTTAAATTTTAATAAATAGTAATAGATATTTAAATTCGTTATCCGTTTATATATGTAAAATATTATATGAAATTTTATACTTGTAAAAGGTTTTGAATCTTAAAAATAATTTTTATTTATTATTAATTAAGAATAAATTTAAATTTTAAATTAAATTTTTATTTATTTTATACTTTGATAAAAATTTTAAACAAACATATATTTTAATAAATTCAAATATTGAAATAAATAATACTTATTTAAATTAATTTAGATTTGAATAATAATATTAAACTTAAATAAATATTTAAATAATTTTAAATATTATAAATATTAAACGAATTCATATATGAACATTTCAAAAATAACTAAAATATGCTCTGATGCTATTCCTACTTCAATGTCAGTGCATATGAGAATACAATTTTTATTTGAATCTTAATGGGACTATCAAATGAACTAAAAGTTTATATTTATTTTTAAATCTTTGATTTAGTGGCTAAAGACGCTTGAGAAGGTATTAAGGGTCTGATTTTGAATCAAGTCTTTCTCTTCCTCTTACTTGTACTAAAATTTTGTCTTAATGAAAAAATATTTGATACTTAACAATATTAATTTGTTTTCTCGGTTTTAATGCGCAAGTAAGATAAAGGGACGCTTGAATTGGAATGACTATTTGAAAAGTACTATTTTATTCCCATTGAGATATTGCTTAAGTTGCAAAAAAACCCATTTTACTTTTGAAAGTGATGAATCATGAAAGCATAGCGGCAATCAAGACTAAAAATGAGCTTAAATTCCATTCATATGAGCCGAATTTTTTGAACCAAAAACCCTATAAGATTCCATTTATTCAAATTCAAAAAAGAAAAAAAGTTTTCTTGAAAAGTGGGGAAAAAAAATTCTTTTGCAAAGGAGGGATGAAAGTCTACTTCAAAGTGACAAGAGAAGACAAGAAGAAATCATGATTTAGCTGCACCAAACGTGCAATGAGGTCTCATAAAAAAACATCATGGAGATGATGTTTTGTAAGAGAAAATGTCTCAAATGATTATTGCTTTCCCACCCATTCCCGGAGACAAAGGGTCTCCTCATCTTTTCTTCAGACAAAAAGGTGAAGGAAGGATTCAAAACCATGATCGACCTTTGTACATGAATAATCATGCACTCTTTAAGGCCTAAATATGGAATTATATTAGATTTGGTAATTTGAAATATGATATAATGATGTAATACGAATATAATATAAAAATAAAATACGAAAATGATACGATTTAAAATTTTAATAATAATTATATATAAATTTAATAAAATAAAAAATATATTTTATATTTTCATATAGATACGAATTGTGACATATAATTTTCATGTAAAATATTATATGAATATACTAAATTTAATATTTTATATGACACGAATATATGAATCATTATATCTAAATTATATTTTCTTATAAATCTATTTCTCTAAATTTTATATACTTATAAAATTTCGATAATATTTTATTTTCATTTCAAAGAAAAAAATTATTAGTAATTAAATCATAATTCACCCACGTTATTTAACTTTAATTGATTAAAGAGAGTATTATCTTTGTCAATCCCGATTCGATTTTAGTGAAAATTATTCTAAAAAAAAAAAATCTTTAAACACATTAGATCGATCAAACGAAAAGATAATAAGGGTCGAATAAAAATAAATTATAATTCAAATATGCTTTGAATCAAAATAAATCAAATTTGTACTACCAAATTTAATGAACACGAATTTTGAATTTAAATATTGTAATATGATTTACACGAGGGATGAAGCATGCATTCTTGGGGTAGACTGAAAATAGTGGGAAAAAAAAAAGTGAAGGGAGGCCAATTCTTTTAGTACTACTTTTGGCCGACTCATTCCATACAAAAATATATTCATGGATTTCTAGCGCATGAAATTTGACTGATGTATAAGATCTTATTAAACTAAATTGTAAGGTTTGAATTCCACGATCTTATCGAAAACTAAAAAAATATAAAATTAAAATTTAATTAATTTATAAAGTTATCATTAAAGTGATATTTAACAAAATTTTAAATTTAAATTTCGACACTTATAATTTTTTTTTTATTCTCAAATTGTAATCCCTAAGTCACAACCTTTCTTGTAAATATACATAACTAATAGTAACAAAATTATTGAAGAGACTCGCATTTAATTTATGAAATATTATTCGTTTTGATATAAAATTCTTATAATTTTATATCATAAAAATATCTTACAACGTATCATATACTTATAATTTTTTAATGTGGATTTAAGATGTTACAATTATTTAATAAAGAAAAGAGATGAAGAATCACCCTCCACTTCATTGAAAGGCAAACAACTTGCATAAAGCATGATTCAAAACCAAGACTTTGCTGCCTTAATTGTCAAAAGATTGAGAAAATTATAGAAAAAAATTGTTCTTAAAGCTCCAAAATCTTCCTATAGATTGCTATCAAAAACTAAAAAATATATAATTAAAAATTAATTAGCTCGTACATTCATCTTTAAAGTAATATTTAACAAGTTTAAAATTTAAATTTCAACATTTATAATTTCTTTTCTATCTTTAAAAATGTTAAAGATTTTTAAAATAAAATATAAAAAATAATTTCACATTGAAAAAAAAAACAGATAGTTAAATCTGTTCAAAATAAAAAAATAAGTCTGTTCAAAATAAATAATTTTAACTATTTAAAAATAGACAATTTTTGTTTATTCAAAATATATAGTTATGTGTATAAAAAAAATATTTTTTTGTTTATAAAATGCTCATCTGGTTTTCTGAAAATATGCAAAAAGAATTCTTGGAACTCTTTCTTTTCTTCAAATTTTAAATTTATTTTATAAAAGTTTTGCTGCAGAAAACTTTTATAGAAGTTTAATGATCTTATAATACACTCGTGATTATTCGATGGACTAATTTCATCAATGCAAAACGTAATCAGTCATTGGATTTCATTGTATTCTCAAAATTTATTGCTTGCAACCCTTTTATACACCTACTAATTAAATAATACGATAATAGTAAATAAAATCTTAAAGAAAGTAGTACTATTACACGTCTTGGAGTCTTTATTCAAAATTTTAAATTTACCAAAAACAGTAATTTCAATTTTTCAATTTTGTTCTAACAAAACCATGACCTTAAACCGCAAATTTTTTTGTAAATTATTCCTAAAACTCCAAAATTTTCGTATAGATTACTATCATATAACTTATGTTAATGAAGTTTGGTTACCATGTGCAATGCATGGGCCAGGTAGTTTCATGACTTTCATTTGAAAATGTGCACGCCTCCTATCCCAATCTTAAATTACAAACAATTAAGATTATTGTTTGAAAAGCAAGACAAAGATTTTATTGTAATTATATAGGGCAACGACAAAGTTTCCAAACATAGTGGGATAGACCAAACCATCAGCAACAGCCAACAATGAGACAAAACAAACCCCGACAGGAATCAATGTGGGAGAGAATTATTACTTTCCATCGACCTTATCAATCGGTTGAGAAAACAATTTAAAAAATTAAAAATTTGTTTAAAATTATGGTATCCAGTTTAATTTGAATTAAGTTTGAATATAAAAAAATGAACTGTAATTATCCTACTTACCAAGGTTTGAAAATAAATATAAAACAAAATATATAACAAGACAGGCCAACAGCCCCAACACAAACAAAAGAGGTTTCCAAGTTTCATTGTAACATATAAATAGGCTAAAAAATTAACATGTAAAAAAAAAACTTAAGGGGTGAAAAAAAAAAAAGAGGAATTCGAAGCCAAAGGAGGCATGCAATCATGAAAATTGAAAAATAATGATATCCAGCTAATTAGTTCTTCTAGATGCCAACCATTCGATTGTCAATGGCACCATTATCCATTTGCACGTGCACCATGCAAAGAGAGTTAATTATTGCAAGAGTAAAATTGAACCAACTAAATCAAGCTTTTTTTTTTTTTCTTTGCATTTTTGCCTCTTCATTGCCCCAACAGAGTTCTGATCTCATTGATTTAATTTCGTCAGAATAATCTGATTAAATCACGTCAAAATTTCATAATAATTTTCGTAAAATTGTGTTCGTAAAATAAAAAATCATCTCAGGTTTATAGAATTCAATTGCAAAAGCCTAAAAATGTGTTTCTGAATTGTGGCAGCAAGGTTTTGGTCGGGTGTCTATGCCAAACATCGCTTTCAAACACCATTTTTAAGAGCACCAAAAGGCAAAAACCTAATCAAAAGGTTTTGAAAGTTTTGTTCTCTTTAGCTTGCAAAAGGGCCCTCTTTGCTCTTTCTTTAGGGAACCCTAGTTCCATTTTCTTATTTTCTATACTTGTCCAAACCTTTGCTCCATACTGCCTTTGATCTGTGTTTCGTAATAGAGAATTTGGTAGCATCTAAGCTCTTTAGAAGAGTTTGTCACATTTTGGAAGAAAATTATTCATAAGTAATTTGGAAAGATAGAGATAATGGTTTTTATATCAATAAGCTGTTAATTTAATAATACTGTAATTGTTTTAAAATTGAAAATCTCGAATTTCAATTTTAATACAAAAGAAAATTAAAAAAAAAAAGGGTTTCCATTGCATTAAGGTGACTTTTTGGATATAAGGGAAGGTTAGGTGAGACTCATTTGCCGATACTTTTGAATTCATTAATTTAGAGGGAATATAATTATAGGGCTCCTCTTGCCTTGAGACCTCTTATCAATTACTATATATAATAATATCTAAGGTTAATGATAAAATATCAAAAGATCAATTTATTTTAAACTCTTTTTAATATCTTGGTTTATGGTAATATGTATACTAATAGAAGAACATGATCAAGTACAATTTTGGAAGAAGTATAAACAATAGTACATTTTTGTCCTCCATTTTTGGTAAGAGATTTATTTCATGTCATTCTTCACTTGTCATAAACAAATTATCCAATTAAAAACAAGTTAATTTTTCATTCCAAATCAACCCGTCATATTACCAATCATTCTGAAAATTAAAAAAAAAAAATTATAGGTATTGAGATTTAAATTTAAATTTATTTTTTAAAAATGATTATATAAAGTAATAAGATTAAACCCGATTTCATATTTCTTTTTTTTTTCCTACATTAAATTCTTCATAGTCATCCTAGACAAATATTCCCTATACATAATTTTTTTTTTTATTTATCAATGTCTTCATTAGAGCAAAACACTTAAAAAGGCTTTAGATCCAATATCCAGCTCACATGGTTTAAAACAAAAAAAGTCTCCAAAAGGTTTAACTATTTCACCACTTTTTGAGAAATAAAACTAGAAGAGACAACTGAGACAGAATTTAAAACAAAGAAAGCCAATGGAATTTGTTTAAATACATAAACTCAGACAAGACTTGCTTTATTACACACTTGTATGTGTTGCAAGAGATCATATCAAACAAACAAAAATTATGGTTGGTCTCTTTCCTTTCCTGTTAACAGCTTTCTTGCTAGGACTAGGGCTCTATTTACTTCTACAAGTTTTTGCAAAACAAGAGCCTGAAAACTTACCTCATGGGAGCATGGGCTGGCCTTTGTTTGGGGAAACTCCTGGTTTCCTTCAGCCTCACAAATCAAACTCCATGGGAAATTTCTTGCAAGAACATTGCTCTAGGTAACAAGCTATGCAAGCAAGAATCACTGTCGTTATTGTCGTTATCATTGTCATTTTTCATTTCTTGGATGCTATAAGTAACCTTGCATTGTTATTTGTACAATTAATCCTTGTCTTGTTGCTGCTAGACAGGTATGGAAGAGTGTTCAAATCTCATTTGTTTGGCTGCCCAACAGTAGTTTCCTGTGACTATGAGCTTAACTCGTTTGTTCTTCAAAATGAAGAGAAGCTATTTCAGGTCAGCTACCCCAAGGCCATGCATGGCATTCTTGGCAAGTTCTCTTTGCTTATTGTTTCGGGGGATGTTCACAAAAAGCTACGAAATATTGGCTCCAGCTTCATCAGTGCCTCTAAATCAAAGCCAGACTTCCTTAATTGTGTGGAAAAGATGTCTATCTCAATGATGAATTCATGGAAAAATTGTAAAGAAATTGGCTTCTATAAAGAAGTTAAAAAGGTTGGATCAGATATCGAAAACCATATATGAATTAATCTTTGTTTCAGCTCTCATGCATGTTTAAATCAATCATCAATCTTGCTTTCTTGTAAACAGTTTACAGTCAATCTTATGGTGAAGCATCTTTTAAGTATTGAACCAGAAGAGCCACTGGCTTTCAAGATCCTGGAAGATTTTCTAACTTACATGAAAGGGTTTGTGTCTTTGCCAGTATACCTCCCTGGAACACCTTATGCCAGTGCAGTGAAGGTACTGATATAAAGAAAACTTAGCAAACTTAGGCTAATTGCTATGCTTCAAATTCTCTAATTAATTCTGACATCTAATAAAGGTACCCTTTTCCTATTTCATCACTATCTTTTTCAGGCTAGAGCAAGGCTTTCTGCAACTGTTAGAGAGATTATAAAAGAAAGGAAAAAGGAGAAGTTAGAGCTTTCAAAAGGAGATTTCTTGGATGTAATTTTGTCAAAAGGGAGTCTGAGTGATGAAGAAACAGTTAGCATTGTGTTGGACATATTGCTTGGAGGCTATGAAACAACAGCAACACTCATAGCCTTGATTGTCTACTTTCTTGCCCATGCTCCAAATGCTTTAGAAAATTTAAAGGTCATACTCTTCTTTCTCTTTCTTCCATGCATTTGCATGCATGAATATTACTTGACTAAATAAAGTTTTCTTTCTTTTATTTTTTTTTCTGACAATTATGCCAGCAAGAACATAAAGCAATAAGGAAAAGCAAAGAGGATGGTGAACCCTTGAGCTGGGAAGATTACCAGAAAATGAAATTCACCTGCAATGTAAGAAAGTAGTGAGAAAAACCAACTTTCCTATGCAACTTGCAGTTTCAGAGCTTATCTACAAGGTTGTCTGTCAAAGGAAACTTAAATTCTAGTTTGTATCTAGGTTGTTTACGAAGCTATGAGGTGTGGAAATGTTGTCAAATTTGTTCACCGGATAGCCCTTCAAGATGTCAAATTCAAAGGTTAACTTTAACAACAACCCTTTGTTTTCTTTTTCATGTTGATCATTTCACTATTTTCTATTTGCTTCACAATGATTTTCTTACATTTTGGAGATGGCTCTGGTTATGAAATATCTATTCCAGGATATTTCATTCCCTCGGGATGGAAGATTCTTCCAGTCTTCACTGCAACTCACATTGATCCATCTCTTCATGAAAATCCTATGGAGTTCAATCCTTGGAGATGGACTGTAAGTAAACCATGTCCCAAAAGCACTCAGTAGCAAAATTAATCCATTAAAAAGAACATATCAAAAAGGGGAAAAATGAAGGAAAAAGAGATCAAGCAGGCATTAGATAGCCATGATGTGCTTGGTTGACATAGAAAAGCCCTGCATTAACCCACAAAAACAATGCTATTTTCTTTGTTTTCTTCCTCTGGTATAATCCAATAGTCGGCCATTTTGCACAGGATAAAGCAACAAGCAAAAAGGTGATGCCATTTGGTGGTGGTCCTCGGCTATGTCCAGGGGCTGAGCTAGCTAAAGTAGAGATTGCTTTCTTCCTTCATCATCTTGTCCTGAATTACAGGTAAAATTTCAGCATCTAAAGTCCCATTAATATATAACATGTCAACTGGTCGGGCTAATTGGATCCTGAAAGACCATTGTATCCCACTCAGGAACCAGCACAATAATTACCTTTTAGGTTTCAGATTATAGTTCGTTAATCTTGCTAGACAGCATATATAGACTTTAAGCTACATCCTACTCTATTTATTAATATATCCACTATACTTTCTTATCTGAATCATAATTTGATTTGGGATTTGGTTTTTTTGGTTCACCAGTTGGAAAACAATGGCAGATGATTTCCCACTTGCTTACCCTTATGTGGAGTTCAGGAGAGGCTTGCTTTTGGAGATTAAGCCAATAGAAGCCATGGCTGGAAAACAAACCTGACTGTAGTTCTACTTAAATATATATATATATATTATATATTCATATATATAAAATAGTTGTAATCTTTATGCTATAAAATGAAGATTTCAGATTTAAAGTTCAGTGGTATGGAAAGCCTTTCTCTTCTCAAACAGTAATATCCTTATGGTAGGAGTCCATGGTGTACTATATATATATTGATATTCAACTCTTTTTTTTGTTAAGTGATTTATTTATTTAGAGAAAAATAAAATATTATTGCATCAAAACTATTCTAATCAATATAACCCAAATTCAAAGAATCATTCATTAAGAATGGTATCGTGTAAACCTCAAGCTACACAGTTATTGTTATTTATACATCAAGTAAACTTATAATTTATGTATTTATATAGTATTTTACATAAAAATTATGTATCATAATTCATGTCGACACGAAAACGTTAAATATTTTTTTATTTTATTAAATATATTTATGATTTTTTATTAAAATTTTAAATTATATCATTTTTATATATTTTATTCATATCATTTTTATATTATATCATTGTATCATATTTTAAATTATTTGATCAGTTTATAATAACATAAGTCAATCCTGTAATAATCTTTTTAATATGACCCAAAACTTGTATGAGAGACCCCTGTAAGTTTCCATATAACTTGTTGTTTCTGTCTTCCATGCATGATAAATATAACCACTCAATTCAATCCTTACGATAATGGAAATCAGGGATTGATTTTAACTCTTTTTTATTCTTCCTGTTGTTGTTGGTTTTGGCACTCTGCTCTCAAAACTCTAAACCCTGTTACTCCATTGATAACCTCCTAGGTACGAGCTGCGGAAGGATTTGATATAGTCGTCTCCAGGGTCAAGAACTACGACTCCAGCTTGTCTCTGTTTCTTGAAGACGCCATGGTTTTGCAATTTGTTGGGACAAGGGCCGTTAAATATATATATAATATATATATATATATTAAAATACGACATGAATATAATAAAAAATTATGAAAATAATAAATTTAAAAGTTTAGTAATAACTATATATAAATTTAATAAAATCAAATGAATATATTTTATATTTTTATATTAAATATGTAATTTTTATATAAATAAAATTAAAATACACGAATTTTAATATTTTATATAATATTAATATGCAAATCGTCAAATCTACTTGAAGAACATTATAATTAAGTGTCTCCTGATTTTTTCATTTGCTTGAGAAAGTCATGATTCATAATAGTATTATTATGTATTCTTATATATAAAAACTATCCTCTTAAATTTTGTTGTGACCAAGGATTTAAATTGTGGTAGTCTCATTTTCGGTCAGATCGCATTTATCGCGTTTGCAGATATAACAGAAATTTTCGCGGTCATTGCGATAATCGCAATCGTCGATTTTTTTAAATTTTGCTCAACTTGTTATAACATATAATAATTTTAATTATTAATCATTAAAACTCTTATTTTATGATTTTTAAAGTAATTTATATCATGTCATGTGTTTTATCTATTTAAAAAAAATATTTATAGTAAAATATTCATATTTAAAAAATTACTCATATGATTATTAAAAAATAACAAGAGATAAATAAACATGCGAAAAATAGATAATCATAATAATGATATATTTAATTATTTAATTATCGTACTTATCAAATTATTATCGATTTATATTACGCATAAATCAGCTAACAAGTGCTTAAGTATTTATAAATTAAGATATTCATAAATTAAGCAAGAGTATTACTATTTATGGGTCAAGAGAATTACTTTTTATAGACTTACAATAAATCAAACTTGCTAACCTTCACGCGAAGGGCAATCTTTAACAACAATAGCCTCCAAGTTTATTTCTTTTGCCTCTTGACTAAATTGTATGGACTTGCCTCACAACGTCTCATTCCCTAAACTTTCATTTAATAATTTTTCTCTCCAAGCATTCATCTTCATCTTCATCTTCATCTCTCTTTTTTTCTTTTTTACAATGTATGTTCTTTGTTTGTTTCTCTTAACCTTAAGTCTCAGCGTCATCTCTTATCTTGCATTTTAAGTCCTAGTAACTCCTACCTTTTTCTAGCAAATTTGAAATTAAAAAAAGATAATTTGAGTATTAAATTCATTATTTTATCTTAAACTACATGTATTTGATCTTGATTGAAATTGAATTTGAAAAAATTGATGTCTCTGAAAATCTTAAGTTTTATAAATTTTTTTTTTACTAAATTTTTGAATTAATGTCTATTTTTTGATTTGTTGTTTCTGTTTTACGTTTTTAACTAGAGTCAAATAAAATTTTTTTTTTAAATTTTTAAATGAAAAATAGAGTAACGAACAATAACGGATTGTTATTATTGCTATTTAATGTTATGTCATAATTCACGATCATGATACATCACTACAATGGAGATTTAAATTTTTTTTCATTTTTTATTCAATAACAATAATGGATGATGACGTTATTATGAAATAATGATTGTTATACTACTATTTCACCGTTATTTAAATCTCAAATTATGACAGTTTAATAATGTAAAAAAAAAAATTAAAAGGTAACTTTTGAGAAAAGCTTTCTTCAAAAGCTTTTCAAAAAATATGATTCAAGATGCTTTTCTCTTTTTCTTATTCTTTGAATAATCTTTTTTTTCTTACTTAATGAAGAAAAAAATGATAAAAAAAAGAAAATTTTTTATTTGAAAATACTTTGCATTGTCTCTTATTCTCGCCTCTATTTCTTTTTGCTCTTTTCTATAGGTTTTTAGGTGAGTTATTTCTTTTCTTCTTAGCTCAAACTATTTTTCTTAATTTTTTTTTTTTTTTTACAAATTTTTTATTCAGGTAAGTATTTTCTCTTTTCCTCATGTTTGATTTTTTGGGTTTTTTCGCTCTTACATTATGCATATTTTTTTATAATATTAATGTACAAATTAATATTTGAATAAAAAAATTTGTATAAATTGATAGATGAATTTTTAAATTATATAATATTTTGATTTATAAATTAATATTATTAATTAGATTAATTAGATATAATTCATTTATTTATATTAATTTTATTTTATGTCAAACATTATATATATATATATATAACATAGAAATTATAACAACACAAGTCATAATTTATTTGAGATATAAAAACACAAAATATTTTTTAATTTTTACCACCCTGTAATATAATTTTTATTAAAAGTTTTGCTTAAGAGTTTTGCTTTTTCATAATTAATTCATTTTAAAAATGATCATATACGGCTAACTAATCTCTCCGTCTGCCGGGTGTAAAATACAAATAAGTTATAAATGGGACCCTTATTAGCAAAAAAACAAAAATTGTTTTCTTCTTATGTAGGTTACCTTGGCCCGATCACTTTTCTTCTTCACTGAACTTCAACTTCTGCTCTCCGATTCGGTTCTCTCTCAGCTTTCCGGTGAGCACACCCGCATATAATCTTTGCTAATCGAAATCCATAACTTTTCATTTTTGCTTTAAATTTTATTCAAATTTCAATTTTCTCCTTTATTTTTAGGTCAAAGAATAACCTTTTTGTGGAAAAAAAAAAAAACGAAACATGTCGAAATCGTTGATTGAAATGCCTCCAAAGGGTGGATTCAGCTTCGATCTTTGTAAGAGAAACGAGATGCTTGCAAAGCAAGGCGTTAATCCGCCATCGTTTCGTAAAACGGGCACCACAATTGTTGGCTTGATCTTCCAGGTACTAAATTTGAGGGAAATTAAACTCTGGTTTTAATCTTTTTGCTTGTTTCACCATAAAATGTGTTCTTTCTAGCTGATTTTAGTTTACAATTTAGATTCCAGTTTGGGTTTAAATCCGTTTTGTTATCTTACCAATAAAAGTCGGTTCTTTTAGCCACATTTAGTGTATTGTTTAGATACTTATTTGGGTTTTTGAGTGGTTGATAGTGGGAAGTTTCAACTTTTTGTTTGTGGTTTTTATTGTTGATTTTAGATTAAAGAGCAGAAGAATTGAAGAATTATACTACTGATAGTTTGCCATAGACATAGAAGAGTTGAATTTTTAGAGTGTCGTTAGTCACTACCCAGTAGTTGATTCTTCCAAGTGGGTTTATGTGAAGGTGAATTTGGAAACAGTTTGGTTATAGTTGTAGGCTTTAGGATTTTTGCTTAAGTGACTGTTTTCTTGATTTGTATCTGTGCGAGCGAGGTTTTAGGCTCGAGATTTTTATCGTTGCAACAAATAATGAGCCCCTTGAAAAGCTGAAATACAGAGAATATATGAATAAATTTCGCAGGCATGTGTACCGATGTGATTGGCTTTTTGGTCAATTTTAAGTTCAATGGTGGTCATGGTTCTTTGTGTTTTATATTGTTGATATATAGCTCTTAAGACAGAAACTGAGATGACGATTGTTCTTTAATGTCTGATGCAGAACTTAAAAAACCAAGAGTTGGCACCATATTATTGTGAACTTGCAAATTGCCTTCTTATTTTCTTCATCTTCAAACATGTCATATGCAGACTTTTGCAGCTTATCTCTCCTTATTTGTTTTTTATAACTAGGTTATCCTGTCTAGCTTAGTTCTGATGCTAGTTATGCAATGCCATTGTTCTAACTTGAAATTTTGTATAGGATGGTGTTATTCTTGGGGCAGACACAAGGGCAACTGAAGGACCTATAGTTTGTGATAAGAATTGTGAGAAAATTCATTACATGGCACCAAACATTTACTGTTGTGGAGCTGGAACTGCTGCTGATACAGAGGCAGTAACTGGTAATTTCTGAAATTGGTGTCTAATATGGTTCTACAAACATCAGTCGTTTCTTCAAATTGCATGCTTGAACGCATCAGCTGTAAACTGTTATATTCACATTCTCATTTTACTGTAACTAACCCATTGTTAAGGTGTTATACTTATCCTCAGACATGGTCAGCTCACAGCTCCAGTTACACCGCTATCATACTGGTAGAGAGTCAAGGGTTGTTACTGCATTGACCCTTCTCAAGCGACACCTTTTCAAGTAATGTTTTTTCTGTTTTTTATATTCAATATACCTCTACATAGTCTGTAGAGAATATGTGATTCTAACTGCTTAGCAATTTGTCCAGCTATCAAGGCTATGTTTCGGCTGCTTTGGTACTTGGTGGTGTTGATGTCACTGGACCTCATTTGCATACTGTGAGTTTTTTTCAACTGTTTGGCACTGCCAAAATGACAGTAGCTTTTTGTCTTCTATATTAGTCTGATTTCTTATCACTACAATGCATAAATTCTGCAGATATACCCCCATGGATCAACTGACACGTTGCCATTTGCTACAATGGGTTCTGGTTCTCTGGCAGCAATGGCAGTATTTGAATCAAAATACAGAGAAGGTCTTGCTGTAAGTTCACCTATTCCATTGTTGTGGTATCTTGTAGACTGAAGAGATAGACTACTTTAACATGTTCTACAGCTAGCTATGAGTTTGTTTGCAGTGTAAGAATCTTTTGTGATATGTGTTTTCCATGTAAAAGAAATCGTTTCATGCGATTGCGGTATAAAGTAAAATAAATCAGTGTTATACGATTTGTAGCAACTACACCTGTTTTGATCCATTGTATCTGGGTCACTAATTTTTCTCTTTGCAGAGAGATGAAGGAATAGAACTTGTCACTGAGGCTATATGCTCTGGTATCTTCAATGACCTAGGAAGTGGAAGCAATGTTGATATTTGTGTAATAACCAAGGTTTGTTGTTACTCACCAGCCTCTTTTTGTTAGAAGGAACATCCTATGTTCATTTGATGCAAGTTTCTTATTTTAATGAATTTTGCCTCAGGGTGGCAAAGAATACTTGAGGAACCATCTACAACCTAATCCTCGCACTTACACCAGCTCCAAGGGCTATTCTTTTCCCAAGAAGACGGGTTAGTAATGTGCTTTACAATTTCAATCCATTTTAACTATGAAGAACAATCTCTCTGTGTTTTCATTTCTGTAATAGAACAACATGCTATGTTTCTATTAGCAAAGGTTTTGATTTAGCATGATTGAACTTTGCGACTAGCATTTTTGGTCGACATGAAATAGCAGAGAATTTGAATGTCAGCAAGGCCATCCAAATGGTCATGATAGTTGTTTTAATAAACTAGGAATGGAAATTACTCCTTAACTCTGCACAGTTTTTATCTTCAAACAAGATTATGTATCATGTTCCAAGTTACTGTGGTATGTTGTTTATGTATCATGTTCCAAGTTACTGTGTTATGTTGTTTGATTTCCTTTTTCTTTTCCTTAATTTCTTTGGTTACAGAGGTCCTCTTAACAAAAATCACACCACTGAAGGAGAAAGTGGAGATCATTGAAGGAGGAGATGCAATGGAAGAGTGATGCACTTATGTACCTGATTGCTAGATCAGTTTTCTATCTCCACTTGTTCTCTGTCAAAGAACTATTTTCTGATCAGTGTTCTGCAATTGTTATCTGTTCACCTAAGATTTTATTGGGTAACCTCTTGAAGTGACTTAACATTTTAGTACTGATATTGATTCACATGGAATTATCAGTTCTGAATTTCAGACCACCCTCAAATATTTCCTTCTCTACTTATTTTCTTGTTTTCCTAGTCTCACACTAGCTATAACAAGTACACCTAGGATAAAATGACCCCATACGAAAGTTTATATGTAGATTTAACAATTTGAAATATGATACGAAAATAATACGAATAAAAAACATGAAGATAACATAATTTAAAACTTAAAAAAATCATAAATAGGTTTAATAAAATTAAAAAATTATATTTTATATTTTGATGTCGATATAAATTATGATATACGATTTTTATATAAAATATAATATAAATATAATATTATATACAATATGATGATATGAATTATCGAGTTTAGTTATACAATTTAAAATTTTAATAACAATTTATATATAAAATTGATAAAATTTAAGAATTTATTTTGAGTTTCACATTTCTATATGAATTTTAATGTGATAATTTGTGTTTTATATGTATTAAATATGAAATAAATGTCTTTTGTTTCGTGATTTAGTGATCACAAAAATTTTTTAAAAAACCATAAAGATTTGATTTCGAATCAAATCTCTCTTTTCCTTATAAATTCATAAATCCAATGTTTAATTATATGATTACGATATCCAGGGATAAAAATCCAAAGGTCAAATCTTTAACATTCTGGACAGTGATGTTATCACTTTCTTCAATGCTACTAAAATAGCTTTTCTATTCTCTGTTCCCTGCTTCATTCATGGCATTTTTGGCATGTTATCCTCTTTCATGGGGTTTACCCCTAAAGAATCTTCCATGGTGGATAAGGATTATTCTAGGGAAGCTTTGATCAACGGAAAGCCGTGATTGATTTTGACAACGAGATATATAAAAGTAATACAGGCAAAGATGATTAGGATTGGGACTGGATTGGATCAAAGCATAAGACAATACTTACTAAGCTGTAACTTATTGGGCTATTCATTCGCCATAGCTTGAAGAATCTGACCTTCAAAAATATGAACAAGGATGCCTTGGAGGGCAAGATTAATGGCAATCTCATTCCCTTCCAAGCCATTGCCAATGTCTTTTATACGTCAAAAATATACATTAATATATTTTGCTTGTAAATACACTCAATTACGAAATTTATATTTTGCAATCCTAAGTTTATCATGTACATTTAAATTTATAATTTAAAATATAATATAATAATACGATATGAGAATATAAATATAATATAAAAATAATATGATTTATAATTTTAATAATAATTATATATTAATTTAATAAAATTAAAATATATTTTATATTTTTATATCAATATAAATTATAATATATAATTTTTATAAAAAATATAATATAAATACATAAAATTTATTATTTTATATGATATAAATATATAAATCATAAGATCTTTGTCTATTAATTTTTTTAATCATAAAAGGGTTTAATGTACCAAATCCAAAACAATAAATGTAACATGCTTATCCATAATTACAAAAAGTCTAAAACAACTGAAAAAAAAAAAGCATTAGGTGGGGCCCAGATAAGGCCAAGAAAAAATACAAAAACTCATAATTTTTTTGTGCGATAAAGATTTTTAAATTTTATTTACATTTTTTTCAATCAATTCAAGCAATTTATATGTACTAAATCTAACAAATTAAAAAAAAATTATTATCTTACAATCTCACGTCAAATTAAAACAAAAAATAATAACAAATAAATTCTGTATTATTATTATTATTATGGTAATTAAAACATGATTAATTGATTACTTAGAGTATTAAATTAAAGAAAGAAAAGGTTAAAAATGCTGTTAGATACTTATCCAATTTCCCCATTAAAGGAAAAAAAAAAGCTATCAATTCCGACCAAACCAAAGCTTGAACTAAGCAACGACAAACAGATTACTTGTATTGTCGGATAATCAAACGTCAACGTATTTCCTTCTTCTACATTCCTCTCCTTCTCTCTTACCCCAATTTTCTTCTTTCTTTGTCTGAAAATATTTACAAAGGAAGCGAAGAAGCTTGAGACGACGTCGTAGAGAACCATGTCTTACGACTATCTTTTCAAGTACATAATCATCGGTGACACTGGTTAGTCCATCTCTCTGCTTAAAAATCCCAATCTGGGTTTTTTTTTTACGAATAATTTCGTTTTTTTAATAATTTTTATGGGTTTTAATTGGGTGTGGTGCAGGCGTTGGAAAATCATGTTTGCTCTTGCAGTTTACAGACAAGAGATTCCAACCAGTTCATGATCTAACCATCGGTGTTGAATTTGGTGCTCGGATGGTCACCATTGATGGCAGACCCATCAAGCTTCAAATTTGGGATACTGTAAAAATATTCACTTTTAATCCTTTTTTCTTCCTTGTAGATTCTTTGCTTGGTTTTTTGGTGAAAAGGGTATAAAGTTTTGTTTTTTAGCTATTGGGTATGAATAACTTGATATAGGTATAGGGGCCAAATTGAGTGTCAGGAAAGATTTGGGATTTTGTAAAAATCTCAACTTTGATGTTAAATTTTTCTATTTTTGTTTCCTTTGGCTGTTTAGAGAAAAGGTTGTTGAAAATAATGAAGTTTTGGCTGTTTGGCATGGAAGAATTTAGTTTAGGAGCCAAAGAAGATGGTGACAGAGAATACGAGTTTATTTTAGAGTAGAATTTTGTAAGAATTTGAATTTAGTTTACGACCAAAAGCGTGCAGTTGTTTTTTGTTTGATTGGTATTGAGTTGGTTTATGGTTTTGAGTATTGTGGGATTGGTGAGAGTGAAGATAAGAGAAGGCAAAGCTTTTGGACTTAGCAATCTTGTAAGTAAAAGTATATTCGGCAATATAGGATGCATTAGGTATTTGTTCAGTTGTTTCTTAGGAACTCCTTTCATGAAAAGATGAGTTAGTTATTAATTTGTGAGTTGCTTCCTTCTCAAGGAATGTGGAACCAATGAAACACAGCATATTAATGCATTTGATGGCTTAGGTTATCTCAATAATATGTTTTTTGTTGGTTGTCTATGATCATTTTTGTTCCATTATTCAATGATTGATGGATTTGAGCAAAGAGCTTTTGTTTGCTTATATTTCAGGCCGGGCAAGAATCCTTCAGGTCCATCACCAGATCTTACTACAGAGGAGCAGCAGGAGCACTTCTGGTCTATGATATTACTAGGTGAGAGATAGTGAAACAGTTAAAACAAAGGTTGTGACATGCAGGCATGCATAAATAATGGATTTGGAAGAGGTGAAGATTCCACTGGCGTGGCATTTCACCATTGTAGCTTTTGCTTCTACATTTTTCCTTTCCTTTCATTTTAGCAACTGCTTAATTGTATTTCCTCGGATTAAAATGCTAAGACCGACTGTTTTATTTTATTATTACAACTTTTAGAGCTTACAGTGCGTATCTGCCTATCTTTTCTGGTCAAATCTAGTTCTGGAACATTTGAAAACTCTTCAACTGAACTGCAAAGTTGTACTCTTGACCAGGAGAGAGACATTTAATCATCTAGCAAGTTGGTTGGAGGATGCTCGACAGCATGCAAATCCCAACATGACAACCATGCTCATTGGAAACAAGTGTGATCTTTCTCACCGGAGAGCTGTTAGCAAAGAAGAGGGTGAACAGTTTGCAAAGGAAAATGGACTTTTATTCTTGGAAGCATCTGCAAGAACGGCTCAAAATGTTGAGGAGGTAAATATTACCCCCTAAGTGGTACACCATATTGCTTTGTACCCGATGTTACCTGTTTAGCTGGAATTCTTAATGTTCTTTTTGTTCCTTTTGATGAATGTTCTAATTAAAATAGTCTTATCTTGTAGGCCTTCACAAGGACTGCCGCAAAGATCCTTCAGAACATCCAGGAAGGAGTCTTTGATGTATCCAATGAGGTAATGATCAAGCCACTTTATTTTCGGGACGTCTAGAACCAAAGACATAACATTCTCTTGAATATGGATGTTTCTTTCTCTAATTCATCATACTAGAAAAGTAACTCAATGATAATAATTGTAACGATTTAGTGTGCGTGCTTCGAATGTGTCTTATACATGGGCTCTCTCTCTTCCTATAGAAGTTTGGCATTGCTTAGCTAACTGATTGGTCAATCTGGCCATCCGAAAATTTGGCTTTTCTTTATAAACCTGTGTGATATGGTTTGAACCTAGAAGCATGTTTCCTTAATCGATAGGTGGTTTCAGCTTCATTATTTTCATTTCATTAGAACTCGGAAGTATTAAAAGGCCTTCTCTTTGAAATTATGGCAGTCATCAGGTATCAAGATCGGCTATGGACGTGCCCAAGGGCCATCAGGTGCAAGAGATGGAGCTGTCTCTCAGAGAGGTGGCTGTTGTGGTTAATAGGAATGGAAACAATCTGTGCCTTTATTTCTACATCACATTGCTTTGATGAACACATCCTTTAAGTTGTTGAATTAAGAACACTGAATGTAAAAAACTAGTCTTTTCTTTTTCTTTGTTCCGAACTTGGAATTTATATGTTACCACATTTTAATTTAAGCCGAGCCATTTGCACAGTCATATATAAAACGATTGCTATCCCTTTATGTTTTCCAGTTATTGCCAAGAGACTCATTCGAGTCGTTTCGTTAGTCTAATTATGGTGAAGCTGTAATCTGTTATTGAGCATTACTTGAAAATTCTTCAGTGATGCTTGAAACAGAACAGATGTGCATCATGATGAGTCCTCAACCAAAAATGTTTCTTATTGAGATAAATCATACCAAAATACAAGGAAAGTGTCGTTTACGTTGGTGCAATCCAGGTTAAAACTTCTTCCAGTCCAACCTCTGCATGAAGACTACAAAAGTTCCATGGAGCTAAGCTAAGCAAGCATTTGTTTGATAACAAATAGAGAAGAGCAAAAAGTAATTTTAAATTAATTAAACAAAATAATAATGACAAACATGAGAGTGCCTGCACAATTGCAATCGTATCCTTGCATTCAGAATATGACTCTTCTGACATTAAGTGCTGACGTAGTGGATTGAAACCTTGATTACTAAGAACCAGCAAAAATCTGCAAAGAACATTGGAAGAAAGCATCAGGGAACAAGCTAGAAGAGAAGACAAGTATAGTTGTTGCTCGTCAAGTAACACTCACCCCAGCAAGAATATCTTTAGAGAGTCGTGGTTTGCTTCGAGATGTATCAGCTGCAACTGGTTGTTTCTGCAGGAATTGACGAATCACCTTTTTCTGGCTACCAGGCGGCTCAGAATTTGTTCCAGACTCCTGTTGCACCTTTTGCTTCTGTGGAAAGTCAGAAACATGAGGGGATCGAACATGCATGCAGAATTACGTACTCATTTTTGTTTAGGAAATTACTGTGTAAACTATGCACATCAGCACATGAAATTCAGCCTAGAAAGTTATATCACCTAGGGTGGAACATGCACTGGAGTGATATGACTCAGATAAACTATGAAGCATCATGTAGAATTGCAGGTGTAGCTAAGCCACAACTAGTTACATTGATGACAAGCAACATGTTACATTGAAAACGTAGTTGTTTACCTTCTTCATTCGCTCTTCAATTGAACTTAGCGCACGAGATTTGTCAACTTTAGAGAGATAGAAATCCCGTTCCCTCTTGGCAGCTGAAATTTCTAAAGCTAGCTTCTGCTCCCGAATTGCACTCTTGTACGCTACATGAGAAAAGAAATCAACTTAGACACAACAAAAAAATAGCACCACAATCATTGAAAAACAGAAACATAATCCAATGAGTTACCAATTTCTTCGGTAAGATCATCCCATTTGAATTTGCTTAAGTATTTGATATTCCAAAGATCGTAATAAAACGACGATCTCTTCCTCCCACCTAAACAGAGTGAAAAAGACCATAAATATAAGGACAAACCTTCGGAAAGGACACACCATGTTACTGACAAAAGATTAATACAGATTACAAAGAAGAAGAAAGATATTGCAATTAATTTCCATACCAATTTGTTCACCATTTAACATATTAGCAACTCTCTTTGCAATCCCTTTCCTAGCAAATTCAACCCACCTACAGAATAATACATGATAGCAATTGTTGAACCATATCATCAACCTTACAGAAATTCACAATGCCAAAACTTAAGAAAGAACTATAAATTTATAAGGGAAAATCTTTAAAAATTCACAACAAATTTTGTTAAGCTATACATGACATACCCTTCAGAAAATTCTTGTTCTTGAACCTTGGAGGGTCTAGGACGCTTACCCTTTACTTGGGGTGGATGACCTGCATTAACAAAACCAATAAAAACTAATCCTTTTTCAAAGATAATAACAAAAAAAAAAAAGCAACCCATTTTTGAGTTGAAAATCACTGATATCACTCACCAGAAGGGGTAAGATAAATCCTAAGTATTTCCCCATACTGAGAAAGCAACTGACGTAGTTTGACATGATCCATATGAGGTGGAACCCTGCTCAAGTAACAAACCCCACGGTTATCAGCCTCAGCTGCTTCCTTCAACAACTTCTCCTTCTTTTTATTCTTCTTCTGCTTTGTGTTGGGCACACTGTTTTCATCTTCAAAGCCATAATCTTTATCATCATTAGCCTCTTGTTTTTCTTCTTCACCTTTTGCAGCTTCCCTGTCAGTTTCAGCAAACCCATCATCAGATTTCAGATACCCTTCATCTTGTTGTTCATCATCTTCCCCCTCGAGATTGAAACTTGAAGTTTCCTTTAACTTTTGCTTCTCTCTTTTATTCTTTTTCATATTCTTCGCCTTGTTGTTGTTCTCTAATTCACGTGTTTCTGCAGTTTTAGGCTCTTTGTCGGCTCAGCTTGGAAGAGGAAGACAACGAACAATAACTAAGGTTTGGAAAAGAAGAAGGGCACTCCCATGGCCGCAAAAGAGAGAAAATTTTAAGATTATTGGCCCATCTCACCATTGGGTTTCAATAGTTTTAAAGCCCAACTTTAAAGGCTATATATATATATATATTAATTATTTTTAACCTATTTCCAAATATATTTGTTAGATTAAAAAAAAAGAAAAACCTTTAATAAACTTATTATAACGTAAATTAAATTACATCTAGTGATTATAAAATAAAAAACTCACCCGCAACTATGATTAGGAGGGAGCAAAAAATTCAAGAAAATCAGAAAATCGACTTGAAATCATAATCATTAATTTAATTTAGATTAATTGTTTTATTCAATTTAAATTAAATTTAAATATTAAATATATATATTAATTTTTATTCGGATTTTAATTCGAAAAGTCAAAAATCAAAAAATAATCAAACTGAATTATATATCTTTATTAATATTTATATATATTAAATTTTTATAAAATAAAAATAATTATTTATGCTTAAATCTATTTAAATATATTAAAATAATATATATAAAAAATTACATTAAAAAGACCGTTATTGAATCATTAAAATTCAATTCAATTCGATTCAGATCATATGAAATTTTAGTTTAGATTCAAATCAAATTTTAAAAATTCATAATTTTATGCATTATCCAAAAAATTGACCTAAATTTAATCTGATTCAAGTCATTATCATCCCTAATCATTGATGGTTAATTTAAAAATATAAATGAATCAAATATAATCGAACTTTATTATTTTTGGTACCTTTTACTGGTATAAGAACCTGCATTTTTTTCAATTGATGAATTATACACTGCAATAATATTGGGAAAAATAAATTAATGGTTTTATTCCGGAAATATGGAAATGTCAACTGAATTAGCCAAGGCCTAAGAACAAAACTTCAGTTATACAATAGAGAACCACCCAATATCTGTCACATGCCTAACTCATCCATCTTTTTCTTCTATGGAACCAAATCCCTTCATCTTTAGCAATTACTACAAAGAAGATTTTGCCTCACATTTCTACTTCAACATGGCAGTATTATTGGGTACTTGAAGATTAACCATGAGATGCATTAGAAAGTGTATTTCCTCCTCATTCGATTAGGCCATTGTAATAAGCTTCCACTGCAGCATGAGAAGGAACTGCATCGCGAGCCTGCATCATGTGTCCCATATATAGTTTGCAATTGTTTATCCACCAGTCTGTGTTGCAAAACATAAAAGTTCTAAGAAAAGGAGGTTGAAAAGGGACAGATAAACACTATTTTCCGGAAAATGTCTAGACTTAAGTATTTGCTTACCTTCTCACCAGCAGCTGCAAGGAGGAGATCACTTCCTACTTTATTGTTCAAGAAAAACTTCCTAGAAGTCATATTGACCTGAATTGAGCCAAGGAAACCATATGACTCAACATGACCACGACAATTATGATATTGGAAAGTTAATGAATCAACTAAGCCCCATCATACATACCAATGTTTCTTGAGCGAGTTGCCTTCCTCTGGGAGTATGCCCAACCATAGCTCCCTCAACTAGTGTCTACAACAAAATAAATTGCAATAACTTAATGATTATCCTAGTTCAACTATATTGAGCTGAATGCTATTAATCATATTAAAAACCAGCCCTTTTATCAAGTAGACATCCTCACTGGTAACAGCCAGCAGGATAACTGCATAATATTACAAAAAATATAGGGAGATGCTCTCATATTATCTGCACTTCCATACAAAAAATTGACTTCACAAATATTGTGAAATATATAATGCCCTCTAAGCAGTAAAATCATATGTTAGATAGAAAATATTAATCCTCAAAATTTTCCAAAATAGAGAAAAAGAAACAAGCTGACAACTTGCAAGCATCCAGCCAGCACTGAGAACATAGAAAAATTTGACAGACAAATATCTTAGAAAATTACGAATATTGCTTGTAAGCTTACTGCATAAAGTTCCATTACAGAGGGCTTCCCTTCATTTAAGTAATCTTCAAAAATTTGAACTGCACGGTTGATGTCCGCAGCATGCAGATAGCATCTAACCAGGAAAGGGGGCAAAAACAGAAAGACGGAATAACAAAGGGAAGTTGTCAACAACCTGAAAGCCTTTTCCATTGAAATGGCCAAATCATTGACAAATAAATGAAAAACGTAATGCATACCTCATAGTTTGCATGGTGATAAAGGTGTCAGGAGTTTTACCATCCTTCTTGAGCATCTCTAGTAAAAGTTTCAATCGCCTATCACAACCAAAGATTAACATATAACAGTTACACAGTACACAAAACATGCTTCAGCAAACAAAATGGTCGAAGTCAGGCTCCTTCTTGGTTTACTAAAAAGTCGTGGGAAAAAATCTACTCAATCCATCCCCATAAAATTGTCACTTGTTGTCTTTTTTTGGGTCAAAAATTTTAAATTTGGACTTCTTTTTGTTAAAATTTATAAATGAATATTTCCTAAATATATATTTTGTAAAATTTAATTAATTAAATATTTAAAATAATAGAGGCCAAAGTTGAAAATTTTTTACCAAAACAAAGTCAACAAGCAACATCCAAACCAAGGATCGGGAATTGCAAACAATAACATCATCTTGTGATGAAAAAAATATATATATTATCAGCATTATGAATAGCAAGAACAATAACCTAGTACTTCATATGCCTTGGAACTTGTGCACATGTACTTAGAGAGAGAGAGAGAGAGAGAGAGAGGATGGTACAAGATGGATTTCTGGAGGATGTGAAACTGTACATCTACATTCCTAAGGTCTGCACAAGCATGAAATGCAACATTGTATATGTTAAACTGCCTGCATAAGAAAAAAGGCCTATGAACAAATTCAGCAGTAGGTAAGTTGTATAACTCTTCTTCAGAAACGCCAAGCATAGCATTTCCGGTATTTCCACTTGCTTCAAGAGATGACCAACCTTTCGACTGCTCAGCTAACTCAATAATCTAGAGAGGCAAGAGAAATATCAAAAAACTCCAAAAGTGAAATGAATGAAGCACAAGTCAAATTAGAGAAAAATGTTTGATAGTTACTCTGGCTGCTACATCATCTGCTCTAGGCATCTTGTTAATATGTGCAACCATAAGTCCAGCATAGCAGAACTTATTCAATTCAAAACCAGCAGCAGTCATATCATGGACTATTGCTAACCTACAGCATTTACATGTAGATTAGTTTAATAATTTTCAAAATTGCGGAATCTTCTTTGGCCAGTTAGCGAGAGACAGATGGTTATTTTGCAAGAACATATTGGAAGTTCTCATTATATAGAAGTCAATATTCATTCTGACTACCTCTTAGCATAAGAACCAACATATTGTCACAGCTGAGGAACAAGCATTCCATAGACTAAGGAATCTGAGCACAATCATTGTACTTTAAAACGCAAAGTTACACCAAAGAACTAGTAGCATACGCTTGATCTAATCGTCCAGCTGCTGCCCAAGCATTAAGTAGACAAACATAAGTTTGTCCATTAGGCTTCACGTCATATCTCTTCATTTCTTCCACTATCTTGCATGAGACAACAACTAGGTTGAATAATTAGAGGCTATAAAGAAAAGATAAATACCAATGTCATGTTACTAAAAGAAGACAAAAACTAAACAAATAAAATATCTCTACAAACACATGAGAGCCATACCTGAATTGCCAGGATAGAATTCTTCCATTTCCCACAGGTTGAGATCAGAAAGTTGTATAACGCGACCTATGACATAAATAAAATTCAGAGTCATTCTAAAATAATTAACAACTTTATTTGATAGATTCGGGGAACTGAAATAGCCAATTTCGATATGGTTAAGTTAATATGAAAAAGGGAAGCAATAACTGCAAAAGTAACACCTAGTTAGGACAGGAAAGAGCATAGCATACCTCGGGGACTAATCCCATGGCCCTCATTTCATCTCTGAAAAAGAAAGCATCTTGCAGACGTGCCCCTCTCATGGTTCCCATAATCAAAGCCACGAAAATATCTCCAGTTGGTTGCACCCCATCCACCATCATATCATCATAAACATCTCTCAACAAAAAAGGCCTGCATCACCATACTCAATTCACAAACAGATAAGGCAATGTTTGTTATTACACTTGATTTTGCTTCCTTAAAAGTTGCTATGAAGCGAATCCATAATTGATCAATAATGAAAAAATAACAAAATGTAAAAAAAAAAAAAAAAGAACAGCAAAAGCTAAAGCTAAAGCATATCTAAACAAATAGATTAAAAAAGACCAGATAAAGAAACAAGTGAAATGACATAACCAACGTTTAGTTGAGGACAGTGTTGTATTCAGAGACATTTTCAGCATAGTTTCGTTTGGCTTTTACTCCTGCTGAATCCGATAACTGGCGGCGACCCAGAACTCGAAGTAGAGCCCTGTTGGGGCCTGTTTTGAACAACAAAAAAGAAGAAGAAAAGAAACGAGATAAGCATTCAGATCGATGAATCTCGTAAAAATAAGAAATCGGTATTTGTAAAGTTTCGAAATTTTTTACCAGCAATGGATCGAAAGAGGAACTTCATTAGTGAAAGCAGAGTGAAGAACAGTGAAAGGTTTGCTCTTCTTTGCTCCAAAAACCAGAAAAACAAAACCCCTTTGGTTTTTATTTTTTATTTGTTATATTATAAATAGTAAATAAATAGATATATGATATTATTTAATTAATTATATTCAAATCAGATAATTATAAATAAATAATTAAAAGATTTTATAAAAAATTTATTATTTTTGACGGATTGAAAGCAAATACGAAAAATATTTTTTGAATTTTTAATATTTAAATTTGTTTAAATTTTAATAAATATTAATATATATTTGAATTCATATCTAAATTTATTATATATTTATATATATAATTTTATACTTATAAAAAGTTTTGGAACTTAAAAGTAATTTTATTTATTAATAAGTAAGTGTAAATTAAATTTTTATTTATTTTATATTTTTACAAAAATTTTAAATAAATGAATATTTTAATATATATTTAAACAAATTCATTTATTTTAAATACTAAACAAATTCGGATCTTAATAATTCAGAAATAGCAGATATTCGTTCTTGCTGCCATTCCTGAGCTAAACCGGTGCGTTTCAATGATGGTGTTGGATTTTAGTCCAAGTGACTCAAGACTACTCTTCGTTTAAGAGGTTTTGCGAGCAAATAAGACCAAGTAGACAATTTGTGGCCCTTGTTGGAATTTGAAAGATCAGTAAATAATGGGAATTTTTAGTGAAAGAGACATGGCTCTTCTTTGCTCTCATGGGTTAATCCAATTACCAAGAAAAGGATTCTTACCCTTTGTCGACAGTTCCATCTTTGTTTAAGGACTTAAAAGTAAATCCTTAAATTGATCAAATTAATATGTTATTTTCTCTTGAATTCAATGAAAACCATGCATTGGAATTTAGAAATGAATAAATAATTTAATTACTGTCATCACTAATTCCATCTCAAAAAACATGAATGTTGCCAAAGTGTCAGAACAAACAATACATGTTAAGTACACTTTGTTGGGGTAGACATTGACTTCTAACAGTTTAACTCCCATCCTCCAACTCTAATCAGACCACATGATTCATTCATTTGCTTGCGTTTTACGGCTAGAGAAGATGGAGATTGATGCTTTTTGTTTGTGACAGAACTTCAGAAACATCTCACTTGATAATATTGAAATTTACTTTAGTCGTACCGATCTTTTCAATGCTCACAAACAACAAGAAACACAGGTTGTTTTCATCTCTTGCACCGTTTCTTTCTCATCTCTAGTTCAAAATTAAAAAAATTTATATCTGTTATTGAATTGTAACATGACTGATATGTAACCGATACCTCTGTTTCAGGTAAAAGAGATTAAACATTATCCAATTACTTGGCTCCAAGTAATTTTCAGGATCATCATCCAATGCTTAAAGAATTGTGAATTGGAATTGATTCATGAATAAACAACAACATAGGCAATTTTGATTTGTACCAAGGAAATTAAGATAGAAATCTTTTCCAGAAATTTCTTTTTTTTTCTTTGATTAAATTATTTTGCATATTTTCACAGATTCATACTGTAACTGATCATCCTTCTGTTTAAAGAATGCAGAAAGAGGGTTGCAAATAGTAATATCTACCCTATGTCAGTCAAGATCTGGGGAGGGAAACATAGGGAAGGCACATTCAAAGCCTAAAAAGAAAGTTGAACTTCAGCTTTTACATTAAAGACAATAGAAAAAAATATCAAGCAATCCTAGGGAGAGAGTCCCTGGTAGGCAAGGCATTAAGGCTAGGGCCTTTACAAGATTTTTCAAAGCATTTCATGGTGGTAGGATTGACTTGAATGAACATATAGTTTCCAGTAAAAAGATCACCAAAATGAGCCTGACTTTGTTTCAGTCTGTTCATAACTTTGGCCAATGAAAGCCTGACTAGCTTAACTTTCCTCCTCAAGAATCTTTTCAAGCTTGGAACCTTAACCCTAAATCTCCTCCTAACAGGTACCCTTTTAAGCCTGTACCAGGTTCTTGATCTCCCAATCAGTCTCTCTGCTATTTCATCAGCATCAAGTTCATCACCTTCATGTCTCAATCTCTGGTAAGAAAACTTGGCAGCTGAGGCCATCTCAATAGTACACGAGTTTCAGAAGCAGAAACAATGAACAGAAAATGAACCAGATAAGTTCGTCAACTAAGGTTGGGCAGCCTGTTTGAATGGAATAAGGAATCTGATTGGAATTAGCCTTTTCAGCTTCTAATCTTGAGTGAAATATAGTGGTTGGCTTTGCTCGAACAGTTGAGTGCATTAAATGCAAATGCAAAAGTTGAACGCACAAGCAAGTAAAGAGTACATGTGTTGAGCTACCAAGGAGGTAACTAAAAAGACTAGAGCAAGGCTTAATTGAAAATGAATCCAATTATTGATTGTGTCATAAAGATCTTTATGCCCACGCCCCAATTATTCTCTCGGAGGAATATGTGTTTCTAAAAGAATTTTTATAGTGTGACCAATTCCGAAATTAGTTCTATACAAATGACTAGCAACGAGAAAAAGAAATGCAATGGCTAAATGATGGTGTGCAAGTCAGTCAGCCATAAACTTTACATTTGTGGATGAAATCTCTCAAAAAGTCTGAAATTTTTTTCTGATTTATTCATATAATCACTCTTAAAATATATTAAACGGGAAACTTGATTTTTAATTTTAATATTTATAATCTTTTTATCTATGATCTATCTTGAGATATGTATACATTAGTAATTTTGGGAGTTCTTTTACATTGATGTAAAACATATTACTGAAATTTGTTAGATTCATTGATTGTATATTCTTGGAACCAGAATTAACATTCCCAAATAAATGAAAAAGAAAGGGTTATACTAATAATATCATAAGGGCATATGCCCATTGACATGGTTGATTACCATTTGCATGTGATTATCTTCAAACAATTACACTGCAGAGCAGAATTGGGCCACAGCTGCATCTTAAGTCATTGTTAACAGGGTTAAATTTACTTAAAAACACTTGGGGCCACAAGAATTAGAGTTTAATAACAAGGTTTAGGGTTCGATCTTAGACTCACGAGTTAATCCAGTTGGTAAAGAAAGGAACTCCCTTTATTTGTCGATTAAGATTTGATTTTTGTAAAAATCACTCCGAAAGTAAGATCCTAAACACACCAACATGAGAAAATACGTCTTTAAAATCGCTTAAGAAGGAGATTAAATCCAAACAAAACTCGGATATACCTAACTTATGACCAACAAAAAAATGATATTATTAAATATCCATCAGCTTCTCTCATAACTTTTCATGTGGACAAATACATGAAAGGGGCATTTATCAGATTTTAAAAGGGCAACAAGGAGGAATAAATGAAATAATCAAAATCTCAGAAATGTACAAAGGGTTCAAGCCAAAAGAGAATGTACAAAGGATGATGAGATCCCTTTGGTTCATAGGCACCAGAAACAGCCTATCACTATTTGCATCTTCTCAACAACAAATTACAAAGAATGATGGGACAGATAAGTTTTAAAACAGAAGAAGAATCAGAAGTAGAGCTTTATTTTGGTTTGGATTGGACTTCGACATATCGGGCAGGTTTGGAGGTCTGTTGCACATTCTTCACAGGTCTGAGGGAGAAAAAAATGGTAGCATCAAGTCAGCACCTTCCTATACAATTATCTACACCAAGAAGTGACAAAAAAAGCACACGAGTCGTTTACCTGATGCCCGCAACCAAATGCCATGTCCTTAGAGTTACTAAGGCAAATAGGACAAAGCTGTTGAAAACAACCACAAATGGATATTAGCCTTCAAGATAAATAACCAAATAGGAGGAAGTTGAGCCTCCCAGAGTTCGCAATCTTAAGTCTCGCTCCTTTCAGGTTTCAGTTCGAAAGTTGAATGCTAAGGAAGTTTGTTATTGATAGAAGATATATGGACCATGTGAACAACAAAATCAAAATTCTCATACCTGGCTATCATACGTAGAAGTTGGAGCTGGGGGAGCTGAGTCAACAGTTGTATCTTCAGGATAAGGAGGGACGCTTGGTTCAAAACTGGTAGGATGGGAAGGTTTTGAGCTGCTGAAAGATGCAGAACCATATTGGAAACTGGTAGAATGGGATTTTGAGCTGTTGAAAGATGCTGCACCATATGTAGGAGGAGGTAGGGGAACTCTCTCTGGAACATTTCCCATTCGACCACTGCAGAACATATAAATTGAAAATCGCCATCAAAACTTGAGTTGCAAAAGGGTAACAGAAAAAACTTTTAAAGTGACCAATAGAGAACTAACTATTACCCGAGAATATTAAGCTCAACGGTAGCTTTGTACTGTGAAGGAATCTCCATTAAAGCAGATAGAGCAAATTCGGTGTCCTTTCGGTGGGGAGGTGTATTCTTTGACATAATCTCCGTGAAATTCACGAACTGGTGAAAGTGAAGCACGAGGAGAAAACCTTAATAACTGAAGCATGATGATAATACCATACAAAAGACAGATGATATCTAACATGAAACACACGAGGAGAAAACCTTAATAACTGAAGCATGATGATAATACCATACAAAAGACAGATGATATCTAACATGAAACATGTTGATTGCAATCAGATTTACCTGGAAATTATCAAATGCTCGAGCAGGAATGTTATCATCAAACTCCTTCATCATGTCCCAAGGTCCATCTCCAACACCAACCAATATAATTGACAGAGGAAGCTTGCTGTAATATAAGAAACGCGTAAGAAAGAAAATTGTTGCACAGAAAAAAAAAATTGAATGAAACAGGCTCCATCATGTTTACCTTGCTTGCACTATCGCATTGACAGTCTTCTGCTCTTGTGGACTTAGCTGGCCATGCTGAGTATCAATGCTTCTAGTTACCTGAAACAACCATCAGTACTCGTGATATTAAACATATATTAAACTATAGTAAATCATACTGAACCATCATAAAAAAATTAATAAAAACGGTAATATTGCGTTGCAAGAAAAATCGTAAACGATACAGTAAACCATGTCAACATTTTTTGATCATTTTATTCCATGCTCATCCTCACACAAGCTTCCTTTCCGCTCATTTTTGCTTTCAAGCTAATCTAAAACTTTAGTGAAGTAAACTCATACACAGTGCAAAATACCTGCCCGTCAGCAATTATCACTAACACATGGTACTGACCACCGCTCTGCTCAACAATGGTCATGGCCATTTCAATGACAGAAGCAAATGATGTAGGTCCTGCCAAGAAGTAATAATTATTAATTGGATAAACTTCAAAAGGTAACTAAAAACAAGGATGAAATACACAAGTTTTATGAAAACCTGCAAGTCGTAGATGAGGCACAATTTCTCTATAGCGGCTTAAGACTTCCTCAAATCCATTACAAAATCTCCCATCTGGATAGAAACTGAAGATATCTTGATCATGTGTTGATGCTGCCAACACATATAAGTAATTGTTAGCATCTGCATTTAAATAAAGAGGCATCCTTATAAGGAAAACAAACTAAATACATACCATCACCAAATCCAAAACAAGGAATTAAATTGTCCTCATCAAAGGCAGCTAAGGTTTTCCCAATGATCGATATTGCTTGTTCATAGGGATTTAAACCATCTCCAATGTGGTGCAAACTTTTTCTATTGAATGATCTTTTCCCTACAAAACAAACCAGAATCAGCAAGTTCTACTATGGCTAAAATAACACACATTACCAGCAATTAAGAAGTAAATCTTAACCTGTCCACTCATTGCTCTTCGTGAAATCAATACCAACAATGAGATTGGAAGATTCAAGACCAGCATTAGCAAGAGCCTCCGTCACCTGCAATCAAGGAAAAATTCCTGTCACCTTACAATTTCCTTCGTCAACTTGACCAACAACAACAGAAAATAAACTACCGAACAGATTAAGCAACATTTACCAATTGTGGAAGGGAAAAGGCGAAAGCATAAAAAAATGAAAAACTTCTAACAGAAGAAAGCAATATAGATATTTACCTGATCTAAGGAGTTATAGTTATCTGCAATTCTCGAATACCTCCTCTGTAGTACCCTTTTATCACTGCCATGGTCTTGTGAAGATGGATAATCCTGTGGCTCTTGTTGCGAAGGTGGATAATACTGTGGGGATGCATAGCTATGCTGAGGCGCATAACTCTGGCTTTCTTGACCATATGGTGATTGAGGATACCCGTGATGAGAATCCCATGAAGATGAATTTGAATGATATGACGAATCCTCCTTCGAATTACTACCCCCCATCAACTCAAATATTTACAAGAAATTTCCAGTTCCTAACAACAACTGTTTTTCTTACTCCACAAACCAATCAAAATCAACAACTACAGGTTAACTACAAGAATAACTGAAAACAAAAAGCCCCAATATAAACGCAGACGACGACGACGACAAGAACAAGAAGCCACTAAATATGACAATTAAGGAATGAAACCTCCAAACAACTTCCTGAAACCTTTCCCAGAAACCTCTTCTTTTCACTATATCGACTCAGCACACGAAATCTATCTTAGACTAATCAAAACAAGCAGATAATATTTTATCCTTCACAAACCAATAAAAAATAAAAACCCACCAAAGCAAGCATTCAAAAAATATATACAAGCAAGCAAGAAATTAAAACTTACAAGGATATATATATGCTATTTAGACTTTCCAAGAAAATTCAAATTTATCTGCTTTACCAAAACCTTTAAGAGACCAATCCTCAAACGTAAACTTCCCCTTTAGCGACTTTAAAACAGCACACAGAGCCTTGCCAGCTAAGTATACTTCCAATAATGACTTCCTTGGAACTATCATTACACTAAAATTATCTTTATTTCCACGACTCAATCTAAATGGCTTAAAGAATCAACAAACACGCCATATATTAGCTAAAAATTCACTCCAAAGAAAATAAAAGTAAAACGGGCCGCTGCAGTCCACAAAACTTTAAAAACACTGCCACTTCAGCCAAACCCAAAACCAAAAATAAAGCCATGGATTCTGAAAGAGATCCATTAAGCTTGGCGGCTGTTAATTGCTTAATACTCAAAAAAAGAAAGCACATTTCCAGGATCTAAAGCGTAAGGTAAACAACTTTTTAAACTGGGTCAAAGGAAATTGAAATTCCCATACCTTTGATTGAAGCAGAGGAATTTGCAGAGCTTCAATGGAGGATGTGGGTGTCTTTTTTGCTTTTGAAATATGAGATAAGGTATTGATAATAAACAACTTAATGAAAATGAAACAATCTTTTTCCATGTTAGTTTTATTAAAAGTAAACTTTTTGTGATTTTTTTTTATTAAATTAATGAAACTGTCGAATGGGCATCACATGAAAGCTGCGCAGTTTGGGAGTTATTGGTGTTCATGTCTGCACATGTGACCACCGATAACAGATCAAACTAAGCTCATGTCAATCGTGTTCCTGTCTTTTGCCAAAATATAATCCTGCTCCTGTCGTCAGAAATTCTTTATCCCCTCCTTAAAAAAATACTATAAATAAAACTACTTTTTATTTATCCAACTGTATAATAATTTTTTTATGAATTTACTCAATAACTTGTTTTATAGGGATTTACAAAAAAAAAAAAAAAAAAACAGAGCAATCTGATATATAATAATTTACTAAATTTCACCCAACTTGTAGAATCTCACATTTGAGCTTGTAGTTAATTTTTTTTTTTAAGTTATAATTTAAAAATAAAAAAATAAATATTAAAATTTAAATTTATGAAATATTATTTTTAAAAATAATCATATAAATTAATTTAATTTAATTTCAAAATCGATTTTTTTAGTTGAATCTATTGGTCTATCATTATATCCCAAAAAATAAAAAGAATTATAATTCCCATTCCGCCAAAAATTTTAGGAATTTATTGATAATTAAAATAAATTGATAGATCAAATCAATTAATCTGTCATAAATTTAAAATAATTTTATACAGTTCTGTCCTAATATTTATTACTTTCCTAATGTTTCCTTACATTATTGATAAAATCTTCCGGTAAAAATATTTTAACAATAATTTTAATAATATTAATAAATCCAATTCAAATCATTTCTTTTTTGTTCATATAAATATTTTATATAAAAATTATTATGTCTGCAATAATATCTTTATTAGAGTTGTAATCGAGTCGAGTTTAATTTATACAGTGATAAACTCGAGTTCAAGCTCAACTCACAACTCGCGGTTCGATATTCGATTCGACTCGATCGAATTTTATTTTTCAAGTTCGAACTCAATTCATAATCAAATTCGAGCTATTCGAGTTCGTTCGATTAAGCTCGATTAATATGTAAAAATAAGTTCGATTCGTATACTTAATAAGAGTTTGATTATTTATGCTCGAGCTCGAATTCGAAATATTTTATTAATTAAAATAATAAAAATATATCTAAATATAAAAATTCGATTAGACTCGTGATCTACTTGAATCGGATATAAGAATATTCGAATTTGGCTCAATCAATAAGTCGAACTACTCGAACTCGAGTTTGACTCGATAATAATCAAACTAAATTTAAATTTTTTTCGAATCGAACTCGAATAATTTACGAGTACTAATATATCATTACACTCTTAATCCTTACGCATCGTAAGCTAAAAATACTATCTATCCTCAATTTTGATATGACTAACAAGTTATTTTGAGTTATTTAGTAAAGATAGACCAAAATTCTCCTTTATTCTCGTATTATTTTGATTTTTCGTAGATCTTATTATTATTTAATAGATAAATCACAATAATTTTATATATAATAATTAATAATTCATAAAATTATTCATTATCAAATTTTTTATTTAATCATTTTATTGAATACATAAAATTTCAAAAATAAATATGTAAAATGAATCACAAAATTTTCCATCAAAATTGGTTCACCAATTATTAAATACTCTAATTTAAATAGTCTAATTATATTGAGAGCTTGTCTTATGATATCTTAAAGATTACTGGTGAATTACTTTAAATAAGAATTTTAAAATTTAATTTTTATTCTTCTTTATACATAAAAAAAATTGTGGCATCCACTCAAATTTCACTACTGGAATCTTGTCGTTATTCAATAACAACAAAATTTAAATTCAAAAATCCACAGTGGAGTATCAAATTAAACCACTTCACAAGCAAAATCTGATCTTAGAATCTTGTCCGGTTTAATTTTCCACCTTTCCAAACATCTGGAATCTCAGCCAAACTTCTCACTCCCTCGTCCTCTTCGTGGATGCCACCAACCATTCCAATTTGACCGTTCCCTTCACTCTCTTCTCAAAGTCAAAGGCTAACCTCAGCACTTTATGCCACATGTAATCATATTACTGGTTTAAGATTTTTCAACGAATCAACTCGGCCGCAGATAATCATTCTCTCCCCATTCAATCCCGCGAAAATCAGCTCAGCTAAATCTGGGGTGGCTCTCACTGCCATTCTAACACTCGACCAAAAAAAAGAGAAGAAGAAAGAAATCATTTTTAGGGTTTTAGATTCGGGTCGGGTGAATTTGGGATTTTCGGGTCCCAAAATGAAGCAAAAGAACGAGCAAATTCACACTACAAAGCTATTAACTTATCTTTTAATCGTGTTAATCGGGGTTCTCGGGTTGGTTTGTCTGTACTATGGCTCTTCATTTGCTCCCGGATCGAGAAGATCTGACGATACTGCTTCTCGGTTGGATGGATCGGACCCGGTTTTTGGTGGGTTTTCAAGGAACGGGGATCTGGTTGATTTGCTTGACGAGCAAGGGTACTATCCTGAAGTTCCTAAAAGCATCCCTGTAAGTATTGCATTTTTATGAGCTGAAATTTTTCTTTTTTGGGTTTTTTTTTCATAATATTTACTTTTTAGCTCCATATTTCACTAAAGATTGTTCTTAATGTGGGTTTTTATTAATTTCTGTATGTATTGCATTTTTATCAGCTGAAAATGTTCTTTTTTGGGTTTTTTTTTTAAATATTTACTTTTTTGCTCCATATTTCACTAAGATTGTTCTTTTCTTTTGTTTTTAATGTCGGTTTTTTTATTAATTTCGTGTTTCTCTGTTATTTTTGAATTTTGGGTCTCAAATGTTATAAAGTTTCTTGTGGATTTTGTTTATCACATTAGCTAAATGATGGTGTTTTATGAGTTTACAGATTTGTGACATGAAATATTCAGAGTTGATACCCTGCTTAGATAGAAACCTTATATACCAGTTGAAATTAAAGCCTAATTTGGCAGTAATGGAACACTATGAGCGACATTGTCCGCCACCAGAGCGTCGTTACAATTGCTTAATTCCGCCGCCAAAAGGCTACAAGGTCGGTGATGGTTCTTTTTGCTTAAGCTAAGAGTTTGGATTTGTGTAGTTTCAGTTAGTTTTGGTACCAACGAAATTGCTATTAGAATTTCAGATCCCTATAAGATGGCCTGCAAGTAGGGATGAAGTGTGGAAAGCAAATATACCCCATACGCATCTAGCAGAGGAAAAATCGGATCAGCATTGGATGGTTGTTGATGGGGAAAAGATAAAGTTTCCTGGCGGTGGAACCCATTTTCATGATGGTGCTGATAAGTATATTGTTGGTCTTGCTCAGGTATACCTTGCTTACTGGGTTAATGATCCTTTGATCATTTGCAAGGGCCAAGAATGGATATGAGATTACGCATTTCAAAGCTTATGATTGTTTTGATTCTTCGAAAACATACTGTTGTTCATTGACCGAATAATTGTAACTTTTCCTTTTCTCATAAAAATTTATGTTCTTCTTTAGCTTGATGTTGAATCATTATATTTGTCTAGATGCTAAAATTTCCTGGTGATAAACTGCACAATGGTGGAAGTATCCGAAATGTACTTGATGTGGGATGTGGAGTTGCAAGTTTTGGAGCCTATCTCCTACCCCTTGATATTATAGCTATGTCCCTTGCACCTAATGATGTACATGAGAATCAAATACAATTTGCATTAGAAAGGGGTATCCCTTCGACACTTGGTGTGTTGGGAACAAAAAGGCTTCCTTATCCGAGCAGATCATTTGAGCTAGCTCACTGTTCACGATGCCGAATTGACTGGCTTCAGAGAGATGGGATTCTCCTATTGGAACTTGATAGATTACTGAGACCAGGAGGGTACTTTGTGTATTCTTCTCCTGAAGCCTATGAACAAGATCCAGAGAACAGAAAGATCTGGAATGCTATGTACAGCCTTTTGAAAAGAATGTGCTGGAAAGTTGTTGTGAAGAGAGGCCAAACTGTTATATGGGCAAAACCTCTGAGCAATAGTTGTTACTTGAAGAGAGATCCTGGGACTCGGCCTCTTTTGTGCAGTTCTGGAGATGACCCGGATGCAAGTTGGAATGTGTCTATGAAGGCATGCATCACTCCATACTCTGCAAGTAAGTAGAAACTACCAGGTGTATATAGATTGGATTGAAAGTTGTGGATTGCTCTTGTGTTCTACAATATATTTACTGGTTCATGGACATTTCAAATTGTTTGCCTGCATAAATTATCTTTTTTCTGATTTTTTTTTTTTTTGGGATAAATATCCTGCATAAATTATCACTTGTAATGTTATTGAGAATTGTTCCCAAACAACTGTCCTTAAAAGTTGGAAATAGGATCAGGATTGCTTCGTAAGTGTTAACTCAATTCTTGTTTGATACTAAAGAGATGCACAAAGAAAGATCGAGTGGACTACTTCCTTGGCCACAGAGGTTTACTGCAGCACCACCTCGCCTTGAAGAAATTGGTGTTAGTGCTGAGGAATTCCTTGAAGACACTGTAAGTTTCTAAGATCGCATTCTTCATCTTGATTGGTTTATTACTTTCCTTTATGTAGCCTTAGATTTTGATGACTGAGATATTCTTATGATACAGAAAATATGGCATTTTAGAGTGATTGAGTATTGGAAGCAGATGAAAGTGGTTGTAAAGAAGAATTCCATCAGAAATGTCATGGATATGAACTCAAACCTTGGGGGTTTTGCTGCTGCCCTTAAAGATAAAGATGTCTGGGTAATGAATGTTGCCCCTGTCAAAATGTCTGCGAGATTGAAAATTGTTTATGACCGAGGCTTGATTGGAACTGTTCATGATTGGTATGCATTTATTTTTTATACATGTATACATCCTTGACTCCATCTTCCTCCTCTGCTTGAGTTATTTGAAATTTGCATGTCTGTTTCTTTTGGCTCTTTTCTACATACTTCATTATTCAAATATGTCTATTCATCTTTTCTGGCTTAATCATTTAGCATGCCTTTACCTTTGCTTTTGTAGGTGCGAAGCTTTTTCTACATATCCTCGAACATATGATCTTCTTCATGCCTGGGCAGTGTTTTCAGAGATTGAGGAGCGTGGTTGTAGTGCTGAAGACCTCCTGATTGAAATGGATAGGATACTTCGGCCTGATGGGTTTGTCGTTATAAGGGACAAACACTCTGTAATAAATTATATCCAGAAATTTATCACTGCCTTGCATTGGGATGGCTGGTCATCAGAAGTTGAACCAAGAACTGATGCTCTCTCTTCTGGTGAGGAAAGAGTGTTAATTGCGAAAAAGAAGTTGTGGACTGATGGGTTTATGACAATGTGAATGTACTCAATTTTTCTTTCAGGTATTTTCTTTTAAATCTCTGCATTTGCTGATTGTTATGCGGCTCGTCTTCATGATTCTTACCTTCACTTGAGCTGTTAAAATAAATCATAAGACAAGCATCATAAGCAAAAGCAATTAAGCTTTGGCTGTTCTCTAAAACATATTGGTTTTTCCTTTTCTTTAGTTGCGCCCCCGGAAAGTTGTAGCCGTGGATGTAAGACGAAGTCCTGTTGCTATTTGTGGTGAAGATTTTTGTTTTCCTTCGAAAGAGGATAATAGTACCAAAGCTCAAGAGGAATTGTCAACATGTAGAATGTGCAACTATGTAGATATATCCCCTGCTGATTGCTGCAAACAGCCACAATCCTTAAAGAAAACAAGACCAAAGCTCAGACACAACCCTTGCTGCAAACCAATATCACTTTTGTATAATCTTCTTGTTTTCAGATGTATTTGTGAACAACTTTTTTCTTGAAAAACCTGTTAGAAAAACATTTAGTCCCATGGATGCAACATGTTCTCTTGTGAACAAGTACACATCTGAGTCTTGTACCAAGTACTTTCTTTTAGAGATTCGTGTTGCATATAAAATATAAAAAATTGTTGCATCAAATTTGTAAACACATTAAGCATAAAACATATTTTATATTTTTATTAAATTTTTATATAATTTTTAAATCGTATTATTTTATTTTATTTTTATATTATTTTTGTATAGTATTATCATTTCATATTTAAAATAGATAAATCTATTTTTTGTTGATACACTAAATTATGGTTAAGTAAAGATTATGTTTAGTATATAAAAAGATAAACAAGACAAGATAATAATATTTTTATTTGATGTTTGATTTATATTCAAAGGAAATGATTGAATTGTAAGGAAAGTTAATTATTTTTTGGTATAAGATAATTTATTTTTTTCAAAATAGAAAAATTATTTGTAAGTCATGAGATTAAATTTATATACTCTATTATATTTTTAAAAATTATTTTATTAAATTTAAATTATATACATTTTGATAAATATAATTTTGACTAATAAATAAAATTATCTTATCATAATTTTTATATATATAAAAAAATAAATATTATTTAATTTAATACTATTTATAATATTAATTTATGTTATTATAATCTTGTGCACAAAAAATATCATAAATGTACTAAAGAGAAACAAAATTGTATTAGGTGATGGTGCAAATTAATTAGCACTATAGTAATAGTATGTTTTATAGCTAAAAATAAATATTAAAAAAAATTATTTAATATATTGACAGTTAAATTTTTTAATTTCATAAGTAAAATTAAGATAATAATATATGTTCTATTTTTTAAAATTAATTTTTTTATTTTTTAAAAAATATATATATTAAAAATATATATCACTATTTTAACTTCGCTTATGAAAATTTTCACTTAAAAATTGATTTGAATCAAATGTTTAATTTCTGCGATCGAAAATTCAAATCGGTGGAATGAAAAAAAAAAATAAGGATTGATTGATCTTTCTATTTTGGGCAGAACATTTATCCCAGTCCAAAAGTGGAAATTGAAATCAAATTATAAAACAAAAGCGCCACGTAAGCTTGTTCCCGCGTAATTCGCTCTCTTCCACTCACGAACAGCACAAAACAGGAACAAAGAAAATTACAGAGAAAGCTTCTGGAATCGATTTTTTTTTTCATTTTCAGATAATTTCATATTGAATTTTTTATTTTTTTAATTGAAAATGAATTCTGAAACGACTGGTGCATTAAATTATGGAATCACAGATCATATTTCGATCCAATCCAACGGCTCCGATTCTCCTCGTCTCCCTCATAAGCAACCATTCATCATCGGTTCTAATCTCTTCTCGTATTCTTCTTCCTATATGGAATATTCTTTTATTTTTTATTTTTTTGATCCAGGAGTTGCAGGAGGAACCGCATCGGGCAAAACAACGGTTTGCAACATGATCATCTCGCAACTTCATGATCAACGCGTCGTTCTTGTAAATCAAGTAAATCTTTTAAATTCTCCTTTTTTTTATTTTGAATTTTTTGGTTTTTTTATTAGTAATAAAATTGTTTTTTTTTTTTCTTTTCAAATTATAAAGGATTCGTTTTACCGCTCACTCAACGAAGAACAATTAAAGAAAGTTCACGAGTACAATTTTGATCACCCTGGTAAAGCCTCCAAAACCAAAATTATCCAATTATTGATTTTTTTTAATAATTTAGAGCTTCTTTTTTTTTTGCAGATGCTTTTAATACTGAGCTTTTGCTTTCATGTATGGAGAAATTAAGACATGGACAACTAGTTAGCATTCCTAGCTATGATTTCAAGACCCATACAAGCATTGAACCCTCACATCTGGTAAATTTAATATTTACCACTTCTTTATTTTTCAAATATTGATTTTATTAAAAAAAATCAGAAATGTCTGAACAAGTTATGATTTGTATCAATGTAGGTTAATCCTGCGGATGTTATTATTTTAGAAGGAATTCTCATCCTTCATGATTCTGAAGTTCGCAATCTTATGAACATGAAAATTTTTGTCGATACAGGTTTATACAAATTTTTTTATTAATTTTGGTTACTTAATTGGCATGCTAACCACGATCTTAGAACTAGAAAAAATGATAGCTTTTTAATCATCATTGGAATTGATTTCATAAGTTTATGAACATAAAATTCTATGTCATATAGGTTTATATAATTTTCTAATTTATTTTGGTTACTTGATTCACAAGTTCAGCACTAAGTTAGAAATTTTAAATGGTTATTGGAATTTATTTCATAATCTTATAAACATAAAGATCTTTATTGATACAGGTTTATACAATTTTTCTTATTGATTTTGGTTACTTGATTTACAAACATTATGTTAGAAATATTGAATGGCCATTGGAGTTAATTTCATAATCTTATGAACATAAAGATCTTTGTTGACATAGGTTTATACAAATTTTTTTTGTTGATTTTGGTTATTTGATTTGCAAGTTAAGCACTATGTTAGAAGTAGAAAAAAGGGTAGTTTTTTTATGGCCATTGGAGTTGATTTCATACGTACAAATAGCATTCATCTATCAATGATCATGGCTAAATTTTGCCAGAACAGATTCTGATGTGCGGCTTTCAAGAAGAATTCAACGGGATACAGTCGAAAGAGGGAGGAATGTTAAAAATGTGCTTGATCAAGTTAGTGAACCCTTTGTCTATTACAAGTTTATCTCAGTAATTGCTACATCTTCATGCAATTAATCAACCTTGTATGACTTTGCAGTATGCTAGATTTGTAAAGCCTAGTTTCGATGAATTCATACTGCCATCGAAAAAGTTTGCAGATGTAATCATCCCTAGGGGAGGAGACAATCATGTTGCAATTGATTTGATAGTTCAGCATATCCTTACCAAGCTTGGCCAGCATGATCTATGCAAAATATATCCAAATGTTTTTGTTATATTTTCAACATTTCAGGTGCCATGGCTTTTTATTACTTGATTCAGTTCTCTATTCTTTTCAACTCTATGATGCCTTCAATGATGATTTGGTATTAAGTTCAGATTCGAGGAATGCACACCCTTGTCCGTGATGTCAAAACAACAAAGCACGACTTTGTCTTCTATTCAGATCGATTGATTCGCCTGGTAAAGAAGCTTACATGAATAGGAATTAGTAATCAACATGATATAGAATCATTTGGTCTCAAAATCCATGTTTCAGGTTGTGGAGCATGGTCTAGGACACCTTCCTTTCACTGAGAAACAAATCATTACTCCCACAGGTAACTGCTAGTATCATGTCCCATCATGTCCCCTCATGTTTTATCAGAGAACAGGATTCACGTTCATGCTTTTCTCTCATAGTTTCGTGCCATATGCTTGGCACTTTTAATATGCCTATTTCAAACATAACTACCTGATTCTTTGATAATAACTCAATAAATTTCTGTTTCTTCTTTGATTGCTTGCAGGTTCTGTTTATCCTGGAGTTGTGTTCTGCAAAAGATTATGTGGGGTCTCTGTTATTAGAAGGTTGGTTATAGCTCAATACTTCGGAACCATACGAGCTCTTAAGCAGTTGAGCTTGTCAACTACATAGCAGGAAAACCTTCATCAGATAGAATGCTTGGTCTGCTTAGATTTGGAGTGTGGCAGATCATTAACCCATTGTTCTTGCTGTTGTTATTTGCATCTTCACAGAAGTTTCTGATAAATGATAATAACTCTAGTTTCCTGATACCAGTGGAGAAAGCATGGAGAATGCACTGAGAGCATGCTGTAAGGGAATCAAAATTGGGAAAATTCTAATCCATCCAGATGGAAAAAATGGGCGGCAGGTAGGTTGAAAAAACTGTCATTCAACGAGCCTTTCTTCCTCTCACACAATTTCTCATTTAGCTATTACATTGCTGCAGTTAATTTATGAGAAGCTACCGGCAGACATCTCAAGCCGCCATGTGTTACTACTAGACCCTGTTCTGGCTTCAGGTTTGAGAACATAAACTTATCATTATACTTCCAACTCTATGACTTTTCTCAAATCTATGGATGGTCAGGAAATTCTGCGGTCAAGGCTGTATCACTGCTTCTCAGTAAAGGTGTGCCAGAAACCAGCGTCATCTTTCTTAACCTTATAGCAGTAAGCCATTATGCAACTTGGTATTTCTCATCTATTCCCAAAATTTTGTGCTTATTCGATCAGTTCTGAAATATGAATCTTGTCAACTGCAGGCACCCGAAGGAATTCATACCGTCTGTAGGAAATTCCCAAAGCTAAAAATCGTTACATCAGAGATTGATTCATCACTCAATAGGAATTTTGAAGTGATTCCAGGCATGGGGGAGTTTGGGGATCGCTACTTCGGCACAGATTAATGATTTTGCTCCCAGGGCTTAGCCTAACAGCTAGATTGGTGCTACACCTTAAAAGAAACTCATAAGCTATTGACTCTGTCTAGAAACTCATAAGCTATTGACTCTGTCTAGCTAGTTTGCTAAAATCAGTCCAATTATGAACATTTTTCTACTAGGTGCAAAGGACAAAATTTCTGGTGAAAGAACAAATGTTCCTTGCTAGTACAAGTATTAACACATCGATCCTACTTTCCCTATAACTTTTTCCCTATTTGGAATTCATTCATGTTCTAAACTTCGGGTTCTTGAAGAACAAGGGGAAGAGGGAAAACATCCGCAAACAAGAAAAAAAATCCAGGGCAAACAAAAAATCAAAGTCAATTTACTACCAGGAAATCAGGGAGGTCTTACAAACTCCTATTCGAATTCAACTTTCTTTTTGCAAACAAACAGAAAGAATTGTTGGTGAATTACAAGCACAAAACTCTGTTTCAGAAGGCACATGGGAATATTAGCTTGTGTTTTTTCGGCTCTTCTTCTTCCGAGAGGCAAAGCTGCTCGGTCCGATTTCTATGGACATTCTCTTTGTTCTGCAACAAGAGACAAGAATTAAGTAATCCCCCAAAACAGAATTGCTATGCATTAATGTGAAGAAGAAAAAACAAAGGTTTTCAGAGATGACAGACATAGAAGGATCATAAAAAAGATAAAGTGAAGCACTATACCGAGTAGAAAGCTCTTCTGACTCCTTCCCACCTTCTTCAGCCACAGCCTCTGATGAAAGAAATACAATGAAATTAAGGGACCAGACATAAAATCACATAGCTCAACATAATTTCCAAATTATCTCATGGCAGCTGATCGAAACCAGATTTATGAAAACCAACAAGTTATGCTATGAAAATAAATTGTGCTTGTAAAAGATAGTTCGATAAAATCTTACGTCATTTTAATTGTTCTAAACTTACATAAAGCAAAATAAGTTCTAACAATTTACAGACAAAGTGGATAAAAGAACTTGGCACACACGCACACATAACATCTCTTGGCACAACCAAATCTAGTTATTTAAATGTAATTACCACATTATTTCCCGTAAAGGTGATGGGCAAACGATCTCCCTAATATGATGACATATAGAGGTTTTTTTTGGAATAAACTTGGCTGCAGGCAAAGTGAATTTCATTAGAAAAATCTAACTCGGAAGAGATCATTTACAAAGAAAAGTATCTAGAAGTGTTCTCACATATTCAACCTTTTCGCACACAGTTAGCTCTGACAGCCAAGGTATTCAAACATAATCCTACAACATCATGGACACAAATTCATGCTCTCTCATAAGTGTTTGAATTCATTATTCAAATATTTAACAGACTCTAGCTATAGTTACTTCCACCAAGCCACTTTATTCATCATTCTCATCCTTACTGCCGCTCTATTCCCAATTCATGCTAAAGATTGACATCATGAATGTAGCATAAACTATGAATTGCAAAATTTTGATCCTGAATTAGATTAAAATAAGTATCTCTTTTCAATACAGAGGCCAACCGCACCTGCGTCCTTTTCTTTATCTCTGTCCTCCAACTTTGAAGGAGAACCCCATCGATCCCTTCCATCATCAAAGTCCCACCGCTCGCCCATTGAGGGCATCCAGAACTCAGGTTCTTCTGAATCACTTTCATTTTCAGCAGAATCCCTAACTTCAGAGATAATCTCTTCAACTGTCTTTCCCTTCTTGTTTTTCTTCTTTTTTTCTTTCTTTGGCTTCTGCTCACCTTCCTCTGCCATGGTTTCATTCATTAAATCCTTCTCCTTTTCCTTTTGCTCTGCTCACAAGAATTCACCAAGAATTAATACAACATATGCTAATTAATCTACAAATCAATTAACCACAGAGCAAATGCTAACCTAATTTGTTGAGAAACCGTTTCCCATTGATATGCTTCCAAATATGTTCCTCGGACTTATTGACAGTATCACCAGTTAGTTTACAAATCAACTTTGAACTGAAAAACAATCAAATAGAAAGTTAGAATCATGTTAACAGAAAACACATGAAACTGAACAAAGCAAAATATCCACCCTAATGCAATAGCTATATTCTTAACTATTTGGAAATCTGGAATATCAAAACAGAAACTTGGCGATGGCAATCAACCAAGTCCCCTTTACAATATCTAGCTTTCTAGAGGTTGGCTTGTAACTACCCAAAAGACCATTATTTTTTACTTCAAAAAAAAATTGAGAATGCTTCCAATTTCTAACCAAAAACACAAATTTTTGGTTTGTGTTTTTCTGGATCTTCACAAAGTAGCTCCTTTTGGCTACAAGTTTCAATCTTTGATAACCATTTTCTTTATTTAAAATAAATAAATAGCTCAAAATAATTAAAAAATGGATTTGGTTCTCTAATTTACTACAAAGAAAAGCTTAAATTAAATTAATCTAATAAAAGAAAGAAGAAAGCTATGGTTTTTTTTTTTCCTCTTACCGGGAAAGAGGGTCTTGCTTGAACATGTTGAGAGGGGGCTTAGAGTGAGACAAAGCAAAGTCGATGAGGCCTAAACGACAACGTTTGCTCTGAGCATAGGAATCTTTGTCTCCGACAACCATCTCGTGGCCTGTCTCTACGCACTTGAGCCTGCCGTTTGGGAGCTCCGTGAAGGTTGGAGGCCCCAGCAAATTGATCCCTTCTTTGCTGCTGCTGCTGCCGCCGCCGCTTCCTTTCTTTTCTTCCCTTGCCTCCTCCATTGTTATTGATGCTTTTCCCTTCTTACTTCTGTTTTGTAATTTGGGCCGTAGTCGATACTTGATACAACGTCGTCGTTTAAATTAGAAGCAAAAATGAAAAAGACGACCCGATCATTGTTCTGGTTGCATGGAGGTGTCTCAATTCTATTTATATTAACATTGATACTTTGAATTCCTATGTTTGTTTCAATTTCATCCTTCCACTGGTGAAGAATAGTAATAAAATTTTAAGCTTTAATTTTCTATTTTGTGAAACTTGCCTTATTTACTTTTTGCTATAAGCTCCTCAAATTTATTTGTTCTATCACAAAGCTCCTCAATCAACAAGTAGCAAAACTGAAAAAAATAAAAAAAAAAAAAAAAAAAACTCTCAATGGAAAGAGGGTTTGGCAAATACAAAAATATACACAAATTATAACACATAATTTTCGTAATTTATACGAAACAAACATGACTCCAATACACAATCTGTTAATTCCAATTTTACTTTTCTTGAACAAAACTAATTTCCCACAGAAGAGGATCCATTTGCCAAAGCATTTGCATCTTTAAAACTCATGGTATTTGAGATTTACAGCTAGTTTCATTTTGTTGTAACTTCTAACAAAATCATTCGTTATAAGCATTCGTAAAACTGCATAATCATCGATACACTGCATTTGTAGAACTGCTTAATGCACTAATCTTGACCAAGATGACAAAGTTGGGGTGGTCCCCGGCTACTCTAGTGTTCCCAGTTTCTCTTCATCAACCTCAAATGCCTTCCTTGCTTGCTTCAGCTCCTCTTGCATTGATAGCAATTCTGTACAACGATTTAGTTTGGGCAAATCCTGCAGGGTCAATGTGATTATTGAGGTTACTCTTCAAAGTTCGATAACAAAATTAAAGGAAAAACAATAAAATATCGTGCAGCAGCATCTCCCCATGGCTGAAAATATACAAAGACACTGGAATTCCAAGTTGCAGAATACAGGAGCAAATACAACAACAAACTAAGTCTTATATCCCATAACTCTAGGGTCAGCTGTATGAAAGGCCCAAAGGAATCTTGTTAGGTAGTAATTTTAAATTTTCTTACACCATTTATTTCTATCAACAACAACCTTTTCATTTACTTCCTTAACCCTCATATCATTTCTTATTACTTGCTATGAGGTTTGACGGCAACATAAAACATAGTCAAACCATGATGAGAGACCAAAATACAGGAGCAAATACACTCATCAAAATAAAATTAGAGTTACCTTGCGAATTAGATACAGAAAATCCTCAACTGATAGCTTTCCTCTCTTTGATCCAATATCTTGAGCTTTATGTGCCTAAAGAAATGGCAGATATCAGCATGTAACCAAAAATGCCATCCCATTTAACCAAAGAAATGAAATCAGCAAACTTACCAGATCTGTTACATATTCGACAACAATGTCCTCGACAAGGGCCACAGTTTCTGGAAGTGGCTGAAACGGCAACAAATGCAATTTTATTATTAGGACCAAATACGTGTAATAATCATATTTCCTGCAACTTATATGAACACAATGCATCACTTCAGTTATTGCAGTGCATAAAAGCAGGCAAAGGATACAACTAATGAACCTTTCTCCCAAGGAAGCATCCATAGCATGAGATTTGGATCTTTATAGTTTATATCCTTATCTGGCTTTATCTTCCAAACTTCGACAGTCTACCATATGAGCTTTTCTTTTAAGCTTGGAATCGTATGCAGGCAAATTTTATCATTGATTAATGCATATGGTTATCAAAATCTACCAGACAAAATTATGCTCATAGATTGCATCTTGAATTTGTGAAAATCTTATGGATTAACTATTTTGTGCAACTCATTCAAAAGTTGCAAAACAGTAACTAACCCAAGAAAATATCATGACATACAGTATGAAAAGTTTAAAATCCATTGTTATAGACAAAACATGGAAGGAATTCAATAGCTACTAACTCTTAGATACCGAAATCATAGGCAACGAAAGATATACAAACTCCTCAAAGACATTTGGCAGATAGACTAGCTCTTTCACTTCTATGAACAATGTCATAGACAATATAACATTCATTAAAAATAGGTTTGTGACCACCATGATAGCAATAACATTGGGAGGAAACCAATTGTGCTAAGATTAAGCGATCAAGTGAGCTTTCTACAAAAGCCAGCATGCGAAAGATATACATATGACAAACAACATTCAAAGATAAACAATTACTAAGTGGCCTATAAAAAGGTGGAATCTTTGTTCTTTTCTTGTTTTCATTCATATCTCCATCATGATCCATAAAAGGGAAAAAAGAAACAAATTTAAACACTAAAAAGGGCTCAATACTTACATTTGCATCATCTCCAAAACCATACATCATATGCTGCACTGTAAAAAAAATTTTTTTTAAATGTAAGAATTATTCAAAAAAAAAAAAAAAGAAATTTGCAGGAAAACTCAGATAATTGGAAGTATAAAAAGGAAGAAAATTTACTTACAATCTTTTTGAAAGACACCTCTTTTGCGCTTGAAAGAAGTTTCTGAAGGCTGTGAAGACCCAACTTTCGATTTTGAAGGGGTTCCTGTTGATGGGTTACTCATCTTCTATACCAAAAAGCTCTCTACTCTCACAGAATTGAAGAAACCAAACAAGTCCCAAGAACCAAAAAAGAAAATTCTTTATCAGAAAACCCATCAAGGAAAAAAAACCAAAATCTTAATTTGATTAAAAAACCTTCAAAAAAAAAAAAACCATTTTACCTGATCCTGTTTCCCTGAAGATTCAAACTTCAAGGGAAACAAAAATAGAGTTCTCGTCGTTAAAAAGGATATTAGTTTAATGGGCCGATTTGCTCCCCAAGTGCGCCTGTCAGACTCCTAGTTGGGCCGACAAATTTCTTGAGTTGTGTCGGTGTTTGGATTTGGTAATAGCATCACGGTCCACGAGATGAACCAGGTCCAAAGGTTCTTCTCAAGTGAACTAGAGACTAATCCATTTCCGTGTCTAGGAACCGCACAAATCTGAATCTGAAATCGGTCTGTGATGTTAACACCGGCACCAGAAAATTTTTAAAGTAGTGTTTAGTATGATAAACTTTCTTTTATATTTAAAAAAAAAAACCTTAAAAAAAAAGGATTTTTTTTTAATATTTTAAACTATATTGGTGGATGGTATATATCTTTTACAGATAAAAAATTTAAAAGAAAGAAACAAGTCTTTTTCAAAGATTTCTTTAATCATATGAAGTTTTCAAGGTTTTTTTTTTTATTTTTTAAATATTAATAATATATTGTAAGTTTACTATGAAATTAATATATGATGAAGATTCTAATAATTTTAAATTAAATGAAAATTAATGAAAACTAATTAAAAATTTTGAACAAACATTAACTCTAGATTTAGTTAAAATTACATTAATTGCCATTAGATAAAATAGTAACCATCCTTTCTCATCCCATTAGTGATATATACAAGAATTATCTATAATGATTATCCTAAATAACTAATGGATATTATTGATATAACTGAGATTTATTAGTATCAGATATGGAGATTGAGTTTGAATTGAAGTTGTTTACTTAATAAGCAGATGAGTTGATTGCCATGACAAATGATTTGTCTATATATTCTGTAACTAATTTTCATAAATAGTTGAAGTTCGAAGTGACAGTGTTGGTGCAATGGAGAATGTTAAAGTCTTTCCTGTTGTTGTTTTTTCAGTTTTGTTGTGTGTTTTGGGGGTGCAAAGTGTGGACTTGAAGGAATTACCATCCTGCAATTTCAGAGCAGTTTATAACTTTGGTGATTCTAACTCAGATACCGGTGGTGGATCAGCTGCATTTTGGCCACAAGGACCTCCATCTGGCAATACTTTCTTTGGTAGGCCAGCTGGAAGGGGCTGTGATGGGCGTTTGATGATTGATTTCATTGGTAAGAAACATATTGGTTTGCTATCTTTGCATTCTATAACAACCAGAAACTTACTGTGAAAATTTTTTGTACGCAGCTGAGCATCTTGGATTGCCTTACTTGAGTGCATATTTGGATTCCATTGGAACAAGTTTTCGGCATGGTGCTAATTTTGCCATGGGGGGAGTAACCATTAGGCCACAAAATGAATCAATGTCTTTAAATGGAGTACCTCCATTCTCACTTGACATCCAGATGGTACAATTTAATCAATTCAAGGCTCGCACTAGCTACCTCTACAATCAAGGTTATCCTGAAAATTGCCTTGACATCAGTTTCATTTTCAAGTTTTATTCTCCTAGACTCGGGGATTTATGTCTTTCGACTATGGTTTTCAGCCAAGAATTCCCACAGAAGTAATCTCCCCAGACCTCAGGACTTCTCAAAGGCCCTTTACATGCTTGATATTGGGCACAATGACATTTCTGCTGGTTTGAGGAAGAAGAATGACACAGACTTTCATCTTTCAGTGCCAGACATGGTTGAACAGCTAGCTAAAGCAGTCCAAGTAAGTTTGGAATTCGAATTGATTTTATGTTGGTTTTCTGGATTAAAAAAAAAAAATAGATCTCTAACCAAAATCAATTGTCTAATTGACAGAATCTCTATGACCAAGGTGCAAGGACATTTTGGATACATAATACGGGCCCAATGGGTTGCTTGCCTGTATATCTGCGCTACCATGATATCAAGCCTGATGAACTTGACAAGCAGGGCTGTCGCAAAGCTCAAAATGACTATGCTACGGAGTTTAACAGGAAGCTCAAGGACAGAGTTATCAAACTTAGGAAAGAGCTACCACAAGCCGCGTTAACGTATGTGGATATGTATGCTGCAAAGTACAAACTGATTGGCAATGCAAAACAGCAAGGTAATTATAGGAAGAATTCCATCCCGGGTGTTGAGTGATTATAAAAAAAGCAATGATTTATATGGAACCCTTAAATTCATTCATTTTATGTATCTTTCTATTCTTTTTCTTGGTAGGATTTGTTGATGCAACAGAGGTTTGCTGCGGATTTCATCAAGATGACATTCATGTATATTGTGGCCAAAAAGCAAAAATAAATGGTACTGTAATCTACACAGGTTCTTGTGAAGATCCTTCCAAGTATATCAGCTGGGATGGTGTCCACTACAGTGAGGCTGCCAATCATTGGGTTGCTAATCATATAATCAATGGTTCATTTAGTGATCCGCCTCTGCCAATTACACATGCATGCCATAAGCTTACCTAGTCTTGAGTGATTACTTCAACAGATGTATTAATCATGCATGGAATCAACTTTATTACTCACTTATTTTCAAGGTCAGATAGGATGTTTCTTCATTTCTTTGCAACCATGCTGATGATAATAATTGTTGACAGGAAAACATAAAAGAAGCAAATGTTTATTTTTCAGTTCTCATTAGCTATAGGACGGCATTGTTTCTTAGCAATTCAGTGAAACCTCCTTTTTTATTGAAGCCAAGATTTAATTTCAGCAGGTAAAGAATGTTCAGATATACATTCAATTTTTCTTTTGATGCTCTCAGTAGTCATGTATATATATGCCTTTGGCAATGATATAAACCAGTAATATGAAGGATCCCAAAATTTGGCCCTTTAAACTATCCTATCCCCGTAACACATAACAATGATATATATATATATATATATATATATATATATATATTTGATCCTTTTCCTACTTTGCAACTAGGTCGATCAGGCTGACAAACATGGCCATAACATGTAGTCACAGTAGCAAAACTGAATTTTAAACAAATTTATTATAATTTTTTCTGATAAGCTGCATATGATCTATGCAATATATGTGTGTGTGTGTGTGTATATATATATATATATATATATATATATATATATCACTGATTTTTTAGGTGAACTCCATCAATATTTCATAAATTTGACAATCAAAGAATTGCTTATCAGGAATGCTGAGACCCTAATTAAAAGGAAATGGTGATATTGATCAGAACAATCACCCGTAATAGTAAATGAAGCGCATGACAGATTTTTTTTTTTTGCAGCTTGTGGGATAAAATATTGGATGGAGATGACATTTTATAACAAGTGCAATGGAGTTAAAATTGCTTTAAAAAGATAAGATGGATCATAGAATTAAGAAAGTCAAAGCATCTGAGTTCATTGATTCTCATAAACATGTGCTTCTTTTGCTGATATGGAATTGAGTCCTTTTTAAGCTAAGAGTCTGTGGGTGCTTTGTGAGTAGCTTTGTTGCTGCAATGGAGTTTGCAAGAATTATCTTTTCTGGATTCTTGGTTTCATTGGCTCTGAGCGTGGGAGCTGCCAAGGTGAAGGACTTGCCACCCTGCAATTTCAAAGCAATTTACAACTTTGGTGATTCTAATTCAGACACTGGGGCTATATCGGCGGCAATTTTCCCAAGGCAATGGCCAAATGGTGAAACTTTCTTCCATAAGCCGGCTGGAAGACTTTGCGATGGACGGCTTATGATAGATTTTATTGGTAACAAAAGCATGAAATATCCTATCCTTCTTTATCCAACAAGAATTTTTGATTAATTCTCTGTCAAAGTTCATAAGAACTACTTTTCTGTATGCAGCTGAACGCCTTGGATTGCCTTTCTTGAGTGCATACCTGGATTCAATTGGATCAAACTTCCAGCAAGGTGCCAATTTTGCCTCAGGAGGATCAACCATTGTTCCACAAAACAAAACCATAGCTGAGAGTGGATTAAGTCCATTTGCTCTTAATGTTCAGATTTGGCAGTATGACCAATTCAAGGCACGCACTACTGATCTCTACAAAGGTTATTATCAGAGCTCATTGAAGACCAATACTTCTCCCCAAGTTATATCCTCCTAGACTAAGGAAACTAATTGTCGGTGATTTGCAGTTAGCAAATATTCTTGTAGAAACCAGCTTCCAAGACCCAAGGACTTCCCAGAGGCACTTTATGTGTTTGATATTGGGCAAAATGACATTGCTTATGGACTCCGGACGGTTGATGATGCACAACTTCTTGCCTCAATGCCGGACATAATTAGCCAACTGGCAATAGCAGTCCAGGTAAATTGCATTCTTTCATTCAGGTTAACTGGGATCAGAAAAGTAGCAACTCCTGATTAAATGTGTTTTTGGATGACCAAACCTGGATCAAATTACGACTTGCAACAGCTTCTATATACTCAAGGCGCAAGGACATTTTGGATACACAACACTGGTCCTATTGGTTGCTTGCCATCAACCTTGCTCAGCATAAAAAATCCTCCTCCAGGATTTCTTGACAACCATGGCTGTGTGGAAAGCCAAAATGACATTGCCAAAGAGTTCAACAGGCAGCTCAAGAATAGAGTGATCAAGCTCAGGGCAGAGCTCCCAAGGGCTGCAATAACATATGTAGATATCTATACTGCAAAGCATGGACTTATCAGCAATTCAAAACAGCAAGGTAATAACATGGTAAAAACAAAACTGAGCTACCATAAATCTAATCCATAAACATTCTATCATAATCTGTTTTTTCTTTTCTGGCTTTTTTCTAGGATTTGTTGATGCACAAAAGATTTGTTGTGGGTATCATAAGAATGGAATTGATGTGGGATGTGGAGGGATATTACCCCTACCAAATGGTACCAAAATATTTGGGACTGCATGTGAAGACCCTTCTCTATATATCAGTTGGGATGGTGTCCACTACACTGAGGCTGCCAATCGTTGGATTGCTAATCGTTTAATCAATGGTTCACTGTCAGATCCCCCCATTCCAACCACCCATGCTTGTTACAGAACTTCATGAAGCATGATCTGCTGAGCAGTGACCACATCTCAATGGATCTTAATCATGGTGTTAGCAAAAGAGACAAAGTGATGACACTAGGAAATAACATTAGCCATGAGAATATCAGTAGTCAATACTATGACACTGTGGAATTACTGTTGCATATTTTTTTCTCAATAAGATTTATGGAAAGTTTCTTCCACTTTCTTTGGTGGCATTAATTAATCACTCAGGTTAAAAGAAAAAGAAAATTTTCATGTCAATTTACTAACAGCTATGAAACAAATCAATAACAAGGTCTCATAATCTTTATGATTTGTTTTTTGTGATCAATTGCCCTTGTGCCTAAATTTAGACCAGATGTCGTCTCTCCTAGTTGGGAAGTTCAAATCTCCTACAAAACCCCATATTCAACTACCTGCCAAACTATGATAATTTGTTTGATGAAGAAGCTCTTGAAAGTCCAAAAAAGGAGTAAACTAAAAGAGCTGTAAAAAATATACCCCATTTTAGGATCACTAGAAGATGTTTTATTGAAGTAATACATGTATATTTTGAGATTTGGTAACTGATTTGTAGCTTAGCTTTTTATTACTATGAAAATGAAATGTGGGGTTACTGTCTTTAAGTAGCATATGCACATGTATGATTTATCCCACTGATTGCGCAAAACCAAATCCATTTTTAAAACCTAAAGTATAGAAAATGGGCCCTTTCAAAATTTTTGTCCCCGTTGCCAATCACCGACAAGGAACCCTATCATGTACCAAGTCAATACGATCGGCAAGATATGATCACTTCTAATCTAAGACACTTCATCACCACCAGACAATCCCCATCGAACGGTGTACAGTTCTTTGGACAAAGTTAAGATGACTATGAAAACCAAGGTCCAAATCTTCTGCAATCTTTGACATTATATTAGTCAGAGCTGACACAAGTGCCACAAAAAAAAAATGTGGTATGCGGCATTGGACATATTGGCAGGCTTGATTCTAGGCCATCTGGCTGGATGTCGTTTAATAGGGTAGATGAGCGGAGTAGGGACCACCGCAACAGCAAGAGAACAAGAAGAAAAAGGAGAATGGCAAGTTTTAACCAAGTTTACTGCCAGTTTCTCACAGCTAAAAGAGGGAAATTTGTAAAAATAAAAATAAAAATAAAAGGCAGTTTAGCTTTTCATGTATATATAAAGTGACAAGTTCCTGGAACCAGCTAAGTGGGAGAGAAAATGGTGTTCTGGAGAGTGTTAATTGCTGGGGTTCTAGTTTCCTGGGTGGAGAGTGTTGCTGGTGGTAATTTGCCACCATGTGAATTCCCTGCAATTTACAACTTTGGTGACTCAAATTCAGACACTGGAGGCATATCAGCTGCTTTTGAACCAATTCGAGCTCCATATGGTGTGCCGTATTTTCACAAGCCATCTGGTAGAGACTGTGATGGCCGCCTCATCATAGACTTCATAGGTAATAAGAATTTCAAGCTATCGATATCTGCATCACAATATGTTAAACTAGGAAACTTACGTCCTTATCTTATTCTTGTCAATTTTTGGCAGCTGAGCGAGTAAAATTGCCATATCTGCATGCTTACTTGAATTCCTTGGGAGCAAATTTCAGGCATGGGGCAAATTTTGCAACTGGAGGATCAACCATTAGGAGGCAGAATGAGACGATTTTTGAGTATGGGATAAGTCCATTTGCTGTAGATATGCAGATTGTGCAGTTTGAACAGTTTAAAGCAAGGGCCATTGAAATGTACAATCAAGGTTAGATTTCAGTTTCCTAATAGACAGAATGTCAACATGAAGCTAAGAATTTTTTACACTGTTTTACCTTTTTTTTTTTTCTGTTTTGTCATCCTTAGCCAAGGATCCTTCTGAAAAGGATAAACTTCCAAGACCTGAGGACTTCACCAAGGCGCTTTACACAATTGACATCGGCCAAAATGATCTTTCTGTTGGTTTTAGGAAAATGAGTTTTGATCAACTGCGTGCAGCAATGCCAGATATCATAAACCAGTTAGCATCAGCTGTCCAAGTAAGTATCATATTTCTAGTTTCAGAATTGCCTACGTGTAACATGTTGGTAGTCTAATATATGTGTCAAGGGCTTTCTTTTTTTAACACTTTTCCTCATCAAACATGTGACAATAGCAGTCTTTTTGAACCTTTGACAAGGATTAACAATATTTGAGTCTAATATGCTTATTACAAGGAACAAATGTAATTAATCAGTATGTTATGTAAATATCAGCATCTGTACCAGCAAGGAGGGAGAACCTTCTGGATACACAACACGGGTCCGATTGGTTGCTTGCCAGTGAACTTTTTCTACATACATAATCCTGAGCCTGGATATGTTGACCAGTATGGTTGTGTCAAGGGTCAAAATGAAATGGCTATGGAATTCAATAGGCAGCTTAAGGACAGAATCATCAAGCTAAGAACAGAGCTCCCAGAAGCTTCAATTACTCATGTGGATGTCTATACTGCTAAGATTTCATTGATTGGCAATGCAAAGAATCTTGGTAACCATCATCATTAACAAATCACACATTTTCTGAAACAATTATGGTGCCTTAGTCTCCATTGCTATACGATCAAGCTTTTACTTTGTTTGATAACTACGGTTTGGATTTGATTGCATCTAAACCAACATAAATGCAGTGCAAGGCTATTTTCCTTGAGTTGAAAAATGTAAAATGCAAATGAGGGCTATATTTCTTCAATGTGAATATATATATATATATATATATATATATATATATATATATTGAGATGGTGACTCTTGTTTGGACTAGTGCAAATATTTATCAGTTTATGCTTTCTGTTTACAGGAATGGCAGATCCATTAAAGGTCTGCTGCGGGTATCATGTCAATTACGATCACATATGGTGTGGGAACAAGGCAACCATCAATAATACTGAAGTATATGGTGCTTCTTGTCAAAAACCCTCAACCTTTGTAAGCTGGGATGGAGTTCACTACTCTCAGGCTGCAAATCAGTTTGTTGCTGATCATACACTCAATGCTTCATTATCAGACCCACCAATTCCAATCACTCAAGCATGCCATAAGCAGTAAGAGTATGTGATCGGGAAACCAGTGTTGATTTGCAATAGTGACTAGACCAACACTTTCCATGTATTGTAGATCAGTTAAATGTAATTTATCTCAACGTCATAATGAAAAGACCTTAAGAAGTTTTAATAATATTGAGACCAAACAGAAATATTGTGTTTGATTGGAGATTTTGTGCTTCTCTTCTTATGATGCTGCTGGTGTTAAGCTGATGCTTCAATTAATTAAGTTTCTCCAGGCATGGTAGTGGATCAAATATTTTAGTACTTTGACAGGGGAAAAGAAAAGCATGGCCACCTTTTACTTTTTTTGATTTGGTGAAGGGGATTTGACCTTGCTAAGGGATCACGCACCAATGACCGAACCTAATGCTTGAACCAAATGCACCAATGACCAAACTGACGAGCCAAATGTTCGATTCAAATGCACCAATGACCGAACCAAATGCTCGAACCGAATGCTAGGTGCTAGGGTGCTGTAACCACCCGTTGGTAGCAATGAAGAAGCAGAATAGAACTTGAAGTAAGGGATATCAGTGTCAATCTCTCATTACTAAGCCAATACACAGGTTACGTGAAAAGTAGGGTTCAGATTCACATGTTCAGACGCCAGCTCTAAAATATTATACACATTTATACACAGATCTCATTGCCGATGTCCATCCGGCAAGGGAACCACCTTGTGAAAGGGTACTGCCCTCTGAGGCAAGGCACCGTCCTCCTCATCATCATCAAATTCCAGTAAATAACTAGACAAGAAAAGAAAAAAAAAATGCTACGCATTTCAATATGAATATAACCAGCAATTAACTATACAACAAAGAGTCTGAAATGAAACAATGATCTGTTACTTTTCATATGGGGAAGATAAACACATGAAGAATGTAAACAGGCCAAACAAGCAGGTTTTTCGAAAATCTGCTATACTAGGGCAAGAATGGAGGATGTTACTTACTCATCTGATTTCCTCTGGAAAGATGCGTAATGGTTGATAGCCCCCCCACATATATGCACGCGAAAATTAATGGTCAGTTTAAAATATATTAGCAATCTATAAAAAACTAAAAACATGAGGAAATGATCCAAAATTATATGTTGGGTAATGATGACAGTAATGACTGGAATAGTCACCTTTCGAGGAGTGCTGATGACGGTTGCCTTATAGAGTGCAGTTGTTCCTGGATAAATGGCCAAAACATGTCTTCCGGCGGGGAATTCTTGAGTACTAGAAAGATCATTCCGCTTGGGGAAAGGTATAATGCAAGACACAGGAAGCTTGTACTTCCTGAAGTTCGAATAACAAAAATCACAATCTTCCAGATGGACTGATTGCAGTTATTTAAAAATTTGACTTTAACTTACTAAGAACCAAAGCATAAAACCTTACCTTTGGCCACCACCCTCTTCATCATCACCTGGCTCCTCATCAAGTACTTCAAATCTGCATATGGAGATGAAAATTTAAAACAGAACAAAGAAGACTCTCAATGGAACTTGGAAACAAGTCAAAATGACATGTTCGATGGGAATCATGCTTACTCTTTTGTTTTCTCATCAAAATTTATCACTTTTACAACAAACCACTCATCCTTCTCAGCATCCGAGGTGACTCTTGCAGCTACCTGAGTACAAGAGCAGATGTCAATCTCCTTACTTTGGAAATATATGGAACAGTTCTCTTTCTTATGTACTATTGAGAATAAGAGTTGAGAACAAACACAGTAAATTAGGTCTACAAACACATATCAACAACCAATTGTGATCGAGATACATGCACAACTTTGGTTTTTCTGTTTGCTACATAGTCTACAAGCTTACCTGTTCATCTTTGAGGCTAACACAAGCCTCAATATGACTCCGCATAGAAGGAGAAAGGCGAGAGATATCTGAATCAGACTTCATTCTTTTCCTTTTCTGATCATTACCTTCTGCAATTTGTCTAATGTCAGCTACATAAATAGGAAGTTCAGATACTCTCATACCAGTATCTGAAATACACATGGAAATGAATTTTTTGTTTTGGCATATGTTGCATATTCAACGCTCTAGCTTTGGAAGAATAGAAAGATCATAAACACTTAATAATTTCAACTAATTGCTGAGTCTTGATCTGATTTTAACGATCATGATATAGTTCAGAATGGTCATATCATCTCAATAACTTCTATGTCATCAGTGAAGCAATTCCATGTTCCATTAAACTACTCACAAATCACACTTTTAGAAAAGGAAAGAGAGACAGGATAAGATGGAGAAAATCACATTGCAGAAAATTACATCCTTATAATATCCTCTTTGATTATTATACAACTAAAGCTAACACTTTACTGTTAAAGTATAAGTCAAGTGCCAAGATGGCCAAGAGATGACCTTAACTTTTTGCTTTGTAAGAATGCAAGTATTAAAATTCCTAAATATCTTCATGCAAAGGGAGAACTCAATATAGAGGTTAAAACAACTGAAATGTCTCATATAAACATAGTTGGTAGCACACACCCATCTTTCTTCGCTGTTGTCCTGGAGGTCCAGAAGGCAATAAAGTGTCCAGTTGGCTTAGTAACAAGTTGGAAATCCTGTATCAATGCCACCACAGTGAGTTGGTCAAAAACAATGGAATACAGTACAAAGAATCATAAAAGCCTACAGAACCAAACCAGAAAGTTCATTGTTACACTAGCCCCAAACATTTATAGAGAAAAAGTTGCCATATTGTACAAGCCCCAGATTCAATAGAGAGAGAGAGAGAGAGAGAGAGAGAGAGAGAGATGGTCAAAGAAATTGGTAGAAGACTTCATTAGAGACAAGGAACATACGTTATTTCTCTCTCTGAAAGATCTTTAGCTTGAATATATAAATTTTTTAGCCTTGATAATGAAGAATCACCAGGTTTCTCAACTACCTCAGGAGCTGCATTGATATACAGAAGTTCAATATTATTATAAACTATGAGTAACAGTTAATAAAGAACAAGGCCAAATAAAGTAACAGAAGAAAGAAAATAATTCTCAAATGTTAAACAATACAATTTAATCATCTGTATCCAAGAGTTTTCAGCAAGCTTTCTATCCATTAAAGGTGTAGTAAATCACTTGATGCTATACAATAATCCAAAAATTGATTGGAAAAATTATTGTCAAAACCAGTAAACCCTAGAGGCATTGTTTAGGGGCAACATTCTTAGAAGAAGAACCAATAATTTTTGTAAATCTTTTGTTCAAGTCTAAAACTTTTTATAATAGTGGCTTGGAGCAAATAAATAGGGTCTAGGATGCACAAAAAAACTCAGATTTAAAGTTATATAGCCAAGCCACTAAGTTATGTGATCTTCATCTGATAGTTTCTAAATATGTAGTTTTTACATGATAATGACTATATGGATCTGAAAATTCCTTTTATGATACTTCTTCTATACTCCTGGATGTTGACTATACGCACATCCAAGGAACTGCTAATCAATCTTAAACCCTATTGAATTGACAACAATATTTTTCATTTTCCCACTTGTTCTAATTTCATACAGTTAGTTTTTAATTTGCAGAATATTCTGATTTCTGACACCGTTCGTGCAAACATGCTCAAACAAATCAATCAAAACATTTAGGAGAAAAAGATATCAGGAGCAAGGTTATGAAATGATAACCCAGAAATTCTGAACTAAAACAACTAAATAGATATTGTGAGGCTCAACAGTTAAAAGATAATTATATACAAAGCATTGAACATTATTCTAAATGCAAAATTAACCACTCCCGATATGGATTTCCGAGCATGTTAGGAGCATCGACCTATAATGTGCAAAAACCAGATGATTTCCTTCTCCATGAAAATTTAGCCCCATAAGCCAGCCATTTCAGCCAAATAGAATGTTTTGTCATCATAAAGGCAAAACCTTTAAACCAAAATTACGTGAAAAAAATACTAGCTTTAAAGTTAAACCTCAATTTAGATCATAAACAATTCTAAACTCCACTAAGCTGAACTCCAACTTCATGCTCAAACATTAATGTAGCATTGTAGCCAAGTTTTAAACCAAGTCAATAGTCAAACTCCCCATAGAAACTATTTCTCTCCTCTTTGATCAAACTACTCTAATTTTCTTTTCCTAAAAATTTAAAAAAAAAAAAAAAAAACTTTATAAAACTCATTAGTAATGTATAACAAAAATAACTTCCTTATCCAATAAAATCCATTATCAAAAAAATTTAAGCTCTTTTAAACCAAACCCAGCTCAAAAAAATTCCAGAGAGCCCAAAAAAACTACACTCTAAAAGCATTACAAAAACACCATATTTTGATAAACTAAAACAAACCCATTAATCTTAGGAACCATAAAAATCAACCCAGATCATAAAATTTGAAGCTAAACGAAAAAGGTTGAGAAATTTACTAGCTTGAAGCTTTTTGTGAAGCTTGTTGATTTCGATAAGAACCTCTTCTTGTTCTTTCCTTAACCGATCGAGTTGCCTTGAGTTTTCCAAGATTGAAGCAATGTCCGGTGACGACATCGTTTTCTGTTTCCTATCCTGGTCGGAAATACAATGTTGTCTGTTTTACCTGATTACTTCCAGCTAGATTTTTCACTTCAATCAATCCTTAGTTTGATCAAAAGTCATATTTTTTTCAAATAAAGTTTGAATTAAAAAATTAATATATAATTAAAAAAAATAAAAAAACCTTGGAGGGCTTTTAAAAATTCTTGTACCTGTTAAAAGGAAAATAATATCAAAGCCTATGATTAAAACATAAACAAATAACCGGTGGATAAATTTGATTTTTGAATTTTTATTTATTTGCTGTTTTTACTTTTGTTTTCGTTTTGTCTTAATTATTGACACCTGTTATTTAAAATAATTTATTAATTAAATCAAAATATTCCAAACTGACTTAACTTAATTGGTTGGATTGGTTTGATCAATTTTAATTATTAAAAAAATATAACTTATATTATTACATACAATTCTTTTATATTATGTATATTATATGAAATAAATACTATATTATATAATTTTAAAATATTAAATAAATTATAATATTTATATTTACAAAAAATATATTTCAAAATAAATTAATAGGATCTACTTGTTCAATTTATTCAATTATCAATTTTAAAAATTAATAACCAATTATACTAATCGAATAAATTTTTTCAGCAAATGACTATTAAAATTAAATAAATCAAATTGATTATAGCGAGTAGTGACCACCCTACTCAAATTCCACTCATGTTTTTTATGAGCCTCAATTGAAATTAAAATGAGAAATTTTGTGGGCAACAAAATGTGAAAATTGGAAAATATTAAATATTAAGTGGGCCCAATTGAAAATGTAATATTTTTTGGGGTCAAGATTGAAAATGTAGTATTGTTGATCATTTCATTGAAGTTGTTGTTTCTGTTTAAATTGGGCCAATGAGGATTTGCCCCCTCTTCCTCTATTCATTTATGTTTTGGTACGAGGGGACAAAAAATAAAAATAAAAAATATTGTGATCAAAGTTATAACTTTTTTCCTACCAAAATTACCCTTTGCTCAATCCGCATTTGTTTTCTTTTTTTTTTTTTGAGTTATAATGAAATTAATGATTTCAAAGAAATATTAATTACACGAAAAAATTTAAAAAAAATGTTTATATCATTGACATTGACATGATATGATTTAGAGGAATTTTGATATTAAATTTATAAAAATTATGCATAACGGTGTGAATTATCGATAAAATATTAAATTTTTAATTTTAATAATTAAAACTTAAATTTTGATAATTTTAAATATAAAAATTATACTTAAAATTTATAATAATAATAATAAGAATAATAATAATAATAATAATAATAATAATAATAATAATAATACGAAACAAATGAAACTTTTAATTACTAATGACAAAAACTATTTCCTTATTATTATTCTTATTGTTTCTTTTACAAAATCATTTTTTATTTAAAATTAAATTTTGATAATTAAAATTAAAAATCTAACATTTTACCCATAAATTACATAACAGTTGGCTACAAAATCAAACTTCAAATCTCCACATATGAAATTTCTAAAATTGCATTTGAGTACTAATTAATGAGCAAAGGATAATAATAACAATATTTGTCAAAGATAAAAATAATAAATGCTCTTTTTATCTTATTTCCTTATCCCACATATTTACTCAAACATCAATCTTAAAAAAAAAAAAAAAAATTTTACCATAGCAAATGACAAACACATGAAAAGTAAGCAAACTATATATATATATATATATATATATATATTTATTTATTTATTGTTGCAATCTTAATTTCTCACAGCCATTTTCCATTTCTCCTTGTCCCAAAATAGAAAGTAATAAAAGACACGCTGTCTTCAATAGCAACTATTGCAAAGTTGAAAAAGCAATTGCAATCAATTTTGGATGATGGGGTGATTTGGGTTTTAACCAATAATTTAATCAAAATCAAATTTAAAAAATTAAGGGCAGATTATGTGTCATTAAGCAAAGAGAATTGGGTCAAGAAAAAAAATCAAAACCATGTTAAGCTGTGTTTTGGGGATAATGAGAAATTTTATATTACAAAAATATCATAATTTGAGATAGATAAAAAAAAAAAAAAAAAAGAGTGCCGTTAAATGCACTCCTTTTTTTTTCATATTTTAATTTTTTATAAAAAAAAATTTTGTAACTACAATTATTTAATCACCCTTCTCACATGTTTATAAAATTTTATAATTTTTCAAAAATAAATTTCCTAAAAGTCATATAATATTTTGGAAATGAATTTTTTAAAAGTTATAAACTTGTTTGAAAATAAATTTTCAAAAAAATAATAAATTTTTTGAAAATTTATTTATGAAAGATATATAATTTTTTAAAAATTTATTTTCGAAAAATTATATATATTTTTGAAAAATTATTTCTGAAAATATTTATGACATTAAGGAAATTCATTTCAAGAAATTTGTATGAAAAATAAAAAATAATTAAATAATTTTATTTATAAAAATTTTTGAAAAAAAATAATTGAAGTATGAGGAAAAAAGATTGGGGTGTATTTAGGATCACTCAAAAAAATTATAAATATGAAAATTAAAATTTTTAAAATTTTAAAATAATTTCATAAATTAATTAAAATAAATGGTTTGAGTATTAACATGGAAGAACAAAGAATAGTTCCAAAGATTTTAAAAGTGAACTTCAAAAGCATAAAACCAAACAATTAAGATCAAACAAAATGAGTGTCTTAAATAGTCAAATCTAAACTCAAAAATGGGGTCCACATAACTAAACATGAATTCCATATTTCCATTTGGCAAACTCAAATTCAAAGAGTTCAACATGGCATCAATCAAGGGTCCCACTTGTAACACATTGATTAGATTTCAACTTTCAGTCAAACAAATCATGGCAGACTCTAAATTGTGAAACTTTTAAAGAGTCCAAGTGTAACACACACAAGAATTACTCAAAGAAAGAGAAACAGTGAAAAATGGAATTCTTTTCTATTCAATAATGTGACCATAATTTATTGAAGGAAATGAAAAACAGATGTCAAAGATTAAATCTTTAACAGTTATTAATACGTTTTAAAGATTCCGCAGAGGAAAATAGATAGCTGCAGAACGTGGGACCAGTATTGAGGCTGGTTGTTGGTTTGGTTACCCAATATTCGAAATTTTCACTGATCTCAGTCTTGTAAGAAAAACCCAGATTGAGAATTCTTGTTTTGATTCCAAATATGTTGTTTTTCTCATTAGATTATGTTATTCCTCTTTGAAAGGAATGAGCTTTTTGTGTTTCTGAGGGTTTAATTCAATGGTTGAATTTTTCTTCTTTGTTTTGTTTCCAAGTTTTCATTTTTTTTGTTACATGAATAACTGTGGTTAACGCTTGCTTAAAATGGTTGGCTTGAATTGGAGCTAAGTTGTTTTTTCACTTCCAAGACAGGAATATTTTTGAATGGCAAATGGGTCGATGGGGAATTTTTTTACCTTGTGGTTTGGTGTTAATGAAAAATTTTGGTACATTTTTAGGTGAAGTTTGTTCGGAAGAACATAAAATTTTGCTTGGTTCATGTCTGTCTTTTATGGTATTTGAGTTTTTAAATGCCTTTTTCTCTGCTATTTTACCTTGTGTTCATTGTTGAAGAAGAAAAATTCAAGCTTATTTGGCTGAATTTGAATGCTGGAAGATCAATCATGAAAGTTTGAGCTTTATCCATTCGCACTGGTTCATAAAAATTTTTGGTTTTTTTAGAATAACATGACATGCTCCCCTTGTTCTTATGTTTGTAGGTTGTGGCTGAAGCATAACTTAATTGGTAGACACACCTTTCCTTTTAAAAGAACCTCTAAACGAATTTTTGTTTTCTCAGCCGAGTTAACTATATATCAGAAAAAGAAGTATTTTCCGGTTGATCTCTATTTTGAGTTGTAAAAGCAGCTAAACTCTACTGCTAAATTCAAGTAATAGGTCAAGTTAGTGCATGAAGAAGAATAACCAATTTTGATGTGCATCCGCTTTTACCTGATTTATGGTGTGATTAGCTGAGATTAATCTGCCATTTACCAGAATATGATAGGGCTAATGTTCTGTTCTAGGGCTATGTAATGTAATATTCTGTTCATACAGCATGTTTTACATTTCTCACACCTCAATTAACTCTAATTTTTTAAACCTTTTTCAGAACTGGTTGTTGCGCCCTGTGGGCTATCATTTCAGTTTGAACTTCAAACTTGATGAAGGCATCTGGCGTATTCATCTTTTGTTGGGTTTCAAATTATATAGTTGTAAAAGCAGACTAAGAAGATCTTGAGCATAATGGGAGTTCCCTTGCGCAGGTATTGCTTTTCATACTATTCTTGCACTAGAAACTAGAAAGCCTTTTATATTTTTCTTTTCCATGTCCATTCATTGGCATTTTTACTCGTTCACAAGGTTTCAATAACACCAAAAATGGTATTAATATGAGTTACATTCACCTCTGTCGGGCTGCAGTGGTAATGTAAGGAAACCAAATGAGACAATGAGGCTGATTGTAACAACTTTTGCTGGAGTTATTTTTGGCTTCTTTTTAGGAGTATCCTTTCCAACGCTTTCATTGACTAAGGTACTCTTGTCAATCACTGTCTCATACATATCCGGTTGATACCTGAAAGTTTTCTTTTGTTTCTTTTTCCCCTTTTCCTGTGTTTTTTAACATGGAATAACAAGTTTATTTCAATACGTTTAAATTTTGTAGATGAATCTCCCATCCAGCCTATTTCCTTCCATTGATCTTACATATATTGAGGACAAATATTCTGGACTTTCAACCCAAGCACTATTTAATGCTTTCAACTCTCTCAAGACTAATAAGGTTGTCTCAATGCCAGCTTACAAAAGCAATGAGACAAAGGTAAATCCCCTTTATTTTGATTATATATGCAGCATTACAATTCAGGATCTAGATTGTAGGCTGCCTTGTCTTGAAATTATGAAAATTTTAACTATGATTTCTACAAAAGTGGTTGAAGACCTTTGGACAAAAAAGTCCTTCATAACCAAGTTATCGATGCCATACATATACAAAATTAACATTGAATTATTAATGTCGGAGTTATACAAATTTAGTTTTAGTTTTATTAGTAAATAAAGTTTGATTTATGCATATTTGATCGTGGTAAATTGAAAATCTGAACCTCAATTCTATCAACTGATGAAACGTGATTTTCTTTAGGATGGATCTCCTCAAGCGTGAGGTACTATACAGTCCATTTGTTATAATGTTGCTAATGTCAGCATTGACTAGAACTTTTCAAATCTAATCAATTACTGTACAGCTACTTCGTTCTGGGTTGATGGTTTTGTCTTATCAAGGAAATTCTCATTGTTGGTTATAACCATTTTATGAACTTAAGAAACAAAAATTAAAGATTTTGCTCATCCTTCTGGTGGATGGATGCACGCTTCTTTAAACTGTTGGTAATTTAGGCTGGAGAAACTTTGTGAATCTATTTTACTCATTGCCTTGTATATTTATTTGTATATGCATCAAACTCTGGTAGTGTCTCACTGTTCTTCTTACATTATGTGATTAGGGATGGTGTTCATAATATAGTTATTGATCATACGATCGGACTTTAGTTTTCTGGCTAATATGTGACAGTCATCTATAGTTAGTCTAACAAGAAAACCAATAACCAATAAGACTTACAGGTTTTAGCAGGAGCACTAACTTTTAATCCTTAATTATGTCAGATCTGGATTCCAACAAATCCACGGGGTGCTGAAAGACTTCCCCCTGGAATAATTTCATCTGAGTCAGATTTCTATCTTCGCCGATTATGGGGACAGCCGAGTGAGGTATGCATTTTCTACACTATATGTTACTCTGGCTCTTCTTTATGTTTATTGATTCTAGTCTGATATGTCAGAGAATTTGAACTGGTAGCCATCTACACATAAGGAAGAATTTAGTAAAAGTTTATGTTGGACAATATGTAAATGTTTGACTCCTGTACCCAGATGAAGTTGAATAGGGCAATGATGATTATCTGTCCATTTTCCATAGTGATTCAATTGAACTTTGTCTATCTAATTAATCCCGGTTGATGGGTTGCATTTGCAGGACTTAACCATCAAACCAAAATATCTTGTAACTTTTACTGTTGGTTATAATCAGAAAAACAATATTGATGCAGCTGTGAAAAAGGTCAGCCCTCTGTCTCTCTCGCCACACACACACACACACACATATATATGTTCTTACCTTCCTCTTCCCTCACATGTCTATACTCTCTTTTCTAAAACCCTTACAGTTCTCAGAGAACTTCACAATTGTGTTGTTTCATTATGATGGTCTGACCACAGAATGGGAAGAGTTTGGGTGGTCAAAGCGAGCTATTCACGTGAGTGTTCGAAAGCAGACTAAATGGTTAGCAACTAGTCCTTTCTCTTTATAAATCCTATATTAATCTTGTAGGTTGTATGGGATTTTGCTAAGCCCTAGTTATGTTATATTTTCACTCAAAATTCCTTAAATTTTCATCAAGGTGGTATGCGAAGCGCTTTTTGCAGCCTGACATTGTTGCACCCTATGACTACATTTTTATGTGGGATGAAGATCTTGGGGTGGAGCACTTTGATGCGGAGGAGTAAGTACATAAGTTCACTGTCTTGCTTTGGATAAAAATACGTTCAAGTAAGCTGAAATTAAACTCCTTTTGTTCTCAGATACTTAAAACTTGTCAGAAAACATGGTTTGGAAATATCCCAGCCAGGTTTAGATCCAAATAGTGGTGGGCTGACATGGGCAATGACAAGGAAGAGAGACAACACTGAAGTTCACAAGTAAGAGTGACTGCTTGATTGTGGTTTCCTTATACCTAATTGTTAATTCCACATAGGTTCGAATGTTTCCTTGATAGAAAGGTAGTTTGACCTCTTGTATTCCTTTTCGCTCCTGCAGGGATGCCGAGGAGAGACCTGGCTGGTGCTCTGATCCACATTTGCCTCCATGTGCAGCGTATGAAACATAATTAATCCTCTTTGTAAGAATGATTAAACATATTGCTTATTTCTTGAACTTTGTCCTAATTGTTCTTGCATACATAATGCTTAGATTTGTTGAGATCATGGCTACGGTGTTCTCTCGAGATGCATGGCGATGTGTTTGGCATATGATTCAGGTAAGCAGTGAGCTTATTTTTTCAGGATGTTGTCATTTCTCAGCTTTTCCCTGTTTATTATATAAATTCTCCTTTAAAATGCAGAATGACTTGGTTCATGGATGGGGTCTGGATTTCGCTCTTAGGAAATGCGTTGAGGTTAGCAACTGTCTTATCCTCCTGCATCCCTTATACATATATTCAAGCCCTTTTGCTGAGTTTGCAACTTTGTCTGAAAGCAGCCTTCTCATGAGAAAATAGGGGTTGTAGATGCTCAGTGGATTGTTCATCAAAGTGTTCCGTCTCTCGGGAACCAGGTACATGTAAACCCGTGAAGCATTTTTATTACCATTCCATTCGCTCAGCATACCTTATTGCTGTTTTCTTCCTTTCACAGGGACAAGCAGAGGGTGGAAGGGCACCATGGGAAGGGGTATGCAATAAATATTCCTCTGTCTCTCTCTCACACACACACACGCACACGTTTAACATATGCATGTATTTGTTTTGTCTCCCTCTCTCTCTCTTGGTAGATTGGCTGCAGACAGTACAAAAGTGTGCTTTTCATCCATTGTCGATGAATCTGGCAATGGTTCTTTTGTGAGTGTTAAAACTTACAAATTTCTTGTGCCAGGTGAGGGAAAGGTGTAGGAAAGAATGGACTATGTTCCAAGATCGGATGACTAATGCAGAGAAAGCATATTATGAAGGAATGGGGATGAATCCTTTCAATTTAACAGCTCATTAGTGAGTCTAGCTTTAACACTAGCATTAGAGTTGTAGAAATTGCTTCTAGACGTGATGCAACTTCTATTTTTGGTGACGAAAAAGGTGACTTGGTCGTATTAGCATATACAACGTATTTGTACAAGTCACGTTTTGTACAGTTCTATGTTAATATTATATTTTTGGGTAATTTATTCAGAGCATTTTCCTTTTTATCAGCGGTTTCACCTGTAATTACACATTTACAGTGGAGTGAAATGCTGAATCTAGATCACTTACAATATGACTTGCTATATAAGCATAAAGGTTCTAACACTAGGCCATCACAAAGGAAATGGCAGCCTCTGGCGGTCTCATGGTATAATACAGGCTCCCACCGCGCCGTGTTTTTGTACCCATGGCGTGGTGGGAGAATGGAGCCTACATCTTTAAGCTTTATGGAACTGCAAATTTGCAGTTGCTTTAGATCATTAAGCATTCATATGAGAAAGTCACCTATGGAAAGAAAGATATGCCTTGTAAACTGAAAAATCTTTACAATCTTGAAAATTACCTGTTAGAACTAGCCAAAAACTGAATGCTATTACATTTTTAGTTGTTACAAACCAATAATGGTGAGAAAGAGTTCAATATATCAAATGCACAGAGATTGGTGCTTTCTGTCCTGATTGATCATCAGTGTTACGACACAGAAGGTTTCAAGATGCAGAAAGCAGTTAGAGATAACCTTTAGTGATTGCTTCTTCTAGCTCCTTGAACTCCCATGCATCATCCGCGGAATATTGTCCTGTAAGGAGGAAAAGCAATCTCTTAACAAACTATTGCCTCTTGAAACAAAATAAACTTAAAAAAATGCTTAATTTCTTCTAATCTGAAAAAAAAAAAAAAAAGAATGCAAATCAGCTTCGAGTAATAGAAAAGAAACAAAACCATCATTTGCCCACCTTTTCATGCATAGCAACCAGTTGAAGGGCACCTCTCAGAGAAACCAAAACAGAAAACAATAGGATAAACTTATATAGCAGCTGTTCTCTTTTCCTTACTATCTTCATTTATAGTGGGAAAATCAATTGGTTCTTATATCCCTTAGTGTAAATACAGAAAAACTTCGAAATGATATAAAAATGACAAGTCTTCATACTAACAAATGTAGATCTATGTAATCAACATTAATCTTTTAAAAGGTGGAAGGGACCTTACCAATTGAATCTCTTCGCAGAGCAGTCAAATGAGCACAACTGAAACAGGGAAGGATATAAGAGAAATATCAACCCAAATGTTGAAATGATAAAGGCATAGAGATTAGACAAAATTTGCAACTATTCTAGAATCCAGAAACTATTGATCATAATTCATAAGTTAATAAAATCAAGGGCTAGGCCTGAAAACAAGGCAGAAAATTTTAAGAGGATCAAATTATTAAAAATGATTACCAGCCCAAAGCTTTCCCAAAATCTGCACATAATGATCGGATATATGTTCCTTTTGAACATGTGACGCGGAAAATCAAGTTTTGTCTGCAAAGACATTAAAAAATAATAATAAATCAAGCTATAATACTTTGTAGTAAGATGACTGAACCAGTTCATTTTGAGGAAAAAAAAAGGGATAAGATGTACCTGTCTTCTAAGCTTCGCTCAATGTCAAATTGGAAAATTGAAATTCGTCTGGGTGAAAGTTCAACATTCTCTCCTCTTCTTGCCTTTTCATACATCTTTTCACCTCCAACCTATTCATAATATGACATTGTTTTCTTATTCAGTGAATTCCCAAGTTCACAAGAAGCTGTGACAAAACCAGTAGGGCACGCCATACACCACATATTAGGAGCAAGGATGACTAAAAATTGATTCATTTAACTACACATACACATTTATGTATCAGAGTTTTATAAAACCTCTGAGTCCCCCATGCAGGTGAATAAGAATTCCAAATATCAAGTTTCAGCAAATTATTTCTAAATATATATTTGTTTGTGCATTCTGAGCATAAATACACAAGAATGCATGAGCAACACAGCTTTTCCCTTAAAGCACCTCCGCAACTTATAGGCAAAACTTACCTTGATGGCAGAGAACATTGGAGGAACTTGCCATATCTCGCCACAGAAGGATGCGGCAGTTTTCTTTATGTCTTCATCTTTGATATGCTCCCAAGGCTCACGTTGAATAACCTACATAAGATCAAATTGACGTTAAATAATAGCAGGTCTAATGTCCTAGAACTAAATTGACACATGCTGAGCTCTTGTCGTCTTGTTTCAGGAGAAACATTAAGTAAACAGCACATAACAGTATGATGAACTGAATATAACTTGACCAAAGAACAGCAGATCCTATTTATAACTGACTACTGAATAAACACACCGGTGAATCAGCATCCCAAGTTGAGGTAGCCTCCCCTAAGCGGAAAACTCCACTATATCCCTTTGCCATTCCTTGATATCTGCAACAGAAACATTCAAACCCTCAGATAAATTCGTTTGGTGCATATATGAAAAAAAAAATTTCAGCTTCAAGCCATAGGCCAGTATGGAGCGGAGAGGAACCTGGCTTTGGACATTGAAAACTGAAGAGCTTGTCATAAAATTTAGACATGAGATAAGATAAAACATACCTTTCTACCAACTTAGTGGCTTTACCAACACATAAAATCAATAGACCAGTTGCCATAGGATCAAGTGTTCCAGCATGCCCTACCTGTAAGCACAAGCCAAAAAGTTAAACCATAACAGAAAATAAGCAACAGAAGCATCCAAAAGTAGAGACACAATAGCAAAAGAGCACCCTTTTCACTTTGACTAAGCGACGCAGCTTGCCACAAACTGTAAATGAGGTCCATCCTGTTTTGCACCACAATAGTGTTATCATTTGACAAAAGCCAATATGATAATTCAGAATGTCATTTTACATTTATTTTCTGAGAATTGTCAAAAATTGTATATCAGCAAATCAGAGAATTAGATAAATAGTCCTGCTAACATTCAACAGTGTGACCAAACAAATTTGATTCAATACCCCCTCTCTGAATTAGAAACAGGAAGTAGAAGAGTCTCTTTGCTAAAGCACATAGCAAGCAGTACAAGACTAACTTACACCTTCTCCTCGTTAGCCTAAACATGTATTGACTAAAATCAGACTGTAGGCTACATATGACCAAATAAGGAAGTATGCATGCTTCAGTAACAACAAAAGCTCACATATTATTAAATGCACAAAAAATTCTAAAGAATTGCAATTTTTTTACAAGTAAAAGACCTCCACTCTTTGATAGATAAACTACTGATTTAAATACATCTAAATATGATATTGATCAAGATATAGCATTCAAAAGTATTAACCCGGTATAATTCAAACAACTAATAATATGCATATTCGTTAGCTCACCTTTGGGCTTATTCACCAAAACTACCGTACCATATGGACCATCCCATCGCGGGGGAAGCTCAGTACTCCTACTAACAAGGTAAGGCTCCCCACCACTAACCTCGGTATCCTTACTGGGAACTTTCTTCAAACACTTAAAAAAGTCCTCCACCTTCTTCTCAGTAACCTCCTTTTTCACATCCTTATCTGAATTTCCCTCTTCCTCAAAAAACACCAACCCTTTGTCCACGTCCTTATTATCACCAGGTCTTTTACTCTTTCCCTTAACTTTGATTTTCTCATTTGATTCTCCAGGTTCAAGAAAAGCCTTATCAAAACACTGATCAGGAAAATACTTCTTTTCCAATTGATAAACCATTTTATAATGCTTATCTTTTTCCCAAGGATATGCAAATGTATCATAAAAATAAAGCTCTTCTTCCCTCTCATGTAACCTATCAAATTCCACAACTTTAGGCTTCAATTCAACAAACCCATCTTCATTTTTCCCCTTTTCATCATCTTCAGAATCTGACCCATACATTCTTTTCCTCCTCTTTCTATAATATTTCCTCTTAGACTTATCCATTTCATCATCCAAAGTGAGTTTCTTTTCTACCCATGAATCAAAACCCAATTCTTTTTCTGGGTTCTCTTCCTCAGGTGAGTTGGGTGAGTCTGGTTGACTGAGTCGGCGGCGAGTTGAGGGGGTTGGGACTGTGTTGGGGTGTTGATGATCATGTCATATTGGAGAGGGTAAGGAGTTGATGTTGTGGAGAAGAAAAATGAAGGAAGTGGCTGCTTTGAAAAGATCAATCTTCTGTTAAGATTATTGGGTTTTGATGATAAGAGACGAAGGGACTGAGTTGCTGTGAAAAAAGGAACGATTTTTGGACGTAGAAAAAGAAGCGACATTGCCAAGTGGTGAAGTTTCGAAGTTTGAAGCTTTACAGGTTTCTTCAGTTGCTTGGAACCAGGGTTTTAGCACAGCCTTTTTAGAAGATTTTATAAGATTTTTGTCCGAAGGTCAGGCTTATTTAAAAAAAAAACATAATTTTAATTTTTAAAAAAGCAATTTAACAAAAAATAAAGAGAAAATATAACAATGACGGCATAAAATTCATGTTAAATAACGTTTTTGACAATACTATTTTTATTTTTTTCTGAATTATAAAATAATTTTTAAACAAAATATTTTATAAAATACTTTTCAATTAGTGCATTATGATTAAATTTGCTTAAAAATTAAAAGTATAATGATTAATTTTCTTCAAAATAAATTTGAAGCACTCACCTAATTAAAGTGATAAATTTGTATTTTATCCGTCAAAACAGAAAAAAAAATATTGAAATGAAGTATTAGTAGGTGAAATAAGCTCTTTTATTTAGATTTGATAACCTAAAACACGATATAATGATATAATACGAAAACGATATGAATAAAAAATATAAAAATAATATAATTTAAAATTTAATAAAAACTATAAATAATTTTAATAAAATCAAAATAATATACTTAATATTTTTATATCAACGCAAATTGTGATACTTAATTTTTATATTAAGACAAATTGTGACATTTAATTCTTGTGTAAAATATCGTTCAAATACATAAATTATCAATATTTTATATAACACGAATTGCTAAATCTAGTTTTATTTTATAAATTAAATGATACTCTCTCTGTTTTGTAGATATTATTGAAGTAGCCATAACAAGTTTCTTGCATTTTCATTTCTAAAGGGTATTAAAATCACCTAGTTTGACAGGGTTTTGAGATCAACATCATTTAGACATGAAGGAACAAGTTGAATTGGTTGGATAGTAAATCCAGCTTTATGACATGCATCTTCGAGAAGTTTCACTTGTGAAGCTCCATCAGGGCAGAATGCAACCACAGCTCCTCCACTGCCCGTAAATTTCGAAGCAGCACCAACTCTCCGAGCCACCTCCACCATTTCTATGTTTAAAGCACCTAGGCACTCGTCACCGAACATGCGCCTGTAAAGATTCACATAGATCATTCATTCATTCATCAGAAAAAAATTAGTACATGCAAGCTTTCCTTTAACTTTAGTTGTCAGCAAAAAAATCTAACCTTCGGAGGTCAAAATTACGGTTCATGAGTTCTGCAAGCTTTTGATAGTTCTTTTCAAGAATTACAGTCCACCCTTCTGCTGCTATGTTTGCAACTTCTGCCATTGATGTTATGATAAACTCATCACCATTAAGCCACCTCTGTCGCACAGTGCTATGTACCTACATTCGAAACAACATGTGCTCATTTCACTGAATAAATGCAATACAGCTTTTCAGAAAGGTTAAAGGAAGCATCTTATGCAGTGATTAAAAGGTAAAAAGGGAGATAAAAACATAAAGAGGGGAAGTAAGGGACATGTTCTAACCTTCCCAGAATCACTCGGATTCTCAGCATAAATGAGATGGAGAGGTGGTAGAAGACTAATATCCATGGGTGTGTAGATGCCATGTCCCAACTTATCCATGTTTTCCTTGCTAAAATCCTACAGAAGAATTATTGTGCTAATATAAATTACAATGCATTCATAAATTTGTCGACCGAGTTTGCATAAAGATAACATACCATGTGGACAAGGCCTCCATAGACCTGTGCCACTCTATCTTGAAGGCCAGCAACAATTCCAAGTTCTTGTTCTGCACTAAGGATAAGCTTGGGTCTAACTTCTACTTTAATCAAATGCCTGACCTTGTAAAAATCAAGAAGGCAGCTTAGGGCAGCACATACAATAGCACTGGATCCTGAAAGTCCTGTCTGAGAAATCAAAAGTGTAAGCCATTTATTGACAATGCTTTGTTATACATATTGAAATTATAGTTTACTGTTCCAGTGCCCTTGCAGAAAACCAGAAACAATAAGACCTTGATCATTGGAAGTATGAGAGAAAACAGTTGATATCAAACAATTATACATACATATATATATATATATATACACGTATTTTCTATTTAGAGCTCTACCTGGCGAGGGATATTAGTATCATACGATAGGGTAAAGTTCCCCTGTTGCAGATTTATGTTGTTATCCTTACAATGCTTATGGAAAACTTTACAAATTGCCATAAGCAGTCGTACGCCTCCATAATAACCTTCACTTTGCACCCGATTTACCTGCAAGTAAAACAATGCATGTTTCAGCCCCATTCATTTTGAATGTGCAATTTACATATTCTGTACCTGTGAATGCAACTATGCCAGTGGAAACAGACATGAATCATGGGAAAGTTGGATTTTATTCCATTATTGCAATTCAAAATCTCATTACTAAAGCAGCTCAAAAAGAACAATGCAAAAGCATGTGGTTTACATTCCATCATTGTCAGATTAAAGATAACACAGGATAGACAATCAAGATAAATAAATTTAGCATCAAAAAGGCCAAACTCAATCAAAATTTTTTGAAGATCTCAATCAAAATTTTTTGAAGATCTTAATCAAATACTTAGTAACAAAGGATGTTTTCACATATATCCCTTAACTCAAGTGCCCTATGCAAATTACTTTCATCAAAACAATTCTGGAGCTGAACCAGCCAGCACCTGAAGCACAAATTAACCTTTCATTCAACAAAATATGAACCTTTACACCTATCCAAGAAACAATCCACCTTAGATTTATATCAATTCTCGAATGCTAATCATCACTAATCAATATCATTGTCATTATCTATTTTAGATAATTAGCACAGTTGCAAAATTAACTCCAACCAAAAAGTAAACAAAACAATCCTGTTAACTCAGATTTGATTTTAAAAAAAACCAACAAATCCCAATCTGGGTATCCACTAAATTTCCTGGAAAATGTTGAAAGAATCAAAATTTTCAGATTCAATAAGAAATAATAGAGAGACAGGAAAAAAAAACCCATCAGATCCTGGAAACATAAAAACCAAACAATGCCAAAAATTAAAATAAGAATTGAAGACTGCAAAAAAGAGAGATTACAAGGTGATCCAGGGAGTTAAACTGAACAAGATCATGAGTTGGATGAGGTTGGATAACAAGATGACGAGAAGGCTCCAATTTAACCGAAGACCAGAAGTTTCCAAGGGAAAAAGAGATGGTTTTTCCGAAGTAAACATCACTTGGGTTCCCTAGCAATCCAACACGAGCATAAGCTTTGTGTTCAATCACACCTGAAACACCTGCTTCAGTTGAGTTCATCTGATCCATCTTTGCCGCGTGCAAATTCTAAAAACTACTGAGTTTTGTTTTCTCTTTAAGAAATTTTATCGCTGTCAGCCTCCAACTCTTTGCTGCTTTATGGGAGTTGATAGAGTCCTCCGTGGAGACGCGTTTTGTTTAAGGTCCCCACTTGCAGTTGGACCTCTCTAGTGATAAAGCACAGCTCAGCATTTGTTCTTATCTTTAAAACTCATGTTTTCTTCTATTTTTTTATTAAAAAAATCTAAATAAAAAACTATACTATATTTAAAACATTACTATAAAAATTTAAATAAAAAGATAATACTTTATTCAAATAGCTGCAAATGCATTCACTTTTCTATTTTTAGATTGCAGCTATTAAAATAATGGAGATAAGTTCAAATAAAATCTAAATAAACTTTTAAAATCATTTTTTTTAAAAATTAAATTAAATTATAATAAAATATAAATTATCTCAGTAATTTTATTAAAAAAAAAAAAACGTCCATGTTTTAAACTGTTTATTCTTGGCCAAGCCTTGGAAAATCTTAAACTTTGAATCCAATCAAGTTGATGCCCATTTCCAATGTGTGTGAACAAGAATTCTTAGTAGTTGAATGAGAGGGTAAAAAAAAACAAAAGACAAAACGGAGACACTGGGATTTTCCAACGTTCCCAAATCTCTGTGATAATGAACTGACATGGTGGCCAACACTAATTTCGTTTAATTGGCAATAATCGTTCATCTTAACATAAACATCTTTGATTCAAATTTTATTGATAATTTCTGTCGTTCAATCGATAAAAATTATTTACTTTGACATAAAAATTTTAAGATCAAATTCAACCGATAACTTTTTATTAAAATCACTTCGACTATATAATCTCTAATCATTTTTTTATATTGAAAAGTATAATGTATCTTATTTTAACATAAAAAATTAAATAATTTATTTATCTTTGAAATTTAAAAAAAAATAAATATATGGTGATGGGCAAAGCTAGATATCTGGAAAGGTCTATAGAAATCATAATTTAAATCCAAATGAACAAAGATTGGGTGATCCATGGTGATGAAATAAACTGTACAGTTCTCCATGAATTGTACAAATTGAAAGCTGACACCACAAAACCAGGAAACCTCAAGAGAGGTTGAAGAAGACATTATATTTGATAATTACTAACAAGCTCAAGCTCCATCAGTCTTCTTCCTCTTCATCATCTTCAGGAAGCCCCATGTCGTCTCCGATACCTTCAAGCAGTTTGTCCACATCCTCACCTAATTCCGATAACCTTGCACTCAACTTTTCCACCTTGCTCTGCTCTTGCCCGAGGCACACGAGTAAATCATTCAGCTCTGCTTCGCTTTCCTTCTGGGCTTCTTCCCTGGCTTCGGCCTTTATTGCCTCAATATCGGGTGAGGTTGATGGTGTCCCTCCACTCTTCAAAGCTTTCACCTCTTTTTCTAGGTGGAGATTGGTCTGTTCAAGACTATTGTAAGCATCTGATAGACTCTTAAGATCAGACTCCAGCTTCCCAGCTAAATTCTGGTACATCGATGCCTCTGATTCAATCTTAGCTTTCTCTGCCTCGAGCATCTCTATCCGTTGGGATGCCTTCTGAAGATCTCTACGAAGTATCTCTGCCTGGACTCTATCTGAGCCGCTGCCAACCTTTAGCTCTGGTTGAGAATGCCCACTCCCACCTGTCCTTGCTAAATCCTCAGCCAAAGTGGCATTTCGGCCAAGAAGATTCTAGAATTGAAAAGCAAAATGAAAACATAAGATCAGATGGACAAATACATCTTAGGCTAATTAACAATCGTTCGTTATTTTTAGAATAAAATTCATACAGGTCTATTATTTCAAACTAAATTGTATTTTGTTTTTTTTATTAGCTTCCTATTACCTGTATCTCAGAGCACTGTTTCCCCACAAATGCTTTTAGCCGCTTGATATAGTCCTTATCACTTTCTCCACCCTGTTGTTCCATTTCTGCAGGCAAAACTGCCACATCACTCTTAGGGCGACTATAAACATCTATGATGTTCTCTCTAATATACACTTCCAAACTCTTTACAAATTTAACAAACTGAACATCAAATATTGATATGAGAATGGGATGATCCTCATTCTTCTGATCTGATAAATCATCCTCAGTACCATCTTCAATCTCTGCCATGCTAGCAGCAGCAGATCTAGTCAATGGTTTATGGGACTGAGCTGGCTTCGCTGATGAGAAAAGGAAGCTTCTCTGCATCTCATCAAACTTCAAAAGGTATGACGTAAGCCCAATTTTCTGGCCTATGGCATCAGTTATGGTGACACCATCCTTTCCACTTTCACTAGATTTATTGTAGATCACACATTCTCCCAAGAGAACAGCAGCCAAACCCCTAACACACACAGTTGATGATGTATTTGACACCAATTCAAGCAGATACGTTAAGTGGGCACGTGAATCTAAGAAGCACTGCACTGCACCTGGGCAATCTGCTAGCCAAGTGACGAGCAGTTTCAAGATAATTGGTTGAACATACAAGTAACCTGGCTTCCCATCTTTATTTTTCATGGAAGATGCAACAGCCAAGTACCTAACAATACGGTGCAAGAGTAGCTCTGGAGCCCCTAAGGATGGCATTGGCGCTTCAAGCTCAATTCGTAGAACCTGCACAATCTCCATTGAAATTAGATTACAGAAACATAGAGGCATACAGTTGCCACTTTGCTCTAGATGCAAATGAAAAAGAGACAAAATGTGAAAGCATACCCTTTCCTTGCATTGAGTATTGTCCTTAAGAATGTGAGTAAGAACACTAGCAGCCCTGCAACAAGTCTATACTTCACAATATCAGAGCCATATATTTCTCAGGCAGCAAGCACCATGAACAAAATCTAATATTCTATATGATGGAGATCAATATTTATAAAATCTTCATGCAATATCATGAGATGGTCCAACAAATTTAGGCTCACTGTATTGTTCCTTTTCACAAAGTTGACGATGTGGAATGGAGAAGTGACAAAATTAGGTTTCGGTTACCTCAAGATCACCATCGCTTTCACTCAATGCAAGACCATGTAACAGCATGCTGCCACATATACAACACATACAACACAATTAAATAATCTCATCAACAGAATATTTATATGAAACAAGCCAACTGCCAAGTAAAATTTTAAGATTTAAACTATCTCCATAGAGTTCAATACATTTTCCTAGCCTAAATGGCCCAATAATAAAGAAGTCAAGAACAGAAAGCATTATAAGTAAACAAACCTTCCAAATGACATGTTCACATCCTCCTCAAAGGGAGCATCAATCATAGAATTTGGTTGAGGAATTAATGTGGATGCTAACATTGCTTGCCCATCCATGTTTTTCTAGAAAATATATCCAAAATTCACAATCAGGACACAACAGTGCACATACATGTGAGATACTTCTAGTAAATTACACAAGCATGATTACTAACAAAAAAAAAATATCAACTAAAGAGCAAAGCTATGATATAAACCTCACAAAAGTTCTTAAAAACATGGTCAGCCGCAATAAATTCTTGAATGCTAGACGTTCGCAAAATGATTCGGAGAATAGAATTCAAAGCAGGTTCCACTTGCGACTCCTCACCAAGAACTTTGCTAGAGAGGACATCCAGATTCTTGGGATTCTCAGCAACCAAATCACCAATGCACCTTAGTGCCTGGCAAAATAGAGAACATTATGTGCAAATGAAGAGGAAGAAGAAGAAGAAGAAGAAATCTACAAAGAGATCTTACTGAACAGCGCACGGCAATTGAAGCCCATGGGCTTTCAACACCCAGCATAAGCAGATGGTCCAACAACTTTTTCTACAATTAAGAAAGACAATATATCACAGAAACAGATAGCTCTTCAGGTACTCAATTCAAGCAGATATGATTCGTAATGAACCTGAACTAGGACTGTTTTATTGGTGATCTTGTTCGAATCTTTTTGAGGATCAGCTTCTGAACCTCCCATCATCAACAAATTAATAGTCTCCAACGTACTGAGTAAATTAATTGTCTACTGGCAAGTTATTTGTTTCATAGACAACAGAAAATGACCAGTAAGCTTGTGATAGCATGTGAAATAATTAACAGGAATTGGCAATGGAGAAAAAACAGAAGCCATATAAAAGTATAAACACACGAGTATCTAACCTTCTGTTGAGTGAAACTGTTAGTGCTTCTTCTTAGTTTCAAGATTGATATTAATGGGTCAAAGCCCATAGTCTCCCTTAGTAGTACCTGAAACCCACCTAAAATCAGTAGCAGAGAAAACCTCATAAAAGATATTGACAACAATGATAACAAAACATGGAATAAACCTGATTTGATGCATTACTGTGAAGAAGATTGTTCAGCAGCTCGAGACAGTCCTGTGCAAGAACAATATAAGAACCACGTTAATTCATTTATAGATTTCTCCAACAACTAGCATGGCCAAATTAGAATTGACTGCACACATGACTTAGCTAAACAAGTCACAAACAATAAAAAATGAATGGCCTAACAGCAAACTAGCCAAAAACAAGTTCACTGAAGTTCAAAAAATAAATTCCATGAATCACCTGCACAACAACACCGCCTTCAGAACCCCCTTCCTCCTTAATAATACTAAAAACTTTTTCAAATGCACCTTCGAAGACTACAATCTTTTGAATCTCCTGAAATCATAGAACTCTCTTAGTTAGTATGGCAATCAAACATATGTAAGCAAGGTTCAGGTGCACAAAGAAAAAAAAAAAAAAAAAAGATATGACAGGGCAAAAGGGGGGGGAGAGAGATTAAATAAACCCAAAAGCTCACCTCAGCTTCACGAGTCAAGTAAGTAAGAAGCAGTAAGGCTTCATTTCGTATAACCTGGAAGGTAAACAGTGAACAACTTCATAAAAAAGAAAAGCAATCACATAATATCATCATTATCCTATCCCAATTAAATTTTGAGACAAGTTTCAAATATTAGATTTTCATGTTTGATGATATCAATCTATGTAAATGACAAACAAACAGGAAACTACGGTAAGTTAACTAGAAGGTTCCTGAAGAGTCATATTGCAACAAGCAGGCCTACAATAAAGCAGAATGTCGAATTTAACAAAATTTGCAAGAGGATCAT